GACTTTGAAGATTGACATCTCCAAGTATAGGAGAGTCGAAGAGGACTCCCTCCTGAGATGGTTCGTCGAACTAGACGACGCCATAAGGACGCTTCGCATCGATGATGGGGAAATGCAAGTTGCATTTGCCCAGTCAAATCTGGCAGGACGTGCCAAGACTTGGGCACTGGGGCTCAAGTTGCACGACCCATATGCGTTTGGGTCGTTGGAAGTCTTCAAGTCGAGGCTCAGACAAACGTTTGAACCGCCTAGAGCTGAGTTCAGAGCTCGAACCGAACTCTTGAAGCTCAAGCAGGGTAAGCGTGATGTGCACGCTTACGCTCAACAGATACGACATCTCACGAGTTGTATAAGTTTCAATCCGGTGGATGAACACACGTTGGTTTCGGTGTTCATGCAGGGTCTTGCGGATGGTCCCGTCAAAACTCACCGGCTCCGACTTGAACTAGATTCACTAGAACAAGCCATTTCCATTGCGGACAGGAAAACTCCAGTCTGAGACAGGCTCGCGCCAGCTCGACATCATATCGTCAACCGAGACGATATGACAACGGAGGTCCAGAGCCGATGGAACTCTGTTATGTAGAGAGCGAGAAGGCTCGCTCTACAGGCTACAAGAAGTTGCAGAGATGCAACAGATGTCAAAAGACAGGACACTACGCTTACGAGTGTAGTGCCCCTCGTCCAGTGTCTCGCGACACTGGGCGTAGTGACCGTCCACCCATGAGAAAGGGGCAGGGACGAGGGTCCGCAGTTGGTGCAAAGACGCAACAACGGGATGGACCGTCAAAAAACGGACAGGATCAGTAGGTGCGGAGCACCCTACTGGTCCAGCAACGTCAAGAGAATTTGTAGGCCTCTTGATGAAGGTTGCTCCCAACACACAAACGTTGTGCGTTGCTGCTCTAGGTAATGAGATCTCACTCATTACCTTGAAACTCGAAGTGACGAATAAGTTGTCCTTTCGAGCTCTAGTCGATTGTGGGGCGTTCAACAATTTTGTGCAACGCATAAGAGGTAGAATGTGTTCTTTAGTTTCAGAGGAGGGGCCCCCCCCTCAAAGAGGGGGAGGGGACGTCTTGCGACAGGCGCATCCGTAACCGTCATGAAGCGTATAGTGAAGATCCACTATACGCCAGAAGATACCCAATATGACGATGACTTCATCGTATTGGATTTGGATGACAAATTTGATTTCATCCTTGGAATACCGTGGCTCAGAAGGTACGAACCACGGGTAAACTGGCAACATCGAACAGTAACGATGCCTGCCGCTTGTTCATCAAATGGCCATCTGATGAACGTTTTAGAGGGTCCACAAGCGTGTGGATATACTACGAGTGAGTGCGATGGCCTCACTTGGTACAGTCGTTAGCACGACTGCACAAAACCTTAGTGTAACAAACAGTCACGCTTCGGAGCAAGATTCCGGCGGCTGTGAGGAAACACAGGCTGCACCGAAGGTCCACCACTCGAATAAGTCGGGTGGACCGGGACAAAGATGTATCCCTAGCGGGGAACATCTCGAAGAGAAACAATCGATCGCTCAGGTTAAGCGAAACGATAATCCTAGATCGACTGGAGATTCTTTCGTAGAGGATCTCGCTGTGGTTGCGCAACCCCAGCTAGAGGAAGTAAAGGTAGTAAGTCTTGATATTACAAATACGGCGGCAATAAGTTCCCGAAACCCGAGGGAATAAGTCCCCGGGAAGCCGAAGGAATAAGTCCTTCGAGGCCTGAGGGAATAAGTCCCCAGGAAATGACAGATACATTGAATGGCATAGTCAATGATGGATCAAGTGTAGGCGCTTACACACTTGATCTGATTGCGCCTCCGAAGTTGACTTCGGAGATCACTCAGTTGCCAACGCTCGAGCGTAAAATGTTCTTGCGTGATCTGCGTAGTGGCAAAGTCAAGCAGATATGCGTACTCGTCGCTGACGACGAGTGTGTAGCCGACATAAGGTCAGCAACAGTGTTTACTGAGAACGAGAGAGTTCTCAGTAGTTCATCGATGGATGAGAGCGTCCTCGATGAAAAGACACGAATTGAGCGATATGACTCCCAATCGTGGGAATCGCTCAAGACAAATCCTCTCTATGAAGATTTGGTTAAATTCAAGGATGTATTCCCTGAAACTGTTCCGGGCGAATTACCGAAGGATAAAGGTATTTGACACGAGGTCGAGCTTAAACCAGGCTCGAAGTATTGTGTCATGAAGCAGTGGCCACTGCCTCGTGAACAGGTCACAGCGATCGACAAGTTCTTTGCCGATCGTTTGGCTGCCGGCCATGTGAGGGAATCAACTTCCCCACATAGCTCTCCGACCTTCTGTGTGCGAAAAGCAACAGGAGGGTGGCGGAAAGTGCACGCGTTCAACAAATTGAACGCTGCAACGGTACCGGCTCAGACGCCGATACCGAGGAAGGACGTAATCATTGATGGTATGTCAAAGAGTACCATCTTTTCGTCCATGGATTTGATGGATGGCTTCTATCAAATCCTTATGCGAGAACGGGATATACCCTATACCGCAGTGAGCACGCCTAGCGGCATGCTCTGGGAATGGCTAGCAATGCCACAAGGGCTTAGTAATGCCCCTGCCACGTTCAACAGATGTGTATCACATCTGTTGAGACCAGTACGAGAATTCGCGCCGAGTTATTTCGATGACGTATTCATCCATAGTCGAGCTATGGATGGAAAGTCGGACGTTGAGGTTCACAGGTACCACGTCCGACAGGTTCTTACAATCATGCGAAAGCATCAATTGTATGCAAACCTCAAGAAGTGTATATTTGCAGCAAGCGAAATACCACTTCTTGGGTGCATCGTTGGTAAGACCGGTGTACGTCCTGATCCCGAAAAGATCAAGGCGATCACCGACTGGCCTGTGCCGGTTGATGTCAAAGGTCTTTGAAAATTCCTTGGGCTAGCGGCGTATTTGCATAAGTATTCACGCAATGACGCCGAGATGACTGTGCACCTCTCTCTCGTTTGTTGAAAAGAACGAGAGGTGGTTATGGAACGCTGAATGTCAACGCTCCTTTGAGGGTATCAAGCAGAGCTTGATACAATCCCCAGTCCTAGCAATAGCCGATCAGGACAGGCCATTTCATGTGGTCTGTGATGCCAGTGATTTTGCAATCGGCTGTGCATTAATGCAGTACGATCTTGAAGGCGTTGAACGCGTCGTCTGCTATCAGTCGCGTCAGCTGCAACCAGCTGAGCGGAACTATCCAGTGCATGACAAGGAACTCCTTGCCATGAAGTATGCACTCACGAAGTTCAGAGTCTATCTATTAGGAGATAGACCCTTCGTTGTTTACACTGACCATGCGTCAGTACGCACGCAGTGAACAGCCCGCACCTTTCACAACGAATGGCGCGGTGGTTGTCATTCTTTGCAGAATACAACTTTACGGTCGAGTACAAACCAGGATGACTTAATGTCGTCGCTGATGCACTCTCATGTCGGCCCGACTTTGAAACAGTCGCGAAACCCAACAGTGAGACAGTCACTGTTGCGGTTATGACGTCCTCAGTCCCATCTACAACGTTGTATGATGATGTGAGGCGGGCATACGCCCAAGATGGTGAGATTGTGAAGTTGTTGACACATCTCTCCCAACCATCTCGAGAATCGTTGAAACGATTGTCGCCTGCGTATCGATCTGCATCAGATCGATACACTACTCGCAACGGTTTACTGTATTATACAGCCGTTTCTGGTGACATACCACGTGTTGTCATCCCACATGATACTGATATGCGTCAGCGGATCATGTTCGAGTATCACGATGCTCCTATAGGAGGACATAGTGGCCGAGAGAAAACATATCTCACGGTGAGTCGAGACTTTTACTGGCCCCGCCAGTATCAGTTTGTGCGAAAGTATGTTCGTGCATGCAAAGTCTGTCAACGCGTGAAGTCAAGTCCTTCACTGCGTGCACCTTTACAGCCTCTACCGGTTCCGGCTGAGTGCTGGGAATCCATCTCAATGGATATTGTCTTCGGGCTACCCAAAGACGCACGTGGGAATGCGGGTATCCTCGCATTTGTTGACAGATTCAGCAAAATGGTACACCTTGTGGCTGTACCAGGGTCAATCACGGCAATTGGCTGTGCTTGTGTCTTTATTGACACCATCTTCCGACTTCATGGGTTGCCCCGTGAACTCGTATCAGACAGAGATCCACGATTCACTGCTGATTTCTGGCGTTCCGTGTTCAAATCACTCGGAACGCGCTTGAAGATGTCAACATCTGATCATCCAGAGTCAGATGGTCAGACGGAACGGGCAAATCGTGTCCTTGAAGAGATACTTCGAGGATACTTACACTCCTTTAAGAGTTGGAGTGAGTTCTTGCCAATGGTAGAGTTTGCCATCAACAACTCGGTGCATGCGTCCACGACACATACACCGTTTTACGTGAATGGCTTGCGCCATCCGCGTGTACCCACCTTGCTCGAGTGTAAAACTGGTTTAAGGGGGAAAGAGACTCGCGCGAGCAAAAACGATTTGGTTCACGCTCATCACACTTTGACGATGAGGTCATTGCGTTTGATGCCAATATCGACAACATCGATATCGAAGAAGATGATGCCAGTGAGAGGCGAGGGAGCCCTCACTCAAGAAAAGGTTGATGTCGCTGCAGTGCACTCACAGCGCACTGAAGCTAACGAGTCATCAGATGAGTTCATACTGGCTCGTGAAACGGTAGTCCGTTTTGTGCAAGACTCCATCGCCGAAGCGGTGGATAAGCAAAAGAAAAACGCAGACAATAATGGAAGGGCAAACACTCTTTTATTTAATCAAGGTGACTTAGTCCTAATGTCTACGGTTAACCTACCAAAGCATGTAGTGACTAACTTGTGTAGCAGTAAACTTCTACCCAAGTACATCGGCCCATTTCGTGTATTGCACCGCCTAGGCAATGCATACAAGATCGAGTTACCACGTAAGATGCGAACGCATCCTACGTTTTACGTTGGTCGGCTTAAGCCGTACCATCAGTACGCTGTTTCTTCCGATGAAGAACGCCCTTGCGCTCAAGCATCTCGCAGAGAGCCTTGTGCTCCCGATGGTGGGCATCAACAAGGGTCTGAAGAGCAGCTATCTCATCCCGAGACCGATCAACAATCCCACGAGATACCCTTAGCTCGTCACGAAGAGATGTCAGAGATCTCTCGTTCTCAAGCTGAGCAAAGTCAAACTCAGCTCGATGCTTCGAGACAGTGTCCGCCATTTGGAGACGCCTGTCCCGCTCATGTTCGAGATCGTCGCGTAACCCTTGCGTTACGCGAACAAAGAAGCTCTCGGGAACACACCGATCCACATGATCGTGTGGAGAGCGTCTTTCCTCCTCCTCCACCTCCATTAGAGGACTCTCGCGGTGGCCAGCGCTATCTAGTTGAGCAGCTGTTGAGCCACCGCGACGTGAACGGACGTCGGACGAGTTATCTCGTCCGGTGGCGCGGTTATCCCCCGTCCTGGGATTCTTGGGAGCCCCGCTCCCAACTGATGGTCGACGTACTGGGTCTGGTTGAGCAGTACGACGCGGCACATCCTGTGCCGCAGAAGGACCGCCGGAGAAAGTCTTCCCGGCACGGTCGTAAAGGGATTTCAAGTTGTCAATCCCTTCGTACATCTCAGTAGAGATACGTACGCGCCACCACGGGCTGGTAAAGAGGTATGCCTCCTTAGGTGCTCGTGCAGAGTTGTTCACACAACATGGGCACGAGTCTCCCCAAGAGAGGCAGGGTAATCCTTTCTCCCTTGACAGACGATGCAGCTTGTAGCGTGCACCTGTCGGGGTTCTCTTCTCAAACTTATCACGAGCTTTGATAAGTTTGTCGTTCCAAGCGTCACGACCTACATCCTCGAGGTTATGGATGTAGGTGTTCCACGCCTGAAGTAGTGAGGGACCATCACGCTTGTGATTCCCACTGTACCATCGATGTCTAAAGAAAGCATCGATGAAGAATTCATGTTCAGCGCGATAGTTTTTCGCGCTGGGGTCAAGGTGATGGATCCTTGACGAATCGAACAATCGTGTTCGATAGTGATCACTCGTCGTCGCCGACAAGTGATCCATGACGGATTTAGGAGGCATCCATGCCTTCTTCTCGGGAGCGAGACGCAAGACATTGTGGTCCCGCTCTTCCTGCGATGTGCCGACAGAAGTACTGGCACCTCGTTGCGAAGTGGTGCCAATAGGAGAACCGACACCACTGTGAGCGCCCGAGTCTTGCGATCTCAAGCGCCTTCGCTTCGGCGATGGTTCATCTGATCAATCAGATGAACCAAAGATGCTTCGACGCAAAGCATCGTCCATGCCACGCTTGGCAGGCGGCTTAGATTCAATCGCCGTCGATACGGATCCGTCATCCGTATCAGGAGAGTATGAGACACCGAGCTCGTACTCTGTGAAGACATTGGTGTCTTCATGACCAGCGCCTGCATCACCACGTGACACAGGCTGGGTCGCTTCAGCAACCGATGAGACATCAGATGCTGTAGTTTCTGCTTCGGCGTCCGCACAGAGACGTGCGGACGCGCTCTCGGCGGCATTGCTCGCGCACCGCATGGGCTTGTTAACCATGCGACGAAATGTTGGGAAGTGGACTCGGACCAACAAGTGCAAACCCTGTCCCAAATGATTTGGGACGAGTATCCATTTGGTCAAGCGGTCACTAAAGTGACTGATGGTTAAGGGGGGGTGATGTAACTGGGTGAATCGTTACATAACAATTTATAAGAAATTGTTAATAGAATATAACTATAAGAGTTATATTCTCAGAATATTGTCATAAGGACAAATATTCTGCGGCACTTACGAGTAGTTCCTAATTGGTTGATATAGGCCATTATATCAACCAACGAAGACGCGCCACGACAGACGCACGCAATGAGTGGTGAGCAGATAGTTGATATGCACATTTGTATTTAGACATAGTTAAATGAGGATAAACAGTGGTTTATTAACAGACATTAACTATGATAAATACAGTTCTACTTTTTACTTTAACCAAGTACTCGCTTCTTGTAACGGGGCACCCTGAAGCTTGTACTGGTGACAGTACAAGCTACTTATTTTGATGACAGAATAAGGCGGTGCCTCGTAACTTCACGTACACTGGTACGTGCAGAGGAAGACGGTAAGAAGAAGCGAGTACTTGGTTAGAGTAAAAAGTAGAACTGTATTTATCATAGTTAATGTCTGTTAATAAACCACTGTTTATCCTCATCTAACTATGTCGAAATACAAATGTGCATATCAACTATCTGCTCACCACTCATTGCGTGCGTCTGTCGTGGCGCGTCTTCGTTGGTTGATATAATGGCCTATATCAACCAATTAGGAACTACTTGTAAGTGCTACAGAATATTTGTCCTTATGACAATATTTTGAGAATATAACTCTTATAGTTATATTCTATTAACAATTTCTTATAAATTGTTATGTAACGATTCACCCAGTTACATCACCCCCCCCTTAACCATCAGTCACTTTAGTGACCGCTTGACCAAATGGATACTCGTCCCAAATCATTTGGGACAGGGTTTGCACTTGTTGGTCCGAGTCCACTTCCCAACATTTCGTCGCATGGTTAACAAGCCCATGCGGTGCGCGAGCAAGGCCGCCGAGAGCGCGTCCGCACGTCTCTGTGCGGACGCCGAAGCAGAAACTACAGCATCTGATGTCTCATCGGTTGCTGAAGCGACCCAGCCTGTGTCACGTGGTGATGCAGGCGCTGGTCATGAAGACACCAATGTCTTCACAGAGTACGAGCTCGGTGTCTCATACTCTCCTGATACGGATGACGGATCCGTATCGACGGCGATTGAATCTAAGCCGCCTGCCAAGCGTGGCATGGACGATGCTTTGCGTCGAAGCATCTTTGGTTCATCTGATTCATCAGATGAACCATCGCCGAAGCGAAGGCGCTCGAGGTCGCGAGACTCGGGCGCTAACAGTGGTGTCAGTTCTCCTATGGACACCACTTCGCAGCGAGGTGCCAGTACTTCTGTCGGCACATCGCAGGAAGAGCGGGACCGCAATGTCTTGCGTCTCGCTCCCGAGAAGAAGGCATGGATGCCTCCTAAATCCGTCATGGATCACTTGTCGGCGACGACGAGTGATCACTATCGAACACGATTGTTCGATTCGTCAAGGATCCATCACCTTGACCCCAGCGCGAAAAACTATCGCGCTGAACATGAATTCTTCATCGATGTATTCTTTAGACATCGATGGTACAGTGGGAATCACAAGCGTGATGGTCCCTCACTACTTCAGGCGTGGAACACCTACATCCATAACCTCGAGGATGTAGGTCGTGACGCTTGGAACGACAAACTTATCAAAGCTCGTGATAAGTTTGAGAAGAGAACCCCGACAGGTGCACGCTACAAGCTGCATCGTCTGTCAAGGGAGAAAGGATTACCCTGCCTCTCTTGGGGAGACTCGTGCCCATGTTGTGTGAACAACTCTGCACGAGCACCTAAGGAGGCTTACCTCCTTACCAGCCCGTGGTGGCGCGTACGTATCTCTACTGAGATGTACGAAGGGATTGACAACTTGAAATCCCTTTACGACCGTGCCGGGAAGACTTTCTCCGGCGGTCCTTCTGCGGCACAGGATGTGCCGCGTCGTACTGCTCAACCAGACCCAGTACGTCGATCATCAGCTGGGAGCAGGGCTCCCAAGAATCCCAGGACGGGGGATAACCGCGCCACCGGACGAGATAACTCGTCCGACGTCCGTTCACGTCGCGGTGGTTCAACAGCTGCTCAACTAGATAGCGCTGGCCACCGCGAGAGTCCTCTAATGGAAGTGGAGGAGGAGGAAAGACGCTCTCCACACGATCATGTGAATCGGCGTGTTCCCGAGAGCTTCTTTGATCGCGTAACGCAAGGGTTACGCAACGATCTCGAACATGAGCGGGACAGGCGTCTCCAAACGGCGGACACTGTCTCGAAGCATCGAGCTGAGTTTGACTTTGCTCAGCTTGAGAACGAGAGATCTCTGACATCTCTTCGTGACGAGCTAAGGGTAGCTCGTGGGATTGCTGATCGGTCTCGGGATGAGATAGCTGCTCTTCAGACCCTTGTTGATGCCCACCATCGGGAGCACAAGGCTCTCTGCGAGATTCTTGAGCGCAAGGGCGTTCTTCATCGGAAGAAACAGCGTACTGATGGTACGGCTTAAGCCGACCAACGTAAAACGTGGGATGCGTTCGCATCTTACGTGGTAACTCGATCTTGTATGCATTGCCTAGGCGGTGCAATACACGAAATGGGCCGATGTACTTGGGTAGAAGTTTACTACTACCCAAGTTAGTCACTACATGCTTTGGTAGGTTAACCGTAGACATTAGGACTAAGTCACCTTGATTAAATAAAAGAGTGTTTGCCCTTCCATTATTGTCTGCGTTTTTCTTTTGCTTATCCACCGCTTCGGCGATGGAGTCTTGCACAAAACGGACTACCGTTTCACGAGCCAGTATGAACTCATCTGATGACTCGTTAGCTTCAGTGCGCTGTGAGTGCACTGCAGCGACATCAACCTTTTCTTGAGTGAGGGCTCCCTCGCTCTCACTGGCATCATCTTCTTCGATATCGATGTTGTCGATATTGGCATCAAACGCAATGACCTCATCGTCAAAGTGTGATGAGCGTGAACCAAATCGGTTTTTGCTCGCTCGAGTCCCTTTCCCCCTTAAACCAGTTTTACACTCGAGCAAGGTGGGTACACGCGGATGGCGCAAGCCATTCACGTAAAACGGTGTATGTGTCGTGGACGCATGCACCGAGTTGTTGATGGCAAACTCTACCATTGGCAAGAACTCACTCCAACTCTTAAAGGAGTGTAAGTATCCTCGAAGTATCTCTTCAAGGACACGATTGGCACGTTCCGTCTGACCATCTGACTCTGGATGATCAGATGTCGACATCTTCAAGCGCGTTCCGAGTGATTTGAACACGGAACGCCAGAAATCAGCAGTGAAGCGTGGATCTCTGTCTGATACGAGTTCACGGGGCAACCCATGAAGTCGGAAGATGGTGTCAATAAAGACACAAGTACAGCCACTTGCCGTGATTGACCCTGGTACAGCCACAAGGTGTACCATTTTGCTGAATCTGTCAACAAATGCGAGGATACCCGCATTCCCACGTGCGTCTTTGGGTAGCCCGAAGACAATATCCATCGAGATGGATTTGCAGCACTCTGCCGGAACTGGTAGAGGCTGTAAAGGTGCACGCAGTGAAGGACTTGACTTCACGCGTTGACAGACTTCGCATGCTCGAACATACTTTCGCACAAACTGATACTGGCGGGGCCAGTAAAAGTCTCGACTCACCGTGAGATATGTTTTCTCTCGGCCACTATGTCCTCCTATAGGAGCATCGTGATACTCGAACATGATCCGCAGACGCAGATCAGTATCATCTGGGATGACAACACGTGGTATGTCACCAGAAACGGCTGTATAATACAGTAAACCGTTGCGAGTAGTGTATCGATCTGATGCAGATCGATACGCAGGCGACAATCGTTTCAACGATTCTCGAGATGGTTGGGAGAGATGTGTCAACAACTTCACAATCTCACCATCTTGGGCGTATGCCCGCCTCACATCATCATACAACGTTGTAGATGGGACTGAGGACGTCATAACCGCAACAGTGACTGTCTCACTGTTGGGTTTCGCGACTGTTTCAAAGTCGGGCCGACATGAGAGTGCATCAGCGACGACATTAAGTCATCCTGGTTTGTACTCGACCGTAAAGTTGTATTCTGCAAAGAATGACAACCACCGCGCCATTCGTTGTGAAAGGTGCGGGCTGTTCACTGGCGTGCGTACTGACGCATGGTCAGTGTAAACAACGAAGGGTCTATCTCCTAATAGATAGACTCTGAACTTCGTGAGTGCATACTTCATGGCAAGGAGTTCCTTGTCATGCACTGGATAGTTCCGCTCAGCTGGTTGCAGCTGACGCGACTGATAGCAGACGACGCGTTCAACGCCTTCAAGATCGTACTGCATTAATGCACAGCCGATTGCAAAATCACTGGCATCACAGACCACATGAAATGGCCTGTCCTGATCGGCTATTGCTAGGACTGGGGATTGTATCAAGCTCTGCTTGATACCCTCAAAGGAGCGTTGACATTCAGCGTTCCATAACCACCTCTCGTTCTTTTCAACAAACGAGAGAGGTGCACAGTCATCTCGGCGTAATTGCGTGAATACTTATGCAAATACGCCGCTAGCCCAAGGAATTTTCAAAGACCTTTGACATCAACCGGCACAGGCCAGTCGGTGATCGCCTTGATCTTTTCGGGATCAGGACGTACACCGGTCTTACCAACGATGCACCCAAGAAGTGGTATTTCGCTTGCTGCAAATATACACTTCTTGAGGTTAGCATACAATTGATGCTTTCGCATGATTGTAAGAACCTGTCGGACGTGGTACCTGTGAACCTCAACGTCCGACTTTGCATCCATAGCTCGACTATGGATGAATACGTCATCGAAATAACTCGGCGCGAATTCTCGTACTGGTCTCAACAGATGTGATACACATCTGTTGAACGTGGCAGGGGCATTACTAAGCCCTTGTGGCATTACTAGCCATTCCTAGAGCATGCCGCTAGGTGTGCTAACTGCGGTATAGGGTATATCCCGTTCCCGCATAAGGATTTGATAGAAGCCATCCATCAAATCCATGGACGAAAAGATGGTACTCTTTGACATACCATCAATGATTACGTCCTTCCTCGGTATCGGCGTCTGAGCCGGTACCGTTGCAGCGTTCAATTTGTTGAACGCGTGCACTTTCCGCCACCCTCCTGTTGCTTTTCGCACACAGAAGGTCGGAGAGCTATGTGGGGAAGTTGATTCCCTCACATGGCCGGCAGCCAAACGATCGGCAAAGAACTTGTCGATCGCTGTGACCTGTTCACGAGGCAGTGGCCACTGCTTCATGACACAATACTTCGAGCCTGGTTTAAGCTCGACCTCGTGTCAAATACCTTTATCCTTCGGTAATTCGCCCGGAACAGTTTCAGGGAATACATCCTTGAATTTAACCAAATCTTCATAGAGAGGATTTGTCTTGAGCGATTCCCACGATTGGGAGTCATATCGCTCAATTCGTGTCTTTTCATCGAGGACGCTCTCATCCATCGATGAACTACTGAGAACTCTCTCGTTCTCAGTAAACACTGTTGCTGACCTTATGTCGGTTACACACTCGTCGTCAGCGACGAGTACGCATATCTGCTTGACTTTGCCACTACGCAGATCACGCAAGAACCTTTTACGTTCGAGCGTTGGCAACTGAGTGATCTCCGAAGTCAACTTCGGAGGCGCAATCAGATCAAGTGTATAAGCGCCTACACTTGATCCATCATTGACTATGCCATTCAATGTATCTGTCATTTCCTGGGGACTTATTCCCTCAGGCCTCGAAGGACTTATTCCTTCGGCTTCCCGGGGACTTATTCCCTCGGGTTTCGGGGAACTTATTGCCGCCGTATTTGTAATATCAAGACTTACTACCTTTACTTCCTCTAGCTGGGGTTGCGCAACCACAGCGAGATCCTCTACGAAAGAATCTCCAGTCGATCTAGGATTATCGTTTCGCTTAACCTGAGCGATCGATTGTTTCTCTTCGAGATGTTCCCCGCTAGGGATACATCTTTGTCCCGGTCCACTCGACTTATTCGAGTGGTGGACCTTCGGTGCAGCCTGTGTTTCCTCACAGCCGCCGGAATCTTGCTCCGAAGTGTGACTGTTTGTTACACTAAGGTTTTGTGCAGTCGTGCTAACGACTGTACCAAGTGAGGCCATCGCACTCACTCGTAGTATATCCACACGCTTGTGGACCCTCTAAAACGTTCATCAGATGGCCATTTGATGAACAAGCGGCAGGCATCGTTACTGTTCGATGTTGCCAGTTTACCCGTGGTTCGTACCTTCTGAGCCACGGTATTCCAAGGATGAAATCAAATTTGTCATCCAAATCCAATACGATAAAGTCATCGTCATATTGGGTATCTTCTGGCGTACAGTGGATCTTCACTATACGCTTCATGACGGTTACGGATGCGCCTGTCGCAAGACGTACCGTCATCCTTGTAGGAGGTGTGTCACATTCACTGAACTTAAAGTGACCATCTTCTAGCGATTGGCGTCGCACAAAATTGCTGGACGCCCCACAATCGACTAGAGCTCGAAAGGACAACTTATTCGTCACTTCGAGTTTCAAGGTAATGAGTGAGATCTCATTACCTAGAGCAGCAGCGCACAACGTTTGTGTGTTGGGAGCAAACTTCATCAAAAGGCCTACAAATTCTCTTGACGTTGCTAGACCAGTAGGGTGCTCCGCACCTACTGATCCTGTCCGTTTTTTTACGGTCCATCCCGTTGTTGCGTCTTTGCACCAACTGCGGACCCTCGTCCCTGCCCCTTTCTCGTGGGTGGACGGTCACTACGCCCAGTGTCGCGAGACACTGGACGAGGGGCACTACACTCGTAAGCGTAGTGTCCTGTCTTTTGACATCTGTTGCATCTCTGCAACTTCTTGTAGCCTGTAGAGCGAGCCTTCTCGCTCTCTACATAACAGAGTTCCATTGGCTCTGGACCTCCGTTGTCATATCGTCTCGGTTGACGATATGATGTCGAGCTGGCGCGAGCCTGTCTCAGACTGGAGTCTTCCTGTCCGCAATGGAAATGGCTTGTTCTAGTGAATCTAGTTCAAATCGGAGCCGGTGAGTTTTGACGGGACCATCCACAAGACCCTGCATGAACACCGAAACCAACGTGTGTTCATCAACCGGGTTGGAACTTATACAACTCGTGAGATGTCGTATCTGTTGCGCGTAAGCGTGCACATCACGCTTACCCTGCTTGAGCTTCAAGAGTTCGGTTCGAGCTCTGAACTCAGCTCTAGGCGGTTCAAACGTTTGTCTGAGCCGCGACTTGAAGACTTCCAACGACCCAAACGCATATGGATCGTGCAACTTGAGTCCCAAAGCCCAAGTCTTGGCACGTCCTGCCAGATTTGACTGGGCAAATGCAACTTGCATTTCCCCATCATCGATGCGAAGCGTCCTTATGGCGTCGTCTAGTTCGACGAACCATCTCAGGAGGGAGTCCTCTTCGACTCTCCTATACTTGGAGATGTCAATCTTCAAAGTCTCGAGTCGACGCGAGTGCATCGACCCACCAGCAGCAGCCTGCTGCTGTCTCAACAGTTCAAACTGTTGAACACCCTGTTCTCTCAACAACTCTGCTTGTTGAGAACCTTGTTGGTGAAGCAAGGCTACTTTCTCGCGTTCGGCGTCAAGTTCATTTGAATGAACTTGGCGATAGTAGCATGTTGGGCATCTCTATTGAGAGCCTCTAGCATGACGCTAACAGCATGGATGCCCATGGCTGAACCCATTCGTTCAACCGCATCCCATTCGACATCGCTCAAATGGGAGTATCCGTCACGCGTAGCGTGAAAGCTTTGGTCATCTTCATCATCCAACATATTCATGTTGGATGTGAACGTGGTCCTTGGACGGACTACGAAGTGCTACCAGGTGTAACGGGGCACCCTGAAGCTTGTACTGGTGACAGTACAAGCTACTTATTCTGATGACAGAATAAGGCGGTGCCTCGTAACTTCACGTACACTCGTACGTGCAGAGGAAGACGGTAAGAAGAAGCGAGTACTTGGTTAGAGTAAAAAGTAGAACTGTATTTATAATAGTTAATGTCTGCAATAAATCAATATTTATCTTCATCTAACTATGTCTAAATACAAATGTGCATATCAACTATCTGCTCACCACTCATTGCGTGCGTCTGTCGTGGCGCGTCTTCGTTAGTTGATATAATGGCCTATATCAACCAATTAGGAACTACTTGTAAGTGCTACAGAATATTTGTCCTTATGACAATATTCTGAGAATATAACTCTTATAGTTATATTCTATTAACAATTTCTTATAAATTGTTATGTAACGATTCACCCCGTTACACTGTAAATTGTTCCGATGGCTCAAACCTTTTCGACATTGTTCAGAATCTCAGCATTATAAACCTCTGATTTGGTGTTGGTATGCCGCCTCCACGCCGCCTCCACATTTTGACTTGATTCCAAGAAGAATGTCGGAATAGTATGGGAGCGTCAATGCCCCAGCAATCAATGTAGTTGGCTGATTCTGGATCTTTTGAACCCATACATGAGTTATAACTAAATGACAGCCTCTTACTGGTCTACTATCTCATACTAAGGACTACTGTATTCAAGTTTATCGGAGATACGATCATTTTCATTCCTATCTCAATTGTGCAGACCGAGTTTGACTACAAATAGTGACTTTCCGGCATGTAATCCAACCGAATGCGTGACTTGTTCACATTCAGAATATTCTACAGAAAAGGTGGTCCATTCCAGGCCCAACTGCGGCTGTCGTTGTCGTATAAAAGTGACAAAAGATGCGATCTTGTTGTCGTAGTGATGGATCCTGAACGTCGATTAAGTGCAAATGCCCTCCACGATATCAATGTGCTGCTGTTAAAACGACATCGTCTTCTCCTGGCTACTTTAGTCTGTTTGGCTGGGCTCTTCGATCATCACGGTCGACACTTCGCAGAGGGCACGTGAAATCGGATATCCAAACCGGAGTGCGAAGGGCGCTGAAGTCGCAGGAAACGCCGGGTACCAGACCAATCACCCCGATGGACCGCTGACGCACCTGGACTAGGCTGATCTTGATCACGTTCTAGACAAGTTCACTTTGTGGGGCTCAGGAGTCATGCTCGGCGACCGGGCCGACAACTCGAAGGCTGAAGTAAAATCATAGGTACTAGGTGAAGGTGACAACCGTAGTTGTCGTATTCCTCACCTCGGAATGTCTGGGATGTTGGTCCCCATTCAGTTTGCACGCTGGGCTGCCTCCCGTAGCGCACGCAGCGGCAAGAAGGCCAACCCCTTTCATCTGAGTCCTGTGATAGGATACTTCCCACCCAGAGTGAGGGGAATGGTTCCCCGGGGATGACGTGCGAAGTACAAATCCTGTGCGAAGAGGCTTCATCAATGAACTGACATGTCGCTCCTCATACAAATGCAAAGATCGTTCAGTACAGATACTGACTGATCCACAACATCCAGCGACAACGGGATCCCTGATATCTCCTGGAAATCTTCATCGTCCATCACTTGTCCAATCCTCAATCAGTCGCTCAGCAGCTCAAGTCCCATTGTCACTTCCCATATCAAAGCCGCATCTCCACCATGTCGTACTCACCGTATCCGTCTCCACCTTCCTGCGGTTCGTCAACCTCCGCTCCACCGCCACCACCACCTCCACCCCTTTTCCAATCAACGGGAGATCTGCAGAAGCTCATTTCGCCCCGTTTCCTATCACGGGAAGCGCAACTGAGACCCGTCCCGACTAATGAATGGTGGGGCAATTTGCTAGCGTGGGATGGAAACCGTGAAAGTGACGCCGTGTTCGCTGGCCCTTATACCTATAAAGTGGTGCAGGGTCAACCCGGCAGGATTGGCAGCGGTCTCTCGGTGAGCTACTTGCTGCAGTATCGAACGGACGGTCCCATCAATGATAACGGAGCTCCCCGGTTCTACTACTACGCACCGACCATCAAGAACTTGATCTTCTCAGCTGTGGAGCTTGCTCATCAATCGGGTGCACCTCCCCTAAGTATCCAAACGTGGGATGATATGGGCGTGCACCTCGCTATGGCAGGGATGAGCATGTACTTGGCATTAGGTGCCGCTTTTACGACGGTCGAATACCAGAACATGCAGGCACAAGTAGGTACAGAACATGCCATTGTTGCTATCAACGGAGCTCCGGCTAGAGACGGTCACCAGGTTCACGGGAGCAGCTTTGTGATCTCTTTGAACAACGGACAGCAGTGGGTGCTCTACTTCTTTCCCAATGCTGGTGGAAATACCGAGCTGGTTTACCAGGCCAACAAACTCACGACAACATCAACGTTCACGGGAGTCGTTCAAGCGGCATTCGTTTCGACGAGCGCAGTGCAAGCTGCTGCACCGCAAGACGATCGCAAAATTCTGCAACTTTACCACGCAAGTGCAGGTGTGTACCCGAAAGGAGCTACGGTCCAGACGCTAAATTCAGAGTCGTTTGTCTTCCACTGGCAGCTTGCAGCTGCAGTAGGCAGCAGTCCGGGAAATCGCTTCCTTCATTTTGCGCTAACGCACTTGCAGGCTTTGCTCGATCCGTCCACGGTAGAAGCAAAGCATGAACTTGTGCTGCATTCGCACACTCATGGACCGTTGTTTGCGTACGCATTGGTGACTCGGTCGGGTTGCAACCCGTCATGGCTTTGCCACGTACCTCGAGCTGAAAGTCAGGGTGTCGAGACATGTACAGCATTTTACCCGCCACGTGCTGCTTGCCTCAATGCAGGTGAGGTGAAAAGGCTGAACCTGTGTCGCATCGTCACTGACGAGATCCATGGAGATTGGGCTTTGCCTCATGAGGGAAGCTACTACTTTAAAGGGAAGGCCCTGCAGAAATTTGGCACCATGTGTCTTGTTGCCCGGCAGCTAGCAGACACGACGAGTCCTGAACTGAGAACCGTGGCGCAACACGGCATTTCCAAGCTGCAGCAACTGCTTTCTGCATTCGCAGACAATCGGTCGGCATTTCCACTTGTTTACGACACGACTTACAAGGGAATCATCTCCAGTGAAGCGTTGGCCAAGAACGACATGAATGTTGACTTTGGCAATGGAGTGTACAATGACCACCATTACCACTATGGGTACCTCATAACTGCTGCTGCCATGGCGCTCTACTTGGACCCACATTGGCGTCACTCGGCTGATGCCGCCAAGGTCCGAACGTTCGTCGACACGTTGATTCGGGACGTGGCGACCGCATCTCCTATCGGCCACGATCCGTACTTTCCGCGTTTCCGAAACTTTAACTGGTGGCTTGGTCATTCATACTCACACGGTGTGACTCCGATGGCCGATGGGAAGGATGAAGAGTCTACATCCGAAGAGGTCAACTTTCTGTATGGCATTGCGCTGTATGGCCAAGTCACGGAGAACGCAGCACAAGAGGCACTAGCAAAACTGATGCTCAAGGTTTACGTGCGCGTAGTGAACACGTACTTCTTGCTCCGGAACAATGGCCCTTTGATCCATCCTGCAGGCTTTGCGAAGAACAAGGTCACCGGCGTTTTCTTTGACAACAAGTGCGACTACGCAACGTGGTTTAGCCCCAACAAGGAGTGCATTCACGGCATTCAAATGATCCCTGTGTCTCCGATCCTCGAAATCTCCCGACCGCCAAGCTTTGTACGAGAAGAGTGGAACGAAGTGCTCAGCAAGTTACCGTTTGTGCGCGACTGGAAGGCACATCAATCTGGCTGGACGTCGCTGTTGTTTGCCAACTACAGCGTCCTAAACCGTGAAGCAGCTCTCGAAGTGCTAGCCACGTGTCCCATGGACGACGGGCTCAGCCGCGCCTGGGCGTTGTATTACTCAGTGACTCGACCCCCACCCTCTTGCTAGGACATCTTGCTGGAATGTAATGCTTCAACGTAAGCACCGAAACGTGTATTGTCAATGAACCCGTTCCTGATAATATTCTGTTCAGATCTCCAGTTTTGCTCGTCCGCTACGGAGGTGTCATCGCTTGCAACAGCGCATGAGCAAGCTTGGTCACCGCAGGCAACAACTGCCGGTCGTGCAACTTGGTTAAACACCTACAAAGTCGGAAGTCGGAAAACACGTCAGTACTGCGATTTTACAGATACCGAAGCCAGTCTTATCGTACCCGTCGATCAGATGCTGGAGTTCAATTGGTGCCAGCATTCCAACGAAGCCCGGAAACTTTCCAATAACGGTTCCAATCACCTTCAATCCATTCATTGCGATACACTCGCAGTCCGTGGTCTTGAGGCAAGTTGCTGTAGCGTCAAATATGATGTGAAGAAATCGCACATCGTCCTTGTCTTCCATCGAAATCACCTCGCTCGACTTGTACAAAAACGCAAAAATGATCTACAGCAGCAGTCACAGTGGAATAAATCGTGAACCAAAAGCGCAGAACAAACTAGTAGAGAAGTAGCTCGCACCTGGAAACCACCGGCAACTATGTCATCTTCAGTACAACACCCAGTTGCTAGTGCAATGCGAGCAATGATCCGCTGTGATTTCCAGTTTGCAAGAACCTCGTTTCCAGCTCGTGAGATCGCACTACAGCAAGTCACACAAGTGTTTAAACCTCGTCCTCCACTTGTCACGAATCAACTTAGCGTACCTCAGAAAAACATTGCAAATGCAAATCCGAGCTTGCAACGATAGTCGGTGTGGGTAACCCCCTCTCCGCATACTGCATAGCATCTCCTGCACGCGTGATGTAAACGTGTCAGCGTCATGGTGCACGACGTCTTTTCGTGCAGCTTTGTCGAACGCCCACTCCATTAGAAGGTCAACCAGAGACGAAGCATTTATAGTCGGCACTCCTTTGCTTCTCTGTCCATCATCAATCCCCGACAGTCTGAGAAGTATTAACGCGATGCAATCGATGCAGCCGCGTTGGATATCGGTAGAGGGTGGAGAAGCCGATCCCGTCTTCGAAATTTGAGTGCACGGAATCTCCAGAACGTGTACCAACACGACAAGCGCTTTGGATACGACGTCATCATCTCTGAAGGCATTGCTGTCCTCAGAAAACACCCGGTTGAGATAAAAGACCATCAATTTGGCAGTCACCAATCCACATGAATCTGGAATGCTTTCTTCAGCGACGACAGGTGAACTAAAGCCGGCGTCGCACACAATTTCTTCTCGCAAGAAAGCAACCAAGTATGCTAGGACGAACGGCAGCACCCGAGGTGGAGGGAATTTGGATAGGCACTCAGTCGCAACCATCTTTACCTCTTTGAATTCCAGTGGATCCACCATTGATCGGGCGAGAACGTGAAAAAGTGTTTTGCTGATGAAACTCTCCTGGTCTACACAGGACACTTCCGACTCATTGGAAGCGGTCTTGAGCTCATCCTCAATGCACGCGTTTAGGTGATGTAAATCTTCGCGTCCACACTATAGCACACACACGATCACGTACTGCACTAAGACATCCATTCGAAAGACGCAGTAGCTTTTATACTACGTACCGGCAATAACTTCGCACAAGTGTTCCCAAGGACATCTCGAGGAACCATTCGTAGAATCAGCAGCGGTGCCAACCGGGAGAATAGTAATCCCCTAATTGACGTTACTGCCGAAAAGGAATTGTCGTTCAAGTGCTCCTCGGTCAAACGCGGCAGATTCTAAAAAACCAACGTACGGGTTAGTTTTGTTTGTATCCGAGAGTGACCCTCACAATGCTTACCATCATTTGAGCAGTAATCCGTTTTCCTATCATATTAAACAATTCGTTGTCCACCCAGTCACACAGCACGAACTCACGTAGCATCTGCAGAAGAACCGCGCTACGAGGAAAGCTGAACACTTTTTGGATCGATAAACGTAACACGTCACATCGAATGCTAGCGGACAGGACATGTTTAGTCCACCTGGGTAATGCACAACACAAGTCACCATCCGTTAAATGATAGTCACGGACCTCTATCATCTTAGTGTGCTACCGCAGCGTACCCGTTCGGACCAAAACAAAGCGAAAACAGCTCATTTCGCATTTCTTGCGTTTCATCTCCAACGCTTTCGTTGGGCTGCATGACGCTGCTGTTCCAATCGTGAGGGGACAACGGGATCGTATCGGAGACGGAATGGACTTGAGTACTGCCAAACTGGCATGCGTCGATGAACCAAGACACCATTGCTTCAATGGAATCTCGCGACGAAGCTGCGAAAAGATACCCGAGCGTTGATGTGACTAAATGACTTTTGGCGCCACAAAGGTTGGGTCCACACAACTCGGCAACGCAAGCTACGACATCCAGCGACGGCAAGCAAGAAAGGGCCTTTTTAACATACAACGTCAGTCATCGTGGTACGAGAAACACACACAAGCGTGACGCCATATCTTACAAATCGGTGAGTGTCACAGTTTCCCTGCGCAGCGAAGCGTACAATTTCCGGTGTAAGCAGCTTGCTGTAGGCGAACAAAGTGCAGACTCGATCAGAACGTCGATTCCATCGAGATACACAAGTGTGCTGTAACATAACAACTTCTCACCGCCAATGCTTGTGTAGCTTGGTCTGAGGAGTCGCTTTGTCCAATCGGTACAACAATGTCCGCACGAAGGATAGAATGCTCTACATGCAGGAAATATACAGTCAAAGTAACAACATGATGCGACAGCGACAGATGTGCACGGTCCTATCGGAAACCGTCATGTCCTACCTTGTCGCTATTGGTGTATGCGTGTTGGAGGCGTCTAAGTATCTCCGTGACGAACACTTCTCGAAAAATGACAAAGTCGGCCACAAAAAACTCCAGCTCGACTTGACATTGCAGCATAATGTCAGAGATCCTGCGTGATGTGGAGAAGTTGCCGTGGATATGTAGCAATTGCGAGAGGAACTCTTGCTTGTCATCCTGTGAGCTTAGCATATGTTGAGCAGCTTTGGACAGAAGGGCTGTCCTCAGGATCTTCAATACGAAGAGCGCTGTCCCTCCATCCCCTCTTTTGACTGCCACCGACAAACCTTGGGTAAAGAAGAAAACAAAGTGTGCTTTTGTCTCTTCGGCAATCTCGTCATAAGTCTTCGAATGTCCTTTGACTCTACCTATTGAATCCATCAGTACGCACACATAGCATAGCTGCGCGTAAATTACCTCGGGATTGGTAATGGCGTTGTTGTCGCCCCGCACTTTTTTTGGCTCAAGAAAACTGAATGCCCACTTCTGTAAGACTGAAGTCAGAGTCTCCGATGGCCGAGTCTCGCGGATCCTGCAGGATGCGGTGGAACGCGTGCAAAGTAGCGGAACGGCTGCAATCCAGTGCCAACACAGTACATCCAGTATAGCTGTAATGTTTACGCTTGTGTCGTGTGCAGCCTCACTTGTAGCTCCCTCTATGCCGGATAAGATGACGCAGCACGGTATAGCGTACGACTGTAGGTGTTGCAGTGCATAGACGAGAAACGGGTGATGCTTTGAGTGCAAGTGCCACTGTCGTAGCGCAGCTAGGACACATCGAATGCACTCTGCTGTTTCAAGCATCAGACCTTTTTCCACTAAGATTTTTTTTGCCACTTGATCCGACGTCATGTACCGCACTGCAACATCCCCGCTTAGCAATGCAAGCGCTTCCAAGGCGATCAGCGCAAGCTTTGATGGTTTGACGTGACGCGAGCCAACAACCTGAATTGTTCCTCGATCGACAATGGCACGCAAGGCACTCAAGTACATCCCAGCTCGATCTCCGAACAAGCACGGAATCGCAGTACCGCGTGCATAAGTCTGCAACTTGTGACGACGTTGTTGCAACAGCTCGAAAATCGTCAGGCAAGCAGTAAGTTGATCCTGCTTCTCGGCCACCGGCTGAACACGTCCCAGCAGTAATTGTCGTAGGTAGTCACGGTTCATAGATGCTTCACTACTTTCTCGTTCCACCATCCAGTCCAATAGGAGGTGCACTTTTTTCGCCTGTGCGCCCCAGACACAGCAATTTGTTCGAGATGCAGTGCAACCTTTCAACGATTGCATCATTGCAGCCCCTGCCACAGTGCATACTAAGTTCCGGTTCAAGTTCGTTCCTCCAGCTCCTTCTTCTTCTTCGATTTCTTGAGTGTTGTAAGCATTGACGACCGAGTTCAAAGCAGCTATCAGCTGTGCTATTTGCTTGTGGTCCAACAACGACAACACTCTCAGACCCTGGTACAGTCAACTGTCATGTGAATACTTGTAGCCATATCCCACTCCAAGGGCGAGTGTCACAGTGAATTACAATGTACCGCATCATTGCCTTCCAGCCTATCAGCGTCGTCTTCGCGGTTAGGCGTTCGTAGCGACTCAAATCTGATTCCAGCGTCAACGTGCTCGAGCTTGGCTATAGCTGCTTCCATCTACGCATACACGGCACGTTAGAATTCAAGTATTGTTCGGTAATGATCCAGTGGGAAGAAGGTACGTGAAAGAGCTTGCAGTCTCGTAGCACACGCAGCATTCGCCCGGCGCTGTCCATATCGCGAGGTCTCGCCATCATTGTTGGTTTTAGTGTTGTATTGCAATAATGCGATAAAGAGCAGTAGATCTGTATCGCACTTAGCAGATGCGCCGTTGTAGAATAGCATCCGTGTATTGCAATATAAAAGCAGCTCATGACAGTATTGCCTTCTCTGCTGGTTGCATAACTCCTTTTCTATCGTTTGATTAGTATGTCAATCCCCGCAACGAGGAGCTTATTACTTCAGCTTACGTCGTCTATAATACAATCATCGGTCAAGATCGCTTGACTGCTACAGACACGTTTTCGTATTCGAAAGCCACATGTTTTTAGCTGCATACTCGTTACGCATCGTTGATCAATGACTGGACCAGCTCTATCAAGCCGTGCTGTAGTTCTAGAAGCAAGGCGTTTTTACAAGTGCACTGTAGACTTTTTGTGGCAATTTTGCTCTTCAGATTGACAGATGAATAACGTGAGAGAAATCTCGAGCAAGAGCAGCCAGTCTTCGAGACCTAAGGCGGATTAAAAGCACAGCGAATTCAGTGTAGGCTCGGAAATAGCTTCGTTGCCCTCAAGGGGTCGGGAGAAAAAGAACGAGACCCAACAATACATCGAGATGAACTACTTTTCTACTTCCTAGCACATTTTTCTGACATGAAGGAGTCGAATGCCTTGCTCATTGGTGCCAAACACTAGTTCCGTCAAAGATGACTGCAGGTACTCGCGATCTATAGCTTGATGCTAAATCAAGACTAGTTGTGACAAAGTCGGTTCTCGAACTTGTGTGTAGGAATGCAGTATGTGCCTTGCCTCCCAGCTGCTTGCAAAAACACATCAGTCGGGGCGACAATTTAATATGACTACATTTAGGAGATCGGTCCTCATTAACCTAAAACTCCTTTATACACACACAAACTTCTACAGTTAGTGGCCTCCTACCTCACCAAAAGCGTCAAGAGCCTCTTGGAATCCGTCTAGAGAGTCAAAGTGCTGTGCACATCGCGGCGAGTGACGTCCACATCATAGTATCCCCCACTGTCGTCGGATTGAGCACTCAGGAACGACTGGTTCGATGACTGGTTGGATGCACCTGAATGCTGACGCCGAGGGATATACCTGCCATCGTCGCTTCCCGTGTCTGTCGCTCGACCAAAGTCAACTCGAGATGTCGAGAAGGCCGCCTTCGATTGATTGCCATATGAGTCGACCGATTCACGCTGCTTGAAAGCTGACATGGTCACCCCTAGAGGCCCAAGCTCATAGCTTTGACCTTCCCCTTCATTTGTCTCCACGCTTTCTTCGTCCACGCTGAGCGCGGTTCTTGACCAACGCTTGAACCCAGTGCTGCTTTCACTGCCGACACTGCGCTCGGAATCATTCGAAAAGATCGACATCTTTCCCTGAGGGCTGCTACCATAGACACCGGTCCTTTGAGGACCAGCAGCGCCCATGGCTGCTGAGAACACGCTTTTTGGCTTCGCCGCAGAAGCCGGTGACGTGCCCTGCTTACTGCTAGCAGACGAAACCAAGGAGTCGGAAAAATTCACGTATGACCGCTCCATCATTGCAAGTGAACTGCGCGCTGATTCTGCCGGAGAACGGTGTTGACCCACCTTCGACGCCCCCAATGGAGACGCATCATCTACTACGTTGTCGTTGTCGGCGTCAATATCCACGTCATCAATGTCCACGTCTTTCCGCTGATCCTCCCTGTTGAAATTGCGTTTCCTCCGCGAAGACGAGTTACTTGTTCCAGAGTCAACGCCAGAGAAACTACCAACATACGCGTCGAGAGGTACAGTCGATGGACGCGGGCCGAGACCAGAGCTTGACAGCCCTGTTCCAATTGCAACTCCTCCCCTTGCAGAGTGTCCCCTAGATGATGGCGGCCCTCTCGACGAGGCCAACTCTCCAATCGAATTGTGCCCCCGAGCTACACTTTGTCCTCTCGATAAGTGCAGGCCTCGAGAAAAGTGTCCCCTGGATGAACTTAGCGCGGCCTCGTCATCCGACTGACCCGTGCCGAGGTAGGCTGCCAGCACATCGTAGGTAGGAATTGGAGCCTCCTGGATAGGTTCATGAGTACGGGTTGACGCAGCGTTGTTTGTCTGAAAAGCGTCTGCACTTCGTGTTGAACTTCCAAATGAGTACTGTTGGTTGCGAGAGACTGGTGAGTGGACCGTGCCTCTGGAGCGAATTAAGACGGGGACAGCCTCTGGAGATGCCAACATTGGAACATTGTCCGAGTGACAACCGCGCGAGCTCTCGGTACTGTAACCGGATATGTTGCTTGTCTGTGTCTGGTACTGTTGCTGCTGCTGCAGCTGATTGTGCTGCGGCGGCGGCGGCTTGTCGTCGTACCAGACCACACCATAGCCGGCTGGTGTAGTCTCTACTTGCTCGTAATTGCGGCAATTGGTAGACGCGTTGTTGCCGGATTCCAGGTTAATGTCAGTGGCATCCAGACCAGAATTCTTCTTGCCATTTTTCGTATGACGACGAGCAGCGATCATCTTGACGATAATCGTGTATACTTGGCGCAAAAACAGCAACGAGAAGATGAACATGTTCACGCCAATGACGCCGTAAGCCACGTTATCTCGCACGCTTTGTGGAAAGTAGTCGGCTCTTGCCATGACGAGCAAAAGGCAAATCAGCACAACCTTCAGCAGCACCGAAGCGATGCCCAGATAATACAGAAAACGCAGCAAGTTCGGCTGACGAATGAGCAGCAACGTCATGTATATCACTGTGATTGCCATAATACACAATAATTGCGTCGTGGCGTCTCGGACGACGCCGACAACAGCACCAGTCATCACCGCCAGCAATATACGAGGGACAAAGAAGAAGCGATTGTCAAAGTTGTACTCGTCGTAGTACGCGCTGTACTTGTTACTAAACGCCCGCTGATCGTGTTCGTAGGTACCGACATCCTTGAGCTCATCGGTATTGTTCCTAATAACGATGACACCGAGTCCAAGGGCAGCCAAAACGACAATAGCAAGGGCGGCAATGCCTATAGCGTATCGTGAGCTAGATCCATTTGCCAAGGCACCAGACGATCCTGTCGAGATAAAGTAGCTCCCAGCCATCGCGAACATGTACTGCGCCAGCAAAAGGGCCAGCACACCCGTCCAAATAATTTTGCGATACCACATACGTGCCACGTCACCAAGCGACTTGTTCTTTGTCAAAGCGCCTGCGATAAGAACTATCATCAGAAACAGCACGTGCAGCACCGCGATCGCTACAGCAAACGTTCCGAGCGTGTAGAAAAAAAGATTGTCGGCATCAACTCCAATCAGAGCCGCGTATCTTGCTGGTCCGGCCTCTTCAGCCGCTGCAAAGACACCTGTAGCACCCGTACTAGAGTCTTCAAGTCTACGGGTGGTCCCGTCACTACCGTCACTTCCTGCACTTCCACTGCTTTCCAAATAATCAGCGCCTCCTTTGATGAAGTTAAAATTCGTCCACGAAAGGCCCTTTGAGAACTCAAGTAGAAAAGCAGGTGCCCCTTCAATACGAAGCTGACTGATCATGCCTGCAAATTGAGCCTGTTCGACAATGTGGGTCATCTCATAGAACCCACCTGAAAAGCTCAGTGCTGTTGCAGCACTAGGCATCAACGAAGCCCAGAGCATGGAGCCCGTACTGATCACTGCAGCACCAGCCAACGACACAGCAATCACCACGGACGCCGTGCCACCAGCTTTGGTGTCTAGAAAATGCCGCGGCCCCGTTGTGTTCATGGGCCACTGCGTGTTGCGGCCAAAGACGCAGCCAGAGCAGCTGTTGGCGTCAACGAAGCTCGAGTTGAGGTCTTGAATGTCCACGTCCGACGCGAGATCGAGCGTCTGGCGGATCTGGTCCTCGCCCCACGGGATCGCGTACGTGTAAAACACGAGGCCGAGCGCGGCCAGGATGGCCAGCGGCAGCAGCAGCGCGCACAGATGCGAGAGCACGATGCAGCCACAACACTTGGTGGCGCAGCAGAGCAGCCCCATGCTCGAGCGAACAGACGCGGAGAAAGTCGGGGGAAAACGGGTGTGGCTACGCGCTAGGACGTGTCGGGGAAGGACGACTGGGCGTCGATTGTGGCGGACTGGAAAGTGGAACTGGCTTTGACGCGGTCGAAGCGGAGACCTTCGCTCGCTCGCCCACTCGCTCTTTGACACGCTCCAGCAGTTTGAACCTTCGCTGGCGGCCTGAGGCCGAGAGGCGCTCGGGAGCTTTGGATGGGATGGCGAACAAGAGACCGGCGGCCAGGAGCTATTCAGCGCTCGCGCACAGGCGAAACGGATGGGCAATACCGGTATGTGTCGAGATGCAGCCAATCATGGGAGGGATCCCGAATATCCGGATGCCGCATCGCGCTCTGGGTGGAGCTTTTCTCTCGCTCGCTTTCTTTACAATGGACGACAATGTGACGAAAAGTTGATGATGATGATGGGGATCGGATGATCCCGTCGCAGGCAGAAATGTCCATTAGGAGGCGAAAGACAGCTGAGTTTCCAAAGGGTTGAGTTTCCCATAAGTCGGTTTGCTACAACGTCATATGGAGTACAATCATCGATGACCCGCGCGCGTATGTAACGGAAGAGATAAAACCACATCGCATGGTGCCGTGCATCGGCTCTTGTTATTTTTACATGCACACAACACTTTAAACAGCAGTTAACAGCAAACTTGTCACCTCAATGAAGACAGACCTTGTTTGTCGGTCAGTAATCGATCGGCAGCAAGTCACCACATCTCTTCGAAGAGATACTGCAGGAGGTATACCGAACCGAACCGGTTCGGACATCGCCCTAGAGGTTTCTAATTATCGACCGAATCATTTCTAACGCGCAGCTGCTATCATGACCAGTGCCACACACCCGTACGAATGGTATGTCTACCGCCTTGCCGAACACTTTGAGGTAGCGACGAGCGGCTGATAGATGCGTGTACCTTTTGCTATACTTTGTAGCGATATTTGTCTCAATTTCCCCGCAGAGGTCGATGCTCAATTCGTCTTACAAACGCTCGAGGTCGACGACGAGCTGCAGCCGGACAAAATCCATCGTACTTTGACTGTTAAAGGCTCCGATCTCCACGTGTACGCGTGCCAATGCTTACTTGGTCACAATTCTTCTCTTCGTTCTGTGCTAATTCAATGTGTTCTAATGGTATGTCCTACTTGTCGTGACTGGTGGTTGGTGGCGGTGCATCGCAGTCACTTTGAAGCTACTGAGATCCGACTGCTGCGCGCAGCAGTGTCTTCTTTTTATGACATGAGCATGCTGACTGCTAGAACATTGCTGGAGTTCAAGTAGGTGGAGAAGCAGAAAGGAAAGGTGCAGGGGCATTTAGTCAAGGGGGCGATGGGACTCTCAAAACAGCATGTTCCTGTATCGACCGTGTTTATTGTTGCTTCGAATGTGGCTCGATCGTAAAGTTGACGCGATCTCCGACGCAAAGTCCGCAAAAGATGACGTATCGCATGTTCAATGATTGCGGTGTTCGGATTCGCTTCGGTGAGTTGCGTTAGCACTGAGACCTCGAAACGTATTGCTTTGGTAAGCTGTTGCACAATTTTCCGCCTGTAGATGCAAGTTCTGTTCGGACCAGGAACAATATTTGAACATGTTAGCTTACATCGATCGATGCTATAGAATCTACCCTCTTTGCGCGCTGTGAGGCCATTTCGTTCTGTTCACCCCCGCCGCAGTTTGGTCGTCACTCACTGTGACGGCCGATCGTTATCGATGTTTGCACATGTGTAAATCCGATGTGGAAACGTGTCTAGTCTAGCTCGTGAGGTCCTGAGATGTGGAAAAATGATTACGTAGTGTGTTACTTGTTGTTAGATGCTGAGTGCTTGAAACTCCGAGGGATGTGGACACGTGGGGCTCTCGTATATGAATGCTGTTCACGCCGCCACTGTCACAATATAGTGGAATGCACAAGGCCGATATCGAATGTACGTCAGCAAGAAGATCCTGATTGACAAGACCACTGTTTTTCGGATTCTATGGTCGATTCCCGGATTCAGATGGCATGGCAGGCGCAGGGTTGTATCTATGTACAGCCAGACATTTGGCCGACTATCTACCATGTCAACGATGTTTGACACTAGTAAAGGTGCCTGGGGATTGCCGAATCGCACATTTGACACGCTCCCACGAGTGGGCTGCCAGCAGCTACAAAAGCAAGCATCGATGCTATCAACACGCAGTGCACGGTGATCAAGTCACAATACTACTATAAAATCCTTGCCACAAGGGGCAAGGAGAATAATTTGTTGGCTGGGCACAACAATAGAGCTGTCGCCACCGGTACACTATCGATGTCTACCCACGAAACGATTGCAAAGCACAAGTTATACTCTTCTGCAAGCCAGGCATCGTGCTACATGTCAACCTACACGAGTCCGCTAAACTGCGACGCACGTGGTCTCAGAGAACGCGCACTAACGAAGTATGGAATAGCATCAGTGAGATTGGACTAGAGGAAAAGTGTCTCTTGAACCGGTGGCAAGTCCATACCAGACAGGGCGCCGCCAGCTAGTGGCACCACTAAACGGACAAGGCTCGTTGATGAGGTGCTCTGCTTTTCGCACACCACCTGGCGACGACCAGCTGCAGTAAAGTAAAATGAAAAGAGGTTGCGTCACAAGATGAGTTCATGTCTCCTTCGGAATATGTGGCTTTCTAATGTATTGCTCCGATACTTTGTGCACATATTCCGCTGCCCAGTGTTGGCTGTTTGCATGGAAGAATGCGCCAAGTTCAAAACCGATCATTCGATACTGCAGTGCCACTGCATTTTTGTCTTTTGCCATTGGCAAAGAACCGTGTACCCAAGTGCTATTGTGTCCACATCATGTCCAACCAACCAACTGCTGCGTCCGTCCCTACCCCCTGGTGTCGTGCACGCTGCGAAACCCTATGCGTCCTATTTTACTGTCGACTTATCAGTGTCGCTGTTGCGTCAGGATGTTTGGTTTTCCAAATTAAGGATGAACAAAAGTAGAGAACAGAGCTGACAGATGGTGTTCGTACAATGGTGTTCGTAGAATGGTGCTTTAAAACCGTCGTCGTGAAGGGTCAAATGGACCTACTTGTCTCGGACGACTTCTGCTCCAAACTCCATCGTTCCAGCCCACATCTCCTATCAAACTGCCCAGCCAAAACGCCACCTTTTGAGCAAGTGATGGGTTGACGCGTGGGCTTTTGGCAGCAATTGTAAGGTAGCATGCTTGGTTTGGCATCTGAAACGGCCACATCAGTTGTTTCGCCTGTCGAGCGACCTGCTTGGCAAACGTCCGTTCGTTCTCAAGCCAGAGCAGCCCACTTCACCTTGCATAGCAACCGACTTCAGAGCCATCGTCTTGTTTTGCTGCCAAATGCTCTCTTTTAGCTGTGCCGAGCTCGCCTCGTACAATACAGGTGCCAGAAGAAGCTGCAGCTCGCTACTGGCGGAAGGTGGAGCAGTGTTTTCCGGGTCGGGGTTAAATACGCGTATGCACCTTTTCGACGACTCTGCAAGACGCCGACATTGAGAATTTCATTACTAGCGAGCTGTGTACGTGCAGTCTACTGATGTGACAATCTCGCCGGATCAGTCCGTGGGTACATGCTGGCACAGCACCACCGGAATGCTGGACGCAACCTTCGTGACCTGGCCTGCGACATGTTGATACCCAGCCTGCCTCTCGAAGTCTCATCCGATCGGTCTACTGAAACCACGATACTGTATCGCCATGAACGAGCCAGTAGAGTGGGTTGTTCTTTCCCGCCATTGTGCCGACTCAACAGTCCGAGAAAACCCACAACGAGGGCACATGTGTTTGTCGTGAAGAATCCAGTGCCCTGTCGCCTCACCGTAGCGAACCCCCGGCGAACGACCGGCACTAGAATTTCCTAAAAACGACGTATAAGACGTTTTGGAGTTGCGTAATGGACCAAGGATCAGAGACCGCTGACGTCCCCGTCATGAAACCGCAGCTGCGTCTCCATGACGTGCTGCCGTTTCTTGTCAAATGGTCGTAGTAGCAGTACCGGTATTCGCTCCATCCGACTCAGACGCGGTTGCGCCAGCTCCCTAATGCTTACAAAAGCGCGAGTGGAACTCGATCGTTCAAGTGCATACAGTCCACAGCAGCACGTCTCTCAGCGCACGGGCAGCAAGCCGCTACTCGACGGTGCACACTTGCACTGCTTTGTACCAAAAAAGAACAAAGGATCTTTGCACGCTCCGAGTCACTAAAAAACAGTCGAGAACAAATAGTCTGTCATCCTCTCCCAACTCGCCATCCAGTCTCGCGATCCATCGATAGCGACGAGACAAGTTGACTTGTCAGTCGCGACTTCTCCTCACGTCATTGTAAGGCCGCATAGCGCTGTGTTTTTGCCACGACTTTCTACTGCTTCCTAGTATACACTACTCGCTTTAAGTCACTTGCTCCACGTAACAAAGCGACGACGTTCGCCAAGAGACAGACACACAGCCAGACAGCCAGACAGACAGCCAAAACCGTTCCATCATCACAACTCCATCCATACATTCAAGTATACGTCCACACATACATCCCGACCGACCGATCGACCGACAGACCGACAGACCGCGTGCCGTACACACTTCCGTACAGCCGCCTAGAAGCTCCCCGTACTCCCCCCTCCTCCCCCCTCCCCTTCCCGTTGCAGTCTCCACGACCTCGTCACGCTCCACGTCCGCCTCCGTCGACCCCTTCAATGCCCGCAATCGACGAGTCGTCGCACGCGCGTCGTCCGCCCATGGAGCCCACCCCCACATCCCGCGCGTCCGCCGACGACAGCGCGGCGTTCCAGCACGGCCAAGCGCCCAGCACCGCCGTCCGCGCGTCGTATCAGGACCCGCAGACGCACCGGACAAAGCGCCACAGCAAACACAACAACAACAGCAGCAAGAAGAAGAGCGACCGCATGCGCCACTCGCTCATGCACGTGCAGACGGACGCGCTGGCGGCCAGTCGCGCCAGTGCGCCGCCCACCTCGGGCTACCTCGTCCTGTCGCCCCCGGACCGATCGAGCACGTACTCGAGTCTGCCCACCACGAGTCGATTGAGTGCTCAGCAGCCCGAGCACGCCGCTGTCCCGTCGGCATCGAGCGGTGACGAGATCCTCAAGGTGGAGATCCCGAGGTGGAAGTCGAAGCTCACGACGGACAGAGCGGACCGCGTCCAGGTTCCGGCAGGTCCCGACAGTGCGGGGAACTCGCCCTTGGCTACTGGAGCTGTGCGGTCTGCGACGTGGGACGGGAAAGATGAACGTGGAGGCCGTGGGCTCTCGACTGGAGCCCTGGTCGTGCTGGGACGGGATCGAGACACTGGCAGTAAAAAGCGCTACACGGTGTTTCAAGTGTACGTGCACTTCCAATCAGGTGCCGTGCGCATGTCGGAGAAGCGGTACAGTCACTTTCGGGAACTCCATAAGACGCTGCGAAGGAAATACGCGGCCGTGGGGAAGCTCTACTTTCCACCAAAGAAGTTCTTCATGTCGCTCTCGCTACGTGTGATTGAACAGCGGCGCGAGGCGATCGAGACGTATGTGAATGCAGTATTGGCGTTGCGCCCGCGACCAGTTGAAGTCGTGCAGTTCCTGAGCAGTGCAGTAGACGATGACGATGAGGATGGAAATAGTACCGACGGCCCGACGCGTGGAGTGGATATGGTGACAGCACCGAAGCATTTGCAGTTAACGTCTACTGCACTTGGTACGTCTTCGGGGCTCAGCGGGAGCAACAGCTTTGGTCTGGAGGACGCAGGCGGGCACTTGGTGACCATGCAAGATTTCGAGGTCTTAAAAATGCTTGGCAAAGGATCGTTTGGAAAAGTCTATATGGCTAAGGAGTGTGGAAAAGAGAGCAAGATTTACGCGATGAAGGTATTGCGAAAATCGGAGCTGATTAAACGCAACCAGGTGGGACACACGATGATGGAGCGCCGCATCATGAGCTCGATTGACCATCCTTTCATCGTCGGACTCAAGTATTCGTTTCAGACCGCGAGTAAACTTGTGATGATTTCCGACTATTGCTGTGGTGGAGAGATCTTCTTTCATTTGAAGAAGTTTCGCTCGTTTTCAGAAGCTATGGTGCGCTTTTATGCCGCCGAGCTAGTGGCTGCTATTGGTCACTTACACGAGCGTGACATCATCTATCGGGACCTGAAGCCTGAGAACATTCTTTTGGACGAAACGGGTCACGTGCGATTGACCGACTTTGGTCTGTCGAAAACAGATTGCACGGACTTTACCGGAGCAAGGACATTTTGCGGTACTCCGGAGTACTTGGCACCAGAGATGCTCATCAGCCGCAAGAAGAAGACCGAGTACGGCAAAGCCATTGACTGGTGGAGTCTTGGCACGCTCATGTACGAAATGCTGACAGGCTGGCCGCCGTTTTTCGACCGCAACATCGAGCAAATGTGCTCCAAGATTATGAAGTCCCCTCTCAAGTTTCCTGCGCATTTTGGTCTAAGCTCAGAAGTTAAGAGTCTCATTTCTGCATTGTTGGATCGAGACCCGACGTACCGAATAGGCTCGCGTCCTGGCGCTGGTGTTGATGATATAAAGAATCACGTATTCTTCACCAGCATTGACTGGGCGCTACTAGAGAAACGCGGTATCAAACCGCCTTTCAAGCCGCGCGTTCGCAGTCCAACTGATATTCAAAACTTCGATCGTGAGTTCACCAAGGAGTTGCCAGACCACGGTTTCTTACAGCAGGACAAGCGCTTGGCCGTGTCGCCCAAGAACGAATTTCAGGGCTTTTCTTACACTCGGACAGAAGACCCGGCTTCGTGGTCGCGCGACTCAAGCAGCAGACAGGAGAAGCGACGGTCTGGACGTCTGTCGGAGCCACGGATCAGTGAAGGGTACGTACCGGAGAGGCGCTGAAGCAGCGGTGGATGTCAATCCGGTGTACCTTGTCAGACATCTGATTGTTGTTCCTTGTCTTGTGTCTTGTGTGTAGAATCGAGCGCGGGTCCGAGTCAACGGTAGACCAGCAGTATCCAGAATTCGGCCATGTTGCTCGCGACAGCACGGATTTTGACACCGGCTGTATCTAGAGTGTGTGGACCGTGGTCAACTTTCCGTAGTCCCCTCGCTCGCCACGTCCAGTACAACAAGAAGGAAGAAGCAGGTGGGTCAAACCCGTCGCTATCCCCTTACTATGATCTTTGTTCTAATCTGATCTTGATACAGGTTGAAGCCGATCCGAGTCGAGTTGTTTACCGGAGGACGCAAAGTACGTTGTAAGAAAAATGAATGAACCTTAAGATTACATGAGATCAGGGCACATCATCTGCTATGGTGTTTCGGAATCAAGAACTGCCTTTGGAACTGCAGCGAACACATCGAGCGATTGCTGACACGGCTTTTCCTGTGTGGAACCAGCAGTCCTGTGCATCAAGCGAAGGTCTGCGGTTCTTGAACGTGTGCGCACGCTGCAACTTGCCGTCAGCAGTGGCATCGCAATGCGAGATCCATCGTGAAAATTGCGCTACACGTGAGGCCAAGGACGCGGTCGTCAGTCTGACTGATCGCGAGCAAGTGTCACGAACAAGCTGGCACAACACACAAAGCATACTCACTGCAGACGCGGTAGATAAATTGCGTGCCGGTGTCACCTACTCATCCATCGACTGCTCAACAGCGATAGAGGGTATCGATTTTGTATAGGCTTGGTATGCCACTTCACCTTTCCACTGCTGCTTTAAGAGCTCTAATTAGTAGACAATGTCGCATTATTCTGTACAAAAAATCCTGGACGACAGTAATCATGAGCTGATGTCGTCAATCAACGATCACAGGATCTTGCTTGCGACGTGGAAAGTCCTGTGATGGTCGAGTTAGAGGATTACACTCTAGTGGTGGCCTTCGCCAAGAAAAGAAATCTGACGTTGTCATGACATCGTACCGATATTCATGCACCTACTTCCATTTGTTGCACCGCATGTGAATCGAAGGTCTTTTCGATGACTCTTTTCACCGCAGCCACACCCAGACGAAGTGTCAGAAGGGTTACTACAAGCTGTCGCAAGACAAGCTAATTCTAGCATCACAAGAATGAAAAACAATGTCATCCGCGTGACGGGTCATTGGTTATTCAGGCGATCGAAAACCTTGGACTTTCGTGCGGCAAACTTACGAAGTCTGGGTGACTTTGTATACGTATCTTCAAGCTTTCACTTCGACAACTCGGCAGACTTGCGAAATGAGAGCATAACAATATTGCCTGAATGTGACTCGAAAGCCGATCAACCTTCACCTCGTTGCAGTTTGCTACGTTTTTCACCAACGCACAAAAGAAAGCAATACCATGGGTTTTGCTTCTTTGCTTCTTTTACATTTGCATGTGAACGCCTTCATCGCAAATTACTCAGCGTTGACTTGAAGTGTAGCATAGCTGTCAGCAACAAGCTGAATGGGAATATCTTGTTGCCTGAAGGCAACACACTGGATCGTGTGTATACTTACGCATCTTCAGCGCTGGTAAGCTAATGTGCGCAGGAGATTTATACGTTTTGAACCGAATCCGCGCGATCTCTTCAGGCCAGCTGAGTAAATTCCGACGGTCTGCGTCGCCGATGAAACACAAATAACATTGCGGTGTGTTGTGTAAATGTGGTATGTGCGTATGGGCTGGTCGGTATCCAAAGAATCAATTCTTGTTTATGGCATGGTAATTGTAAGGATGACTGTATCGCTCTCTCGCTTTGATCAGCTGATATTACGATTTATGACACAGTAATTGTTCGTGTCTTATTCCAAAACATCTTTTTCGCTAAATACAGTACTACTCCCGTTTTAAAGTGAGCATCATTTACCGGTATTGCCACAATACAATATTCTCAAATATCGTCTTGATCACCTGAACTCAATTGCAATATTGACTAAAAGCTATATTGTTAAATAGAGGTAAAAATAGAAGTGATTAAAATGCATTTCTCATTCGGGAAATAGATTGAATCAGCGAAAAAGATCTAAACCATAAGATCAGCATAAAATAGCGGAGCAAGCTCTAGAGCTCACCCTTTGAAAATAGCATTTCGATTCGGAGAATTGAATCAAGTTGCAAAACACGATGTTACATCAGCAGTCACTGAAGAATGGGTACGATGCTGTTAATGTATGTATTGACCCAGTACAGTAGTATACATGGGCAACGCGATTAAGCCTTTGCTTATGAGCGTCCAGCATTTCTTTTGCGAATATCCACCTTCGATCAATTTTAAGTCAATCAATCACGTGTGTGCATCACAATAGCAACCTAGCCAAAGGGTGACTCGTATATGCCTATGTATCGTTAAGGGGGGGGTACAGACTAGATCGTTTTTTGTACGAGTAAGGGACACCTCACTGCGTTACTTACAGACAGACACAGCCGAACAGACTGACACAGACAGACAGACAGACACAGATAAGTACGATTTAAAAGCTCGGCATTCAACCTTGCGCACACTCACTGATAGCTTCACCCTTTCGGCTCGCAATAAGTTATCCGAGGAGTGACTGTATGAGCGAATGCTAGATGCTCATAGGCAAAGGCTGATCGCTTTGCACAGGTTTACTGTACAAGTTAAATGCATACATTCACAGCATCGTTCGCACTAATTCTTTAGTGACTGCTGCGGTTGTATTGTGTTATGCATCTTGATTCGGGTCTCCAAACTGGATTACATCTTTCAAAGGGCGAGCCCCAGAGCTTGCTCCTCTATCTTATCATTGATGTTATCTTAATCTCTGTTTGCAGATAACTTGCGCGAAAAAGCAAGACTTGCATCGGGAAACCGAAGCAAGTATCAGATTAGAATCCTCGTATGACATCTTCTTCTCATGTAGTAATATTGCAATTGAAACGGTCTTACTTGCGCTCGAGCTACATGGTCCGCATATTACGATAGCAACGGTCTTAGGTCCCATTTTTATTGCGCGCCAATCGGTGGCCATATCTACAGCCTCCCCACCATGTTTGGTCGGGTGTCTAGTCATCGTTACCACGCGTTTACAAGTCACGTGGAAGAAGTATTGGACACTCGAATGCCATGATGGAAACGATGACTACTCAGTAGGCACGCCTTCTACCGAGATATTGACTAGCGTCGGCGAGGACGTATTCCGTGTGTCAAAATCGCGAGTGGAAATGAGTGCTTTGAGCGATGGACGTGGCGAGCTCGCCGATGCAGCTGTGACCAAACACGTCCACAGCTCTATCGTAGCAGTGAGGCACTTGAAACAACGTGTATATAGTATGCATTCGACGATCGACTCGCATATGCAGAGAACTCCAAAGACCTATGTTAAATAAATGCATGCTGGTCTCTGCGCTGCTTTTGGAAAATGCTTTAGCTGATCTGCTAGTTACAAAAGTTACACCCGTCTTTACAACCGCATTGAATGAAATGCTTGTAGAGCATGAGGCTTCCAGAATATGACCGTTGGAAATAATTGTGAATACTTGTTTCTAGGATCACATGCCTTTGTCAACAATTCCACTCGGCCCTGCCGTATTGTTTAAAATTTTGCAACTACCGCATCGAATATGCAAAATCTATTATGGACACGCCAAGGATAGCTGGGCATAGCGCTGCTCGTGTACCGCTCCTTCGACCGTGTTGTAACAAAACAAAACTGACGTCCCGGGGGGTTAATATAAATGTACGTCCTACTTCCTGGTAGCCGTATTTGTGCACAATTATCCGTCAGTATGTCTCCACGATGCTTAACACATTCATTAGCTCATGCAGAACTTCTACAGGTGGCTATGTCTCGGTTCTCTTCCATCGGTGGGCTCGTTGTTTACTGACAGCACAAACCTTCACCGCATCGATTCGGCCGTTACTACTAGAACTTCGATTGACTTATGCGCAAGTATATTTTCCATACCATGAAGTGATGCACGAGATTGTTTGATAGTGCCACCACGTCAAAGTATGTAGTAGGATCTCTTTGACGCTCGTGCAGGTGTTTATACAATGCGCCCCGAGATGAACGGTGAAGGACCGACTATGGATTCATTACGAATAGCTTTACTGCGGGTTTCTTACACTTGTGCAAGTAGCTGTTTGGCATCGATAAGCCTAGTGCTAGCAAATATAGTGCTTTCGGTAACATCGTCGCAGCTGCCTGCTATGATGACATTGGGGCGGATAACTCGAAATGAAAGTTAATTGCCATTCAAAAATAGTATCTTGAGGATACATTCACGGATTTAGCTTCAACACTTTTTTGGCAGATGCGAGTTTCGCGAAATCGCATGCTATCAATGTCATATTTTGTTTTCGAGCGATGGCGCTGAGCAGAAACTTCCGGACGACGTACTACAAGACGCTAGGTGTGCCAGTCGTGCAGCATATTGTCGATGTGGAGGCCTCCTTTGCGGCAATTCTCAGTGAAAGAGCCGTGAATGTGCCACAGCTACTAAAAGTGGCGCTGGAATTGGGTATCGCACCGCCGTATCGAGCAAGGAGTTGGCTGCTACTGGCGGGGATACTGCCACCCTATCCAGGGCTATGGAGCTTCGTTCTCATGGAGCGCCGCGCAATGTTCGAAGACGTTGTAGAGGCGGCACAGGTACTTCATGAAAAAGATGTGATGGGGAGCGACGAGGGAAACGGAGTATACTATAACTTCACGGAGCTTTTGGAAGAGATGGACGATGTACAGAACGAGGAGTTGTCGTCGGTGCTGAATCGAAAGAGACTAGTGCACTTGCATCGCATATATTGGGGAGAATTTGCGATGTGTGAAGCGCCCCTCTTGCGTGGGATGGATGATGCAAATTACTTGCTTGGTGTCGCCCGAGCGGTGTGTGACGTGTTGACAGACGAAGCGGAACGATTTTGGGTCTTCACGAGGTTGTTGGAATTGTTCAATGATGGACTCGAATCTGTTGATCCTATGGTGCCCCTTAGCACGCTACATGATGCGCAACTTGCTGACTTCGAAGTAGTGTTTCTTCGTACGCTCGATGTGAAGCGGAGGCGCCAGGCTGCAGACGGATCGACTTCTAGTCTGCATATGCGTAAGAGTGGACATGATTAGGAGCACGGGAGGTGGCGATCTTAACGTAAATGAACGCGAGCATCACATTCAAATCAGAGACTAGTGAAACTAGTCACGCAAAACCTTCGATGTATCCGTCTGCAGTGTCGCCATCACTTTCGGATCCCTGGTGCAGCTTACTGGCAACGACTTTGTGGGAACGACGCCGTCGCGTCGATGGAGTCTTCGGCTTCTTCAGATTATCTTCCATATCCATATCCAATTGCTTCTGGTCCTTGCACGCAGCGCGCCAAGCAATCATAAACAGATTCCAACTCGACTCAATAGCATCGTCGTTTCGGCATAAGTCATCGACTGAAGGAAGCAAGAGCTTTTTGGGAGATCGTTCCCTCGCCTCGACTAGAACCTCTGAGATGGATGGTTTAAACGTAGCACACCTCTCATCGTCCAGCTGGTAGTTGTTCTTAAGTGCGAACTTCAGACGAAGCAGCAGCGCAATCGCGAATGCAATGCGGCCGTTCTTTTCGAGAGCCGACAACGCTGAGGTTCCCAGCGGGCATAATGGCCGAAATTCAGCAACATTTATCATCGAGAGATCCGAATCTTCGTCTTCCAGTTGTTCGGGTGCCATACCTGCCTTCGCAAAGGCACCTTTGAGATCTTCTAGCACATGACTAAAAAGGTGCGGTTAGTGGTCCAGCCATAGGGACTCTCATTGATACGAGATGAGAACGTACCCGAGTCGAAGACTGACATAGCGATTAATCAGATAAATAACATACAGCGGTTCGTCCTCCACATCGTACGGTAGCGTCGAAATAATTTGCGCGAGATAGCACAGATATTTAAGAGCACTCACGGAAGCTTCCTTGCTGCTACCAGCAGCCATATCGTTGTTCAACGGCTTGAGCACGGTTCCCTGATCGTGAAACTGATCGACAAGGGCCTTTAAAAAAAGCGATTCGCGCGATTTGGTCGACTTCAGAAAGTTCATGTATAGCCGTCCAAACAGACAAAAGTCCTTTTCGTTTGCAACGCTTCCCAGCGCTGAGCAGTTGCCATACACGCTGAGCTGGAACGCATACGATTCTCGGATACCCTTGATCAGTGGTGTGTGAATTTGACTCTGGAACTTTTCGTATAGTGTTGTCAGCTGTGCGAAAGCTGCATCTCGAACATCCGGGACACGATCGGTCTCTAGTGCCACTAAATTTGGAATGCACTGCAACGGGTTCACCAATCCTTGCGTGAGTAAGGCACCGACACATGCGACGGCCTGAATTCGAAGTTGTGGCGCGTGCTGCATTGATAGCCGCAATATGTTTTCCAGTTCCGCTTGCATGATGTTGCCTATCAAGGAGGCGTCAGCTTCCTGATCCCCTTGAACTTGCTGCTCCTTACTTTTCGATTGATTCATCATTTGTGCCGCCTGCCCATTTTCCAAACGCCGCTCTTCGTAGAGCAACAGCTCTTTCATGCTTACCAGGCATTGCAACTTTACCTTCAGTAAATTAGATTTCAACATAAAGTCAAGCAATTCATCTTGTTGTGCCCGGAGGAACAAACGAGGTCGGATCGAAAAAAGAAAACCCATGCCTTGCACAGCTTTAGCGGCACATGATTCGTTGCCTGGCATGCGAACAAATTGGCTATACAACTCATATAGCGACACTGTGATTGTTCCAACCTCCAGTACTTTTGTCTCCTTGGAAAGATCTAGACACTCATCAATGTTCATGGCGCCAACAATTTTCCCCGCTGCATACAGTGCCCGCTGGAGAACATGATCTCTTTCTAGCAGATTAGAAAGAGTAGTCTGTTGTCCGTAATTGCGCATATTGAGATAAAATCGTTCCAGCAGCCGAAGCAAGAGTACTCGCGCAGTATATCGTCTTTTTGATAGAGTTGCAAGACACTTGATACTCGGACCAACAACACTCGGAGGAGAGCGTAGCACGAGAGCCTTCAGGTCATCTTCCAACCTTTCGGCGATGGACTGCGGAACTCTCTTCACGCTCAAAATGTTGTCGATCATTGAAACAGACAACTTTTGAATCTTAGCGTCTTCTTCCTTCAGGTATACACGGATGGTTTCGAGGTGTGGAACCAGGAGTTGAGGTTTCACTTCACAAAAAGCAGCAAGGGCCGTCATGCACGACAAAAACTGGTGATAACCGTCCTGTATCGAAACGCCGCTGAGAAGTGTGCCTTCTTGTATGTCCATAAGACAGTCCACCAGACGGGAAATTATCCGTTTGGAGCGATCCTCAGCCAACGCAATTTCAGCAGATCGACTCTGACTGCCTCTTGCTGCAGTTTTGCGAGAGATGCTATTGTGTGCCTCCAGCAGCCTCTTCAAGAGTTTAGTAAACCAAGTTAAGTTTGGCATACCGTGAACAACTTCAACGATGGTTGTGACGACTTCAGAACTGTTATCTAGCTTTGAGTCATTGCCTTTTACTACGCTAGCTGGTGTCACCATAGGAGTGTGATACGAAGACCATGCGTCTTCGATTGAGTTGACAATGATCCCATCTTCTGAAACAAACGTCGCGCTTCCATCCAAGAGCGAACCGGCATCAGACTTATCATTAGTCTGTGCTGCGACAGGCTTCCATCCGGGCGGCAGTGTTGTCATATCGCAAAATTCATTAAAATGATTCGTAAGTCTCGAGGACGATAGCTCAGCTCCAAACCACACTTCTTGGAATGTATCGATGATAAAATTCTTGACGCCCTGATCTTCAGCCGCATCTCCGACACGTTCAACCAAACACCGCATGCAATCACTTTTCCGGCGAAGCTCTAAGCCTGTTCGTACATCACACGACAAAGCTAGCTTGAATATCTTGCAAACACTTTTCCGAACTTTGATGCCTTTGTCGCGAGCTCTCGCAGCAAGTACGTCGAAATACTTGTCAAACTAAGAGCAAATGTAAGTTTATCATTAGTACAATATCGTGCATTAGTACAATCCCATGTTCGCCCTAGCATGGTCTACGTACTAATAGAGGCTGCAGCCAGATGTAGGTCCCGACCAGTTCGACCGCTGCTTCACGAACTGATGGCTTTTCGTCTGAACAACACTTCTGTACAGCTAGCTGTACACCAGCTTCTGCCATAAGCATAGGATCGACGTCGACAATAGCTCGCAAACATTTCATGACTCGAGCTCGCAGGCTTGGTATTCCTTTAGAAAGCAGAGCCATGATATGCGCCAGCAAGCGGTCGAATAGACCACAAAACCCACGTTTGACGACAAGACACAAACATGCCTTTAGCGCCAACTCATTTGTAGGAATAGCCACCTTGATCTTTGCGTCAATGCCGCCCTTCGACACATCCCAAAATGACTTCCACAAATTTATTTCTCGTTCCGCACACATCGACCCGGCAGTGTCCCAATGACCACCTGTTTCCGCGATAAATTTTGTGGTCAGCAAGTTTGTTGCATCTCCACGAATAAGGCTATTTCGCTGAAGGTACATCAGAGTAATACGCTTCAGCGCCATTTGATAGTACAAGTCGTAGCTGGCATCTTTAAGCACATGTTTGGAAGTCATTTCTGCACCAGCTATCGACGCATACAAACTGTTTGCATGCTCTTCAATGACAGCAACAGAGTCACTATCTTCTTTCATCGTACTCTGGCTAGCCTTGATTTGGTAGCGCCTGATTGACGCACAAATCTTCCCAACTGTGTTAAGCGCAGCAACAGTTTGATGTGAATCCGGTTTGTTTGTGTTCTTCAAGATACTTGCATGCAGGACACTCGCCAACGAGGAACTCAATGCCTCAAGGAGGTATTCTGCTCCTATCCATTCTGGGCGTACAAACATAACAAGAAGGTCTTCAACAAAATTGTCCAAGACCACGCGGTTATCACGCTCTTCCACTTTCTTCCAGCATGCTCTGAGTAACTTCTGGACAAATGACCGCGCATTGTTCATTGTTTCCGCTAGCGTTCCTTCTACCGCATCGTGATCCTGTTCGCCTTTATCTCCAGAGGCAGTGTCCGTCGCTGAAGGAGATTTAACCAAGTCTGGGCGCGAATAAATATTGTCGTTTTTCACCATAGGTATAAAGGCAGAAGCGGTCGCTTGTATCATCGAAACTGCAAGTGTTGAAACTTGCTGCACGAGGTTCGTCGAATCCAGCAGCTTGACCGTGCGAAGTGTACGTTTAGCCGTGGGAAGCTTGATCATAACCTCGACTACATCACCAAGCAACGACTTCTGGTGATGCTTATAGCGTACGAAGATGCTTCGCAGAATCGAAAGAGCACTGTGTTGCAGCGATGTTGCATAGGAGCTGTGTTCTAAGGAAAACAGTTCGATCATCGAGCAAGATAGAGAAAGTATCCACCGATCCGAGAGCTTTAGACTCAAGATTAACGCAGCAACTTGGTCCATGTACTCACACACGACGTGGGAAACTCTGTCGACAGTTTTGCGAATGTCTCTGCGTGTCTGTAGGTTTACTCGGGAAGATTTCGAGCTTTTACACCCGGTTGACTGCCGTCGAGCATTGTCTTTTACTATCGGCGCGGAAGCGGTAGTGACATGGGTGGTGTCAATACACGGAAGTAGCAACTGACGAATGGTATGATATAGAAGTTGGAAGCAATTGTCAATTACATCCTCCGAAAGAACGCGCCGGTCAATATGAGGCGTTGTCATCACAATGAGCTCGCAAATTCCAACATCAAGGGACGCGAGAAGTCGTGAAACAAGCCCATCATCAATCTTCTCAGGCAGTGGCTTTCCCTTCTCAATGCTAGGAAAAGCATCTCTCAGCACATCCACTGCTAATCCCATCTTCACCTGGACGTCAAACGCGTTCATCAACGAGATGAGCAATTGCGGTTCCAGCTTGTCAATCCATTCGTTCTTTTCCATTGCTCGAAGTGACTGCAAAAGCATCTTGACTTCCTCAGGCTCAAACAAAATCATGCCATCCCTGTCAAAGCTTTCGTGCTGCTGGCGACATGTCGCATTATAAGCCAGACTTTCCAGCACTGACGCATACTTATCAATGTTATCCGCCGCAATCTCCGCTTGAGTAAAGAGCGTCGCCAATTTTTCTTCGTCGTCCATGTCCACATCCAGCTTTACTCCGGCGTGTACCTCATCCACGCCAGACGGCACTTCATCAGCTTCATTCTGGATCAGACTTTCATGCTTTGCAGAGTCAGTTGACCGTCTCTTTCGAGACCGCCCAGAGTCTAGTTCCTGCTGTGTTTCCGAGATTCGCTTTACACCATGAGCCTCATCGCCTAGTATCACACACACGAACAATCGTGTCCATTTAGTTGTCCAGTAATCAACTCCAGACCAACATGGCACCCACATACGAGCATGCAAATCATCTACTGACCATTGAAACAGCCGGTCTGTACGACCGCTTGCGCCCACTTGGGCAGCGAGTTCAACGTGTCCGCGTCGATCCCAGTCGCCTCGTCTGCTGACCCGCAGTGTTCCCTTGTGGATTTGAACAGCAGAAACCAGCAATTTCACAATACGAATTTCTCAGGTAAACGCGCTAAAAGGAAAACGAACAAAAGCAACCTGTCGCACCCGAGTCCATCGGTGGTGGCGGTGCGAATGAGCGCTGCCAACCGCTGCGAATCGTAGGAATGACATACTTGCGTGGAGTCACAAGTTACTGGATGTAGCGACTCGCGCGCGTCTGCAGCCAACGCGTCCTCCGGGTCCAGATACAACGGGAAGAGGTAGTGCGCGCTCCGCATTGTCTTCGGTTTGTTGCAGAGTGAGAGTGATTGTTTTTGAAGTGCAACGTTTCCTTTTGTTGATCGAATGTGGAAGCAATTGGTGCAACATCAGTCAAGCACGTCAATTGAAAATGGAAGTTACGTCGTTTGGGTTTACAGCTTTACAAAAGAACGTTTAACGGTGCTTGACGCCAGACGGTGTTTCCGTTCACGCTGTGGGATGGCCCCTGACTGGAAAATTGTGAACAAAAGGCGTATCTAGTGCATCAGTGAAAATAGAGAACACGTCAAAATTCAGTGACAATGTGCATCGATGACTGCACGTAAAGAAAGAGGCTTACCATGTTCCACATCCAGATACAGTGCAACACGAGCTTTGCGGCGGGTAGTAGTTGAACGTCTCCAGTCTTGTGAAAGTTGCATATTGGCACAAAAATGTCGCCGTAGAGCACTATGACCGACACGAACAATGCCAAACGGACAAACTGCTGCGTGTTAGACTTGGATCGTGCTCGCATATCTCGTCCTTCTACCTTACCAGCTCCGTGCTGCGTAAATAGATCATCTGCACAGCCGTTGCTGCGGCTAAGCGCGCTGATTCGGGCTTATCGTAGTCCAAAATGACAGCCACACCAAGGCAACCCACCACGGCCTGCATGGGGTAATAGTATTGATCCAGTGTCAGGGCCACGAATATAGGGCGATGTGCTAATCGACGACTTGCGGTCTTACAAACTGGATGTAGACAGCGACATCGGTGGATCGCGATCGACCGACTACCGACGCTGACCCCCATAAGAAGCGGTCCAGCTCATTATGATGTAGCACAACCATCAAGCGATACACGGTAGCTCTACTGACTCAAGCTTGCTGGGTGATCGGTTGACACAGTCAGCTCTATCGTCGCAAATCTTGCTAGGCGATTGGTTGATACAGTCGGCTCGCTCGTTACCAGCATCAATCGCATACCGAATTTTGGTCTGCTATAGCGAGCGACTGTTGAACGCGTATAATAACCAAAGGCGGCGCCCCTTCATCTTGGCCGTTTTGAAAAATTTGATTCCATTCCCATTTTTTTACGTAAAACATGAGAAGACATTTCTGAGAGTAGTTCTACCTATTCCACACGTTCTTTGCCCTTGTTCATTTTGACAAAGTAGCTCTCCAAGCTCTTCTGCTTTGACATGGCTGTTTTGCTTATAACGATGAATTAATAGAAGCGGCGGAGCGGCTTATCGGTTTCCTCAGCATAATCGAAATGAGAGACTCTCTCAGGCACGCACTACAGCAAAAAGTCCACAGCATCCTGCATCTTTCCCCAAGACACCGCCACTGGCGGCTCTCGCCATCACTACCTCATCATCCTCTTCCGCCACGTTCTGATCCGGCAAGACATCATCCATGATCTCCTCATTAGTTAGATATTGAATGATTGGTAAAGTGCCATGTACTTGATGCTAGCTTTGAGCGTCCATTGCGGCGACGACATTATGCGAGGGGATTCTTGCTCAGAGGGCTAAAATATGGCTAACCAGATCAACGTCCGCTACGTAAAGTAGAGAATTAAAGATCATACGACCTCGAGCGGGAAGAATACCGGTCTTTTCCCAGTAATGGCGAATGGACGCAGGTTGAACGTCGTTTCACGACTCGACGAGCATATCGATTGCCTGGCGGATGTTGGACTTGTTTTTAAGCTCAAAAGGGTAATCATTGATTGCCTCAAACTTTTCCAAGAGGTACATAATGTAGCGCGTCTTGAAGTTGAAGTTGTTGATAATGCCGGTATTGGCCGGCTGGAGATAAGACGTGGTGTTCGAGAGGAGGAAGCGAACCTGTGTACAAACTGAATGATAGTCAGCATTTCAAGTTTTGCTACAGAACAAGTCATGACACTTACCGTGATGTTGGTCAGCTGGTCCCCATAGTCCTCAACGGAGTGCGGAATGGCGTTGTCCAGCAGCAGTTGAATTTATCGACAAAGGCGTTGGAATTGGCAGTTCAGGTCGAGAATTCAAGGCCTGAACACGTCGCTCTTCAAACAAGCTAATTTTGATTTTTTAATGGGCATGTTCATCATGTCAGTTCATCATGTCAACGTTGAGGTGGCAAAGCGGTGTGGCAGCTGTGACGGGGTTGCACGTAACGGGGTACTTTGTACCAGGTGTGTCACACACCTGATGGTACCCCTAGGAAGGTGATTTAGAATATCTTATCGGTTTGTAGGGGCTGACGAGTGTCATCCATTAGGTACGAAAGATCTTTGAGTAGGATTAAGATATTCTATAAGTTTTAACATTAAATAAAATCAGTTCCCATTTTGATCTAAAGGACACGTGGCTTGCGAGCCGTCTTGATCATTAATCACTGACCACTAAGAGTTAGCAACACCTCCTTGAGGTAGCTACTCTTGAGCCCTGAGTGCTGTCGATTCACTGAATCGTTAGGTTACCTGGAACAGGGACCTGAAGCTGTAAAGCTTGTTGACTCGTAGGGTCGTTAGTTCTTTAGAACTAAGTTGCTCGTAGAGCGTTAAGTCTTCCTCTGACTAAAGTAGCTGTGTAGCTCCGCTACACTTGGTAGCACTTGTAGTCAATCTACGCCTGAGTCTTTAAGACTGATCCTCTGTGAGGATGGAAAACCCCAATCCCCTCTCGGAGGCCCAAAGGGTCACGCTTGATAAGCTGGCTGCATCTTTGTGTCCAGAGTACGTGAATTTCTTGTTTCACAAGGTCCTGAAGTGCTTAATGCACGTGTTGAAAGCTTCATGCAGTATGAAGCGACCCTTTTAGAGCAGGTATAAAACCAAGTAGCGTCGGCTATGCCTACACGCTATGTGCTTGTATCAGACGAAGAGGCTAGGCCTCGTCCACTTAGAGTGGAAGTGAAAAACTACTCCGGTAAGGAGGGTGAGAACCTCATTCTCTGGATCCGTGAGATTGAGATGGCCATGAGATCATATCTGATCACGCTTGACCATCAACTGGTCTCGCTGGCCATCTCGAAGCTCGATGGAAGAGCTAGAGAAGGGGCCTTGACGTGTAGCACGTCGGTGGACATAGCGTTTCCCACATGGGAGTCGCTCAAGTCACAATTGGTACAGGTGTTCTTACCACCTAACCAGGCTTACCGCGTGCGTTCACACTTTCTTTCTACCCGCAAGGGTAAGAATGAACTTTCGGACTATGTCCAAGAGCTGAGAATGCTTATGGCTACATTTCAGTCTGACCCTCTGCCTAAGGCAGTCCATGTGACTGTCTTTATGGAAGGTCTAAGTTCTGGCATTGCCAGAACCGAGGTATTTCGGGTTCACTCCTCTACTTTTGAAGAGGCTGTGAGAATTGATCTTAATGCTGAAAATAAATTTAAGTCGGCCAGACTTGGTTGGAATATGTACAACCCTCGCTTTGTGATAGCAAACTATTCGGGTACCACTGCCTATAATAGGCCGAAACCGATGGATCTCAGCTATGCTGAAGATGAATGTGAAGCTGAGATTTAAGCTGCTGAGCAGCAACACGTCGTACGCCGATGTTTTACGTGCGGAAGCACTAAACACTTGCGGCCTGGTTGTCCTTTGCGTAAGCAACGCCAGGCTACAAGCCAACACTCGACCCCGAGTCAGAAGTCTGGCATGGCACGGGGAAATGCCGACACCCAGTAGGCGCGGGGCGCCCTACTGGGGAAGAACTAGGTTCTGTTACATCTTTAGAAGGTAAAGGAAGGCAGGACTTAGCCCCAAAGAGTACCATGCCTACTGGTATGGTGCGTTGATACAAGTCTGGCTTGTTGGTCGCCGAGGCGAAAATTAAGGGTTTTGAGAAGCCTTGGTCGATATTGATCGATTCTGGAGCGTCTTGCAATTATGCTCGACGCTGTTCCCTTGAGGGAAGTCAGCGTTATGCTGAGGCCCTTACAGCGCAGGAGGGTGATTCTCTCACGGTTCGTTTAGCGACTGGAATTCGTGTTACTGTGCCTAAAGTTCCATTGAACTTAGGTTTAAAGTTTTTAGACTTTGACAGTATTGAGCGCTGTCTTGTCCTAGATTTGGACTCGAGATATGATCTCATCCTAGGTATGGCTTGGCTTAAACGCCATGAGCCATGGATTGATTGGAGGTCTAAGACCTTAGGCGCTACGCGCAATGTTCCTAGCGAAGTTTTGGAGAGTCATGAACCCACCTTCGCTAGGCAGCAGAAGAGTTATTGGCGCGAGCCTTTAACAGAAGATGTCAATGTGCTGGATATTGGAATGTCTGAGTTATCTAACTCCAATGGTACCAACATTAGATTCGAGCATAGCTCGTCTAAAATTAGTGAAACGGCACGTACTCCGTTGAGTGTTACTCGTTGTAATAACGAGTCACTGCATGCTGAAAGCATGGTTGGCCTAGGGCCGAGTGATCAAGGATGTGATTTCTTTGATGTGTGTGTGGTGGCACGTGAAACTACACCGAGTGCGGTCGACCGTGAGAGCACCGCACTTAATGTCGGTAATGACATTGTTGGCCATATGACATTTATTGTGGGCGGCCGTGAAGGCACCACACTTAAAGTCGGTAATGGCGTTGTTGGCGATACGCCGTGTAGTGTGGGCGGCCGTGAGGGCACCACACCTAATGTCGGTAGTGACATTGTTGGCGGGACGCCGTTAAATTTAGGCTAGACCCGCATAATACACGTGGAGTGGCACGTTTATATCCATTGGGTGAAGTGTTCGAGTTATGTAACACTTCACCGGATGTCGGTCATGACATAAGCTCTCGCATAGAGCGTACTACGGTTGGTAGTAACCATGGGGACAATATTGTCCCGACCCCTAAGAAGTGTAAGGTCTCGAAGAGACGATCGAGACGCCGGGCAACAACTGTAAAGCGCCAGGCGTCCACACTGTCACATAATATAATAGTAATACACTATATACACTTGTTAATGGAGTGACTGGTCAGGTTGATGGCAGTGTTTGCCTTGAAATTCTTCCATCTTTGGACGCTCTTTGTGAGCTGGACGAAATGTCTGATGGCGAGTTTATCCAAGCTTTAAAGGCAGGAGAGTTATCCGAATTAGCGGTCATTAGACCTGATACTGAGTTGAAATCTTCCTCCTTAATGAATGAGTCTGTCCCAGAGGATACAAAGGCGGCACTTAGTGCACGAAGTGGATCTTCGATCCTTAAAGATCCTCTGGATCCGTTCTATCTTTAAGTTAAGAAATTTCAAGATGTGATGTGTCACAATTCACCTTCTGCCTGACCTCCCGATAGAGGTGTACGTCATGAAATTGACTTGGTTCCTGAAGCTAAATACTGCGTAACACGGTAGTGGCCTTTGCCTTAAGAACAGTGTGATGTCATTGACTATTTCTTTCGTGCTAAGCACGCGGCTGGAATGGTTCGTGAGAGTAAATATTTCTATTCAACACCGACATTCTGTGTCAAAAAGCCAAATGGCAAGTGGCGTATTGTGCATGCTTATAATAAGCTTTATGCAGCCACTACACCGGCGCAGACGCCTATTACTAGAAAAAATGTTCTTCAGAACAATATGGTAGGATGTACATTGTAAAGTGCACTCGACTTAGTCGATGGTTATTACCAACTGCTCATGCGAGCAAGTGATAGTTCGCTAACAGCGATGAATATTCCGAGCGGTATGATCTGGGAGTGGCTCGTTATGCCACAAGAGCTATCTAACGCCCCGGCTACGTTTAAACGTCTGGTAACGCAACTGTTCAGACCTCATCGAGGCTATGCACAAACGTACTTTGATGATATTTTGTCCATAGTCGTGCAATGAATGGGCAATCAGATGTGAATAATCACATTGATCATTTACAAGCGGTGCTCGAGTGTATGCGGACGAATAAGTTGTATGCTAACGCATCTAAGTGCATCTTTGGTGCAGAAGAGATTCCCTTTCTAGGGTGCTTCATTGGGAAGCGAGGCCTTCGAGCGGATACCGCTAAGGTAAAAGCCATGGTCGATTGGCCAGTCCCCAAGAACTACAAGGACTAACGTAGGTGGCTTGGCCTTGCCAATTACTGACATAAGTGCAGTGCAAATTACGCAAACATGGCTCGGCCATTGTCCAATCTCCTTAAAAAGGATGTGGATTGGTTTTGGGCTAATACCGTACATGATGCTTTTAAAGCAGTAAAGGAGAGTCTCCTCCATGCGCCAATATTGGTTTTGCCCGATCCTTATCGTCCTTTCAGTGTCGTCTGTGACGCATCTGACTTCGCCATAGGCAGTGATCTGTTACAAACAGATTTCGATGGACGCGAACGCGTCATCGCATTCGAGTCTCGGCAGCTGAAAACTGCTGAAAAGAACTATTTAGTTCATGACAAAGAGCTACTTGCTATGAAGTACGCTCTTGTCAAAGTCAGAGTGCATTTGCTTGGCTCAAAGCCGTTTGTGATCTATACAGATCATGCGTCATTACGTACTGCGACAAAGTCGCCTCATCTCTCACAGAGAATGGCTCGTTGGCTTTCTTTTTTTACCGAATATAACTTCGAGGTGAAGTTCAAGCCAGGTAAGCAAAATGCTCTGGCTGATGCGCTATCGCGTCGACATGATTGTGAAATTGCTCATGTAACGACTCTGTCGTCATCATCAACTGACTTAATCCTTACGGCATATGCCAAGGATGATCAGTGTGTAGCTTTGCCACGTGCTCTTGGGAGCGATGAGTATAAGAACCCGGACATCGAATTGTCGGCACGTATACGTGCGAGGCTACATCGATATTCTATCGATAATGGCCTGTTGTGCTATCGCACAGATATTGAGGATAACCCTCGTATCGCTGTACCTCATGATGAGGAATTAATGTATCGAATCCTCTATGAGGCACATAATACTGCTTAAGTGGTAATCTTGGTTGTGATAAGACTTATAGCTCGGTGAGCCAAAGTTATTGGTGGCCCAACCTTTATAAGTGGGTGAGCACCTATGTGCGTACGGGCGAAATGTGTCAACGGATTAAACCCTCAGCACATGCGGCGGCGCTGCTGGCTAGTTTGCCAGTACCCACTTGTTGTTGGGAGTCCATAAGCATGGATTTTTTGTTTGGCCTACCGAGAGATTTGGAAGCGCAACTGGTATTGTGGTCTTTGTTGACCGATTAAGCAAGATGGCTCACTTAGCGGCTGTGCCGGATAGCATAGGTGATGAAGGGACAGCAAATCTGTTTATTGACCGTGTGATTCGCCAACATGGCTTGCCTGTGGCAATTGTCTCTAATAGAGACCCCAGCTTCACTGGAAAGTTTTGGAAGTCTATCTTCAAGGTGCTGGGCACTCGGTTGGACATGTCCACAGCAGATCATTTGCAGACCGACGGTCAAACTGAGCGTGTTAACCGCGTCATCAATGACATTTTGCGCAGTGTTTGCGCTGATACGCCTAGGCGTTGGAGCTCAATTCTCCCTGTTGTTGAGTTTGCATTGAATAACGCTTTTCATGCCTCAACTGGCTCTGCTTCGTTCTATATTAACGGTCTCACTCACCCTCGCGTTCCGTTAACGCTATCCCTACGTGATTCAGGGCTTGTTGGGGGAGAGGTTGCCGATCGGATTGCTGACATCAGCCCTGCTACCGTTCAAAAACAGGTAGGCGAGTTTCTCGCAACGCGATTAAATGTCTTAAGACATGTGCGTGACGCAATGGCTGATAGCCAAGATAACTAAAAACAACAAGCTGATACCAAAGGCAGAAAATGTATTGAACGTTATGAGGTCGGAGACCAAGTATCACTCAATGCAATATATCTAACTGCAAATGTAGTGTCTGCTGCCATTAAGAATAACTTGCGTCCACGCTTTATTGCGCCGTTTGCGGTCACTGCCAAGAAGGGACTTGCGTATAAGCTAAACCTTCCGCGCAAATTAGCACACATCCAGTGTTCTACGTAGGCTTACTTAAGCCGTACCGGGATCCTTCCCATGCGAACATGGAGGCGCTGAGACGACGAAAAGGGCATTGCCCTGGATTGCTATAGACGAATCAGCAGGTCCAACTGAACCTCGCTCCGAGTTTGAGCTTGCTCCATCGCTTGAAGGCGGCTTTGCATCACATCCACCTTGCACAGGGACTTACCCAAGGCCTCTTGAAGACTCTTCACTTCGAGAACCAATTTCTCGTGAGCCTCCACCGGCACACCGGCCGCCAACGACTTTGCTCGATGAGCATGGGTGTCGTCAGTTTCATGTCTAGAGACTACTGAAATGACGTCGTCGTCAGGGCTAATACCAGTATATGGTAAAGTGGCAAGGGTAACCTGAGTCTTGTAACTCATGGGAGCTTGAGATACCCCTTCGGCAAGACTGCCCTTATGCTTTGGATACTTTTGAGCATCGTCATCATGGTCATCTCAAGACCGAGGCCGTTTTCCACCACTTGTGGTGTAGGTCGGGTTGGCGGGTTGTTGGTCACAGATTGACCAGCACTCGCGGCTACCGTAGTAGACGAAGCATAGCGCGTGCGCTTGCGCAATTGGCCTCTGGCCTTAAGCTTGGCATAATCATGCCGAGGCTTGCGTTCGAGACGCACATCAGCCACATTATCACTAGCCCTTAGAGCAAACATGTTGCTGAGGCGACGTACATGGTGCACCCAGCGAACTAAGGCATCGTCTTCTTTGTTCACTGTTTCGCCTGCGAACAAGAGACTGGATTTACCCTTGATCGGTGGAACCGGTGCACCACGTGCTTGCTTGTCAAGGCTTGCCTTGTATTGACTTTAAATCGTTAGGTGTGGATCCAGGTACCTCTCACGAAGTGCCTGGCAGCTCACCACCTCCTCAGGAGTCTTAGGCCCATGGCCAATGACCCACGTTGCCATTTTTTGGCCGGCCGCTTGACGTAGACGTTCCTCCACACTGGGTGGAGTGAATACATATTCACGCTGGCGCTCAAGGGTTGCACCCATTTGTGCATGACGCTGAGCATCTTCTTCTTGCTGGACAAGCAATTGTTGTTGCTCATCGAGCGGGTTCGTGATGATAGTTTCATCAGAACCAGGTGTTGAGTGCTTCGCCAGTGGCGCGCCTGCATGTCCACGTTCAAAGAACGGACTTAAGGTATTCGAAGGTTGTACCTCAGACATCAGTGAGTCGGAAATTGTCCCTGTATCACCCTGGACACTGGTATTGCTACCATAGTCCACTGCCTCCTCTATTCCGAGGTAGTCACACAGCGTCTTTGACTCGTTTGGTGATGAGGACATCGTGCTAGAGCTTAAGTTGCCGTGAGGTTTACCGTACGCGCACTGTTCTCGCTTAGGAACACAAGTTCGATTGACGTTTTGGTAAACCTCAGTCTGGTGGGTGAGGGTGTAACGGGGTTGCACGTAAAAGTGTACTTTGTCCCAGGTGTGTCACACACCTGATGGTACCCCTAGGAAGGTGATTTAGAATATCTTATCGGTTTGTAGGGGCTGACGAGTGTCATCCATTATGTACGAAAGATCTTTGAGTAGGATTAAGATATTCTATAAGTTTTAACATTAAATAAAATCAGTTCCCGTTTTGATCTAAAGGACACGTGGCTTGCGAGCCGTCTTGATCATTAATCACTGATCACTAAGAGTTAGCAACACCTCCTTGAGGTAGCTACTCTTGAGCCCTGAGTGCTGTCGATTCACTGAATCGTTAGGTTACCTGGAACAGGGACCTGAAGCTGTAAAGCTTGTTGACTCGTAGGGTCGTTAGTTCTTTAGAACTAAGTTGCTCGTAGAGCGTTAAGTCTTCCTCTGACTAAAGGAGCTGTGTAGCTCCGCTACAGCAGCAGTCCCTGTGGCGAGCGGTTTGAGCTTCTTGATGCCTGCAAAAAGATGTATGGCAAATATCACTAGTTTTAAATGACGCTGCAAGCACACACTTGACGCATTGCATTCGAAACAAACAGTGATTCTGGCCTTGTTCTACATGTAGCCCTTGTTTGAACGCTGCGACAGGGTTTAGTTACGAGCCATGCGATAGAACAGCCCAGTCTCGTCACGGTTAAGGACGTCGTCGAGAGAAAACTTGTCGATGAGATTCTAAAGGCAGAAGTCGGAAAGCAGAAAGGTCTTGATGTGAAGGTCTTTCCGCCTCTCCATCGAGGCAGTAAGAATTGATGTTTTGGCACTCCTTGAAGCGCTGAAGCCACCCGTCAAAGGCTATGACCGTAACGGGGTAGCCCCCTACATGAAATTAACACCAAACGGTGTCGATTGGAATATTTGTCAAGCATGACAATATTCTACCGATATTATCCGGGATGGATAAAATTGAAGGAATTTTATCCCCTTTTGGATAATATTCATGCGCTGCTCCAACATTGGTTGATAAAGACATGTAAACAATAGATCGCCACCAATCGCAGCTAGACGCGCGCAATGAGTGGTGAGCAGATTGTCGTCATACGCCGGCGTAGTTTATATAGTTAGATAAAGATTAAAGTTACATTGACAGCTTAACTATATTAAATACAGTTCACTTTTAACCCTTTACTCAGCTTAGTTGCTGAGTAGATTAGCTTCCTCTACACGTACTAGTGTACGTGAAGTTTCGCGGCACCCCAAACAAAGGGGCCCGATTACACCTGATAGCACTTTGTAGTCCGTCCAACGACTGCTTAGTGTCCGTCCAGCATGAACATGTTGGACGTAGAAGACGACAGCGTTCACGTCACACGTGAAGGCTACTCCCATCTGAGTGACTCAGAATGGGAGGTAGTCGGCCGCATGAGTGTGCTCATGGGCGAACCCGCCATCAGTGGTATGTTGGAGTCTCAAAGCAGAGACCATCAACATGCTGCTATTAACAAGTTCCTACAAGGGTAACTTGCCGTCGAACGACATAAGATAGCCTTGCTTCAGCAGCAAGGCTCTTATCATTCGATGGGCGGACCGACGCACATGCATCGAACCGAAACCTTGAAGATTGATATCTCAAGGTGCAAGGGAACCGATGAAGATTTCCTTTTTGAGATGGCTCGTTAAGTTAGACGACGCCATCAGGGCCCGTCACATCGAGGGTGACGAGATGCAAGTCACCTTCGCCCTGTCAAATTTGACATGACGAGCAAAGACTTGGGCCTTAGAGATCAAGCTTCACGACCAAACGTGTTTGAGTCGCTGGAGATCTTGAAGTCTCGTCTAAAAGAGAAGTTTGAGCCGCCGAGAGACGAGTTCAGAGCACGCTCTGCACTCTTGAGGATAAAGCAAGGTAAGCGTGGCGTGCACGCTTACGCACAGCACCTGCGCTACCTTGCGAGTAGCGTTACGGAGAACCCTGTTAATGAGCACACGCTCATCAACGTGTTCATCTACGGCGTTGTGGATGGGCCGTTGAAAGTCTACATGTTCCGAAAGGGCTTCCATACGCTGGAAAAGGCGATAGCGTATGCGGAACAAGAAGACTTCAGCCTGAGACAGTCTCAGGCTAAATCGTCCAGCTATCGTCCGACATGGCGACAGGAAACAGGAGGTCCCGAACCAATGGACATCTGTTACATTGAGAGCGAACACTCTCGCTCTCTGAGTCACAAGCGAACGGCAAGATGCCATCGTTGTCAGAAGATTAAACACTACGCTCATGAGTGTATTGTCCCAAGCACCACATCCCGTGCAAAGATAGGACGTGATGACCACCGTTGGCCAAGGAAGGGTCCGAGGCGTGGGTCCGACCATAACGATTAACCACGACAGCAAGTCGGGCCGTCAAAAAACGGTCAGGGTCAGTAGGGGCGGAGCACCCTGCTGATTTAGCAATGTCACGAGAATTTGCAGGACTCTTGAGGAATATTTTTCCCAACACACAGTCACTGTGTTTTACTGCCCCTAGTGATGAGGAGTCTTTCATCGCTTTGAAGATCGAAGTGACAAGTGGAATGTCACTTCGCGCCGTAGTTGACTGTAGGTCGTCAAACAGCTTTATTCGACGCCAGTCGCTAGAGGATAGTAGACTCAACTATGTTGAGCGAGAGTTCCCTCCAACGAGGATGACGGTGTGCCTTGCTACAGGCGCATCCGTAACTGTGAACAAACGTGTAGTGGGAATCCACTACACGCTAGAAGGAAAGCAGTGCGATGAAGAATTTATCTTATTAGATTTAGATGACAAATTTGATGCCATCCTTGGTCTGCCATGGCTTAGAAAGTACCGGTCATGGGTTAGCTGGCAGCATCGATCCGTGAAGATGCCTGCCGTTTTTTTCATCGGATGGCCATCTGATGAACGTCTTGGAGCGTCCACAAGCGTGTGGATGTACTACGAGTGAGTGCGATGGCCTCACTTGTGGTCCGGTCGTTAGTACAATTGCACAAGATCACAGTAAAAAGGCCACTGCACTGTGGAACCAGCTTCCGGCACCTGTGTAGATACACAGGCTGCGCCGAAGGTTCACCACTCGAAGAGATTGAGTGGACTGGAACACGGATGCACACCAAGAAGGGTGCATCCGATAAGAGAGATTAGTGTTGTTCAGGATGAACAACACGTTGAAGCTAGATTGACTAACAGAGAGTCGACCGTAGAGCAAACCCGATCGGCTGAAAGAGGGTCGATCGAAAAGGACGTGACTGTGGTAGTACACCCACAGTCAGTACACGTATCGGAAGAAAATTCCGGCGTTCCTGAGAGCAGTAACTCCCGAGAGAGTTATGTTGAGGGTGTGGATGCCCAACCACCTGCGGATGTGTTTTCCCAGGAAATCACCGAGTCAGTGAATGTCTTGGTGAATGACAGATCAAGTGTAGGCGCTTATACACTTGATCTGGTTACGCCCCGAAGACAGCTTCGGAGGTGGTCACGGTGCCAACGCTATAATCTAAAAGATTCTTGCGAGATCTGCGTAGTGACAAGATCAAGCAGATCTGCGTACTCGTCACAGAGGACAAGTACGTCAACAATATTCGGTCGGCACAGGTCTTTGCTGAGATCAAACGAGTTCTCAGTAGTTCATCTAAGGACGAGATTGACCTCGATGGAAGACCTGGATTGAGCGATACAGGTCTCAATCTTGGCAGTCTTTGAAGACACATCCTTTGATTGAGGATTGAATTGAATTCAGGGGTGTTTTCCCGGAATCCGTGCCATATGAGTTGCCCAAGGACAAAGGCACTCGGCATGAGATCGAACTAAAACCTGTTCGAAATACTGTGTCATGAAGCAGTGGCCACTGCCTCGTGAACAAGTAACAGCAATCGACAAATTCTTTGCCGATCAATTAGCGACTGGTCATGTGAGAAAATTCGCTTCCCCACACAGCTCTCCGACTTTCTGTGTGCTAAAGGCCACAGAAGGGTGGCGGATAGTGCACGCGTTCAACAAATTGAACACTGCAACGGTACCGGCTCAAGAGCCGATCTCTAGAAAGGATGTCATCATAGATGGTATGGCAAAAAGTACCATCTTTTTATCCATGGATTTTATGGATGGATTCTATCAGATCCTCATGCGTGAACGGGACATCCCGTACCCAGCAGTAAGCACCCCCAGTGGTATGCTCTGGGAGTGGCTAGTGATGCCACAGGGGCTAAGTAACGTCCCCGCAACGTTTAACAGATGTGTAACAAACCTGCTGCGATCGGTGCGCGATTACGCACCGAGTTACTTCGACGATGTCTTCGTCCATAGCCGGGCTATGGATGGAAAGACGGACGTGGGGGTTTATAGAATCCACGTCCGGAAGGTTCTTACGCTAATGCGAGAGCATAAGTTGTTCGCGAACCTCAAGAAGTGTATTTTCGCAGTGCACGAAATACCACTTCTTGGTTGCATCGTGGGTAAAAACGGCGTACGCCCTGATCCGGAAAAGATCAAGGCGAATAGCGACTGGCCTGTGCCAGTCGACGTCAAGGGACTTCAAAAATCCTTGGCTTGGCGGCGTACTTGCACAAATGCTCGCGCACTTATGCCGAGATGACCGTACATCTCTCTCGTTTGCTAAAGAAAAACGAGAGGTCATGGAGCGCTGAGTGTCAGCACTCTTTTGAAGGGATCAAGAAAATATTGGTGCAATCGCCTTTGTTGGAGATTGCAGACCAGGATAGACCATTTCATGTGGTCTGTGGCGCCAGAGATTTTGCAATCGGCTACGTGTTAATGCAGTACGACTCAGACGGCGTGGAGCGCGTCGTCTGTTATCAACGCGTCAGCTGCAAGTAGCTGAGCGAAATTACCCGGTTTATGACAAGGAACTACTTGCCATGAAATATGCAATGGCCAAGTTTCGGGTATATCTCTTAGGAGATAGGCCCTTCATCGTTTTACCGACCATGCGTAGTTACGCACGGCCGTAGCCGTCCGGTTGCGCCATGTAGATGTCTTCATCCAGCTCGCCGTTCAGAAACGCGGTCTTCACATCCATCTGGTGCACGTCAAGGTGGTACTTGGCTGCCAGACTGAGGATGACTCTAATCGATTTGAACTTGGCAACCGGAGCAAGTGTTTCCCCGTAGTCGATGCCAAACTTCTCTGAGAACCCCTTTGCAACAAGGCGCGCTTTAAAACGCTCGATCCCACAATCTTGATTCTCTTTGACGCGGAACACCCATCTACATCCGATAGTTTTCCGACCCTTAAGTAATTGCACCAACTGCCATGTCTTGTTCTTGCGGAGGGAGTCGATTTCGGACTCGCACGCTTCCTTCCACTTGACCGCGTTGTTGGATTCCATCGCCGACTTATAAGTTGTCAGCATATCTCCCACTGAATCCACAACGTAGGCTGTCTCAAAGTCGTCCTCGACTTGTGCCACCGCCGACATGTTTCTGAGCAAAGTTTTTTTACTCTGCCGCTTGGGATCCGGAATCTACACAGCTTGTTTTAACGAAGGGGTTCGCGTGTGGCGCTTACTGCCGGGCTCCGTATCTTGGTCTTGCGCAGCGTCTTCTTCGTCAGGCTGAATTGGTACGGAAGAACATTCATGACCTGTACTCTCATCTTCTCGACTTTCAAAGACATCTTCTGCGTCTCTTTCGGTGCGTCTCCCACTGTCGAAGACGTCTTCCATAAATTTTGCATCGCGACTCACTAGAACACGACGGCTCTTGATCTCTTCAAAGCGATACGCTTTCTCGTGTTCAGAGTATCCTATGAAGCGGCAACAGACTGCGCATCAAACTTGGTGCGCTTTTGCTTCGGGACCGTCACGTATGCGTGACAACCGAACACCTTCAGATTTGAAAACAGCGGTTTCTTGCCGGTCTAGATTTGATGTGGCAACTTGTCTTGACTTGTGGCACGTGTTGGACATCGATTTCGAAGAAATGTAGCGGTTACAACCGCTTCACCCCAATATTCCTTGGACAGTACGGCATGCTCCAACATGCAGCGAGCGCATTCCGCCAATGTCCTGTTCATCCGTTCTGCCACTCCGTTGAGTTGAGGTGTGTAGGGAGGCGTGAGCTTTTGTACAATGCCACGACTGCTGCACAGCTCGGTCATCTCATGCGACTTGTACTCTCCGCCGTTGTCACTGCGAAGTAGCTTGACGCGGTTGCCTGTCTGAGTCTCTGCAAATGCGACGAATTGGGCAAACTTAGAAGCCACTTCAGACTTGTTCTTAAGCAAGAGCACCACACTAAAGTGTGAATACTCGTCAATGAACGTGACAAAGTATCTGCATCCACCGAGCGAACCTGTTTGCATAGGACCACAGACATCGCTGTGGATGAATTCTAGCATCTTCTTTGCACCCTCTGGGACCTTTGGCATACAGCTCACTCGAGTTTGTTGCCAAGAGCACACCCTTGACACATATCCCACTGTTGCACAGACGTGATGTTGATGCCGATGCCGTAGCCCTTCTTGACAATGGAGTCTAGACCGTTATGACCAAAATGGCCAAGTTGAAGATGCCAGAGGAACGACCAGTTGGTCCCATTGAAACCGGTTGTACTTGACACATTTGACTCATCTGGCATGAGCGGGGTCATGCATAACTTAAATAATGCCTTTCCCTTGCGCGTACCCAGCCGCAATTTCACACTCTACGACTAAGCAAAGCACCCGTCACTTTCAAATGTGACGGGGCCAATGTCCTTCGTAAAACGTCCCACAGAGAACAGGTTGCGCGTCAACTTGGGGATGTGCCACACACCAGTAAGCACACCTTTCTTGACGCCGTGTTTTGTCTTCATTGAAATGATGATGTCTCCCTTTCCCACTGCTTGTACCACGCCATAATCCGCCAAATGCACATCCACTGGCGAGATCTTCTTGTAGTTCTTCATGTGCTCTTTTGAGTATGTCATGTGCTGAGTCGCACCTGAGTCGACCAGCCACTCTTCACTCAGTTTGATGTTATTTCCATCAACTGAAAACAGAAAGTCGCCAGAGTCTTCTTCAACTAGCGCGACGCTTGCTCTTTGCGAACTCTGCCGTTCCGCATTCTCGCAAATCCTCACTGGACACTTGGTAATCCAATGTCCTTGCTACCACAGTAGTGACATGCACTGGCCTTCTGCACAGGCCGTCCTCCTTTTCGCTTGCTGTGATTGCTTGTCATGAACGCTTGACTTTGACCGTGCGCGGATTCGTCGACGCCGCCACCTTGTTCCTTGCGCTTCATGTCTTCATGTAGTAGCCGAGACGTCACGAGTTCCCATGTCAGCGTGTCAGCTCTCGACTCCAACGCCGTGATGAGGAACTGGTACGATTCACTCAGACTTCCAAGAAGCGTGATCACCAAGTCGTCCTCACTGACCGGAGCGCCGACCGCGTCGAGCTGCTCCGCCAGAGTCTTGAGCTTGTTAATGTGCTCCAGCACATCATCACCTTCGTCCATCATCGTCGTGAAGAAACGTCGACGAAGGAAGAGCTTGTTGGCCAGGCTCCTCTTCTCGAAGTGTCCTTCCAGTCTTGACCATGCATCATGCGCGCCACTAGCTGACCGGACCAATGGTAGCTGCGAGTCTTCCATTGCGAGACAGATGATTGCGAGCGCTTTGCGCGATTTTCTCTTGAACGTCAATTGATCCATCACGTTGGTGCAGTGCTCCAGCTTGACTTCTCCACATGTGACCTACCACAGGTCGCGCTCTTCCAGGACCATCTGCATCTTGAACTTCCATGTGTGGAAGTTGGTCCCTTTAAACATGTTAATACGGGAGATCGGCGTTGCGGCAGCGTCCATGGCGAAGGCATAGTCGGAGTCTTCGTTGGAGAAAACGGGGCTTGGGCTCATAACCTAAAGGCTAAGGAAGTCGAGCAATAGATGGTAAAATGCAAAGTGAATATGTTTAGGTCCTTAATTCACAAATTCTGTTGCTACTCTAAGCCTACAGGATTCTTCGACTACACATTCCTGATCGCCACATCGCGCATTACTAATCGTCTAGTTGCTCATTACTAATCGTCTAGTCGTACGCTTTTAATTCTAGTCATGCGTTTCTAAACACCCAAACGTACCGAAAATGGGGAATGTCACTGTCTGGCAGTACAGTGCTGGTGAACCCCAAACACCAGATCCCGAAGGCTTAACTTGTAATTTGTACGCCCCCACCGGTATAGAACCAGTGACCTTTGGGATGGTACTGCCATACCAAACCGGCTGAGCTACAGAACACATTTCTTTCACATCATGCCAGGACGTCTCTTTTACAACAAGTAAGACCTTATAAATAATCATGAGAACAGAATAATTAATCGGTGCATTTCTGTCACGTAAACATAAGTATCCTAAGACGTACGTTAAATACTAATGATGAGTTTTTGCGGCAAATACTAAATGACTGGATTTGCGTTTATTCGGCTGGGTCATTTTTAGGTATAGAGCAAAATGAATGGATCTATGGTCTTGTACTTCGTCATGAACCTCTTCGAGAACGACACGTGCTGTTTCCCACCAGAGTCTATGAGCCGTGCTAGATGGCTGATGCTGTAGTTGCACTCCTTTTCAGAGAAAAAGAAAATTTTGAGCTTTATCCTGTTTGTGCATCAACTTTAGACTCTGTGGACGACGACGGTCCGCGTTGTCTTGTGTCAGCACGTGAATTTTTGCAACGCAATAAAAAATCTTGCCGCAGTAGTTGCAAGCTCCTTTCTTTTCGAATGGCCGATCACTGCACTTGTTACTCTACCATCATGGGCGATTTACCTGCAGCGACCCTGTTGCTACCTTGCTCCTTCAGCTTTCTAATGTTATATAGAAACCCAGACGTCGTCGAATTCTACGAAAGCGATTCGGACCTGGACTTTAAAGCTGTGATGAGGAACGCAAACGACTCACATAGGCTCTTAAGGAGAGTGATCGCCAAGACGCCTTCACTGACAGGATAACCCATCGTGTCGATCTTCTCCACCAGAGTCTTCAACTTGATATGTACAAAATCATTTCGTCTGCTTCCTCCAACTTGGACATGAAGAAATGATGAAGAAGAAATATCTTGTTGGCCAAAGTTTTTGTCGTGAAGTGACCTTCCAGTCGCGACCACGCATCGTACGCTCCGCTTGTCAACCGAACTAAGAGCAACAACGAGTCTCTATCATACGACACATTTTTGCAATAGCCTTCTGTGAAATGCGCTTGAACGTTGACTGGTCCGCAGCAGTTGGTTAAAACTCTAGCTTGATCTCCCCGCTTGTCACTTCCTAGAGGTTCCACTAATTCAGCGCTATCTGCACTATGAACTTTTAAGTGTAGAAGTTCGTTTCATTGAACGCGTTAAAATGAGAGCTTGACGAAGGCAGCGTCCATTTTGAAGGGTCAGCGTCATCAGAGATTAGGCTCAGAAACTATCTAAGAAGGCACTTGCTGATCGAAATGCAAAATGCAAAGTGAATGTATGTAGGTCCTTAGTTTGCAATCTCTGTTGCTACTCTCAGCCTACTAGATTCTTCGACCATACATTCCTGTTCGCTATGCCGCGCAGTACCGATCGCCACGTCGTGCATTAGTAAGTCGTGACATGTAGTTATACAGTCGCGCATTACTGTTCATCGAGTCGTACGTTTCTAATTCTGGTCGTACATTTCCTAACACCAATGCCTACCAAAAGTGAGGGATCTTACTGGCTGGCTGAATAATGCCGGTGAATTCCAAACATAAGAACTCAAGGTTTTCTTGTACGCCCCTACCAGTATCAAACCAGTTACCTTTGAGTTGGTACTGTCGTATCAAACCGTCCTAAAATAGAACATCTTTCTGAATCGCATGCTGAGGCATTTACTGCACAACGATTTTAAGCTTTGCACTAATAAGTGAGCAAATTTCTGGGAATCACTCGATCACCGCAAAATTCTTGTTCTGTTGCCTGCAGGTTTACCCCACTATAACTACTTGAAGGTGTTACCTATCGAAAATCACTCGTTTACTACTCCCGAACACAAACGTGTTCGCCGAAACCAGTTTCGACATTCATTTATCATTCATCTCTAAATTCAGCTCTTGCGTTTGAAATTGTTATTTTACCAGACTTCATACTAATTTCACCACAATCTTACTGTCTCCACCACAATATAACTTTTGTTTGGATCATTATCGGCGCAGCATCCCACACTACCGCACCACTACTCGCTCCTGAATATGGATAGTAAGAGACTTTACTATCCGTAACATCGATGTAAAGTGTGGTAATAAGTAGAAGGAAGCAGAAAATTCGTTCACTTTTCAACACATATTTTCCTGTCCCTTGCTGGATCTTGCGCTTTCATTAGCCACCCTCGAGTTTGCAGTCCATTAGTCACACCTTTCCACACCATTGTCGATTATAATTGCTTACAAAAATACCAACTACCTCTTTGACATCTGTACATAAGCTAGATAACAATCTTAAAACGGTGCGTACTCAATAGCGCCTACCGTATAAGAAACGAGCGACGAAGAGTACAAGGATGAAGAGTGATACATGACAATGAATCGGGGAGGGGTGTATCTGCTGTGGATGATGCCCCTATAATGTTTTTTGCTACTTCGAGTGTAGGTTTTAATACTTCAAGATTAGGTTCACCACTGAATACGTCTACGAGTACCGGGAAGACGCTTATGCGGGTAGAGAGACGTACGTACATTGTTAAAGATTTGATGCCACATATGGCGGTGTTCAGCATGTCGTTACTTACGATGCTGAAAGTACAGATTCTGCAGGACACTAAAGCACTGCAATAGGTTGCGTTCTTCTAGCAGCTTTTTCCCGAACGAGAGGACGAACAAAATCTCTTGCTATGCTGTAAAAGAATGATATGCGATTCAGCAATTCCATTTGGTCCAAACACATGAATTTACTTCTAAACACGTATTGCAATGCACACTACTTTGACAAGAAGAACTGAAGGCACTAAAAGGCAGCAACTTTTTTGTCTTGTTGCTCAGCAAATTGAACGGCAAGTCGTGCACTACCATGAGAAATAAAAGAAAAGTGCATCGACTAACTTTTTGAAACCTTCTCTGGATTTTTATGGTAATTCGAGAGTGCGCTGGTTGGAAACCGCCGTTGAGGACGGGGGTGGATGTGATGTGGTGGTTCATTAGTGTGGTATGGTGCAGTATATCTATTTAAACAAAATTATGCTGTGGTGGAACCGATAAGAGCGTAATGAAAGTAGTAAAATGTGTGGGGGGAAAATATCCTTAGTACAGTTTCCAACGAAAAGCTTTAGAAAGTACGTAAGCAGGTGGTCACAACGACGTATGGAATACTCAAGTCATCGCAAAGCAGCACATACACGAGTATAGCCACAAAGCGATGTATAGCTCAAGGTCGCCAACATGTCCAGCATGTTGTGCTTTGTGAGAAGGAAGCTACGAAAACGCGATCAACTACAAGGCTGACAGCAAACTCCACTTCAAAATTACATTGACCCGATCTTCTCGTTACTAAGATGAAAAGAAGTTTACTTTATGTATCTAGTATCATTTTCTTTGCTCCGTATATTTTACGATTTAATTCGGCAAAAAGATTAGGCGTGAAGACAGGGTTACCCGCGTAAACGATACGTATCCATGTCTTCTTAATGACTCAAGGGTAGCGTAAATGACGATAGTGACTGGGTTGCTACCAGTGACGCAGAATAAAATTCTGTTGAGAAACGCATTTAGCATGCGGGGCAATCAAATACACCCATCACAGACAGATTAATTTATTTTAACGGTCAATTGAGCGTGAATTATGGTAATGTGACAATTTAAGAACGGGGCCGGCCGTCAGGATAGACGAATTAACTACGTTTTTAGATTGATGCAGCATTTTTTAAGATTAAGTTTGCAGAGTTGGCTGTTGAGCCATTTCTCGTTGCTTTGTGTTGTCGCATGTGTTGTTGCGCTGGCCACAACGCGCGAACCTGCTCTTTTGCGGCGCAAAGGGTAGATGAGTCACGGCAAATATTGTAAAAAGCATTAAAAAACCGATATTATAAGACGACAAGAAAAGACTACGCAGTCGTGGCTTAAGCGTAAATTTAAAAAAAAGTCGATAAAAAGATGAATAAACATGGATACTGATTTCGGCAATACAGATAGCTCACAGTTAAAGGGACCACGTTTAAAGGACCAACACAGTTTTAAAACCGCATTTTACTGGACAAAAACACCTACAAATTTTAAGTGCATTTTTCTATCGCTCAGATTTTGGACAAAAGAACGTAGTGACGCGCGCCCCATCCCATTCCCCCCACGCAAGGACAATTCGCAATTTCGAACACCTCCGCAGACAAACACGACCTACGAATGGCCGAACGCACCTTTCCTTCGCATAGAAGAGAGCTCTACAGACACACCAGCGAGAGAACCCTGGACTCACGCAAGCTGATCTCTGTCGATGGGCGCTGAGAGTCTGGAGTCCATGCTGCACGGTCCACGATCAGTAGGATCTGAGCGAGGACATTCCTGTCACCCTCAACCCGAGAGCCAAACGGCAGCAGAAGGGCAGGCATGCCGAGGTGGAGAAAGCGCGGTTCCATTTCGTGCTCGACACTCAAGGTAAAGTCACGCTGACCGACTTCATCCTCCACCAGAAGGCCAATCATCTTCTCAAGGACGTGGGTGTAACGACGACACTCTCTCTTTCGTTTGTGTCGAGGTTCAAAGCCCGACACGGCATCTAGTCTTACCGACTGCATGGCGAGGCGGCCTCAGTCGAGGATAGAGACCCTTCACCAGCGGCGCCAGGAACTTCGGACCCTTCTCGACGGCTACGCGGCGTGCGATGTTTTCAATATGGATAAAACTGGTCTTTTTTATCGCATGATGCCTTCGCGGGCTCTGGCAACGATGCCTTTGAGTGGCAAGAAGAAAGATTAGTCGCGCATTTCGATAGGGCTATGCTCCAATATGGATGGGACCGAGAAATTGGACCCTATCGTAATCAACAAGTCTTTCAACCCCCGTTGCTTTGAAGCCATCGACGTTTCTTAGCTACCTGTCCACTACCATGCAAATGCAAAGGCATGGATGACTGGCGGCATCTTTGCAAATTGGTTGAAAGCGTTCAATCTTAGAATGAGTGGGCAAAAAGTTCTTCTGCTGCTCTACAACGCGACCTCACATGTCAATTTGGAGCTTTTAAATGTACGCATTCACTTCCTTCCGCCAAATATCACCTCCCATTTGCAGCCGATGGACGCAGGCATCATTCGCAACTTCAAGCTTAAGTACAAGGCCAAATTCGTGCAGTGGATACTGGACATGGTGACGTCAGGGACGGAGGACAAGAAGCTCGACGTTCTTAGCGCCAGCCGTATGGTGGTAAAATCGTGGGCTGAGGTGCGCCCTGAATCGATTCGACACCGTTGGATCCACACAGGAATCGTGTCGGGAGTTATGGCGGCAGTGCTCCGTAGACAAGACGAGCCGTCCCGTCCCAATGATCTTTCAATCCTGGCTAATCTAATAGACATACTATCCTTATGTGATGGAATGGGTGCAGACGACTATCTGGAGCGTGACAACAACCTGGAAGAATGGGAACCAGAATCCGGTGCAACTGCCACGTCTGAGCCATTTTTGCGTGATGACGACAGCGACGGAGACAAGATACCATCCTCACTCATCGCGACGCGCTGAATGCCGAAATACAATTGTCTACGTACCTATTCGCACACAAGATTAATATTGTGGGGATGCAACTGCTGACTGAGAAATGCCAGTAACAGCTTCAACAGAGCATGCACCAGCAGCAAATCCCCGACTACTTCTCGAAAGAGTAAGCTCAGTGGCCTATACTGAAACTGACAGCACTTACTTAATAGCACGCAAAAATGGAACTGATATTTAGTCTGTTAAATCACTTGGATTTCTACATTTTTCTTCATATCTTACTTTCCTAAAAACTTATTTCAATTATCCAATTCCTGTAGAATTTTCCTAAAGATTTTATTCAATCGTATTCAAACAGAATCGAAGTGGTGTCCTTTAAGTTAATTTCGATCTTAAGGACGCAGCGAAATTTTACGACATTATAAGACGACAAGAAAAGACTACGCAGTCTTGGCCTGAGCGTATATTTTAATCTAGAAGATATTCATAAAAAGATAAGTTAACATAGAGACTGATTTCGGCAATACCTATATGTTTTGGGGGGCAAATATGAGTTATTTCAAATTGGGTACAATGTTAAATAAATGCAGTATATTTGGGTATAGCTGCAGGCGACGGAACAATAAGGTAACGGCGATCAAGAGATCAAGCGATTTTAGAATTTTAATTTCAAATTCTACATGAATGTTTCAGTTCTGACATAATCAGGCATACTTCTGATTATACCTGTACTAGAAAACCTATTAAATGACCTAGCCGTATAAAAATGATCTAGCCGTTTAGCATGGGCGTTTTTACTTTCAATTTTGGGGCCCTTTTTGTGATATGAAAAGGGACATCTAATATTTTTTGAGTAAAAAAACCCAGCAAATATTCATGACCCGCCCATATGCCCATGTGTTAAATAGGCACATGACCTACCCAATAACCATTGGGTGTTGATGGGTACGGGATGAATAGCGCAAATTGAAACCCATGCAGGTCACTGGTATACTATCGCCTGTACGTCCGTTGTATGATCCCCGTACAGCCTGAACAGAATCGTAAGATATGTACCTTCATCACCCATTCGTTTGTTCGATGATGCCTCGAAGTGAAAGAGATGGATTGATACGAATCGTTCTTGTCGCAGATGATACAGCTACGGGGAAAGCCTAAGAGGTGGCCCCTGAGACGCGAGTCGATGCACGAACGGCAGACGGTCGTGCGAGTGCAATCCACGCTGCTAGCTTGTGCATAGCGATGTCTAAATTCGGGCAGACTGACTGGACAAAGCCGTCAATTGCGTCCAGCGATGGCTCATCTTGCTGCAAATGGTACGAGGCAGAGAAAAAAAATACAGTCAGGGCTTTGGTGATCACATAAGCTTGTTCAATCCGAGTAAAAAGCATGATGCTCACCATGCTCTCGATAAGGTAAAGCGCGAGGTCGCCCTTAAAGTCCACAAATGCCAGCCGGGCAAAGAGCTCCTCAGGTGCACGTCCGAAAGCTGATCCTGGCAGAATTGCCACGCCGGTATCCTGCAGTAGCTGCGCGCAGAGCTGCTCGTCGGTGACAATGCCTCTCTTTGCCAGTGCCTTGCAGTGTCGTCGAAAGCATGGAAACAGGTAGAAACCGGCTTCGGGAACCTGCACTTCAATGTCCATCTTTTGCAACTGGTAAGCAAACCATCGACCTATGAGCTGCAGCGTTTTCTGGCACTTGCGCTTGTACGAGGCGAGTTCGACGCAACTGAAGAAAACCAAGAGCAGCAAGAACAAATTAACATGATGTATGGGAAGCAGCAGGTCGTTGGCGTGTTAATAAAATGACGGATGTGGTACGTACTCAAGAACGAATGCTCGTCGAGCGGCATGCTGGATAGGTGAAGCAACTGACGTGTATGTTTCGGATGCCATGACGAGCATGCTGCTGCGCAACCAGTCCATGCTAGGTGGAAACAGCCAGAAGCCCATGCGCCAGCCTCCAGCGCCACACCACTTGCTCAAACCCCCTGAGACGATGGTCCCTTCACGGTAGTACTTGGAGAGCGACAAATGTGTGCCAGAATGATGCAATTCCGAGTAGATTTCGTCCGAGACGACAAGGATACGGTATTTCCTCGCAACTTTTGCAAGTGCCTCCAACTGTTGTACGATGGTAATTTGGACCAGCACGAACACATAGTTACTCGCAAGTGAGCTTTTGAACGATGAGGTAGCAGCATCACCAACCTCATTGGCTTGATAAGCGCAACCGGTGGGGTTTGACGGACTGTTCAGGATAAGAATTCGTGGAGCATCTGTAGACAGAGGAATACAAGCATCAATGATACTGTCAACAAATAATTGTGACTGCAAGAGCATCATACGACTTCAGCAACACATTCCTGGGTCCTTAGCGCAATGCGCGTCGAGTACTTCTGGACGTAGCACAAAGTGGTCTTCGGCATGAGTAGGTAGCCACATCATGTTTCTGGAAAACAACATTCGCAGTGCACGATCATTTTTCCAGGCAGACATATCATTTTGAAATGAGCCATCACCTGCCAGCAATTGCGGCCTGTGGCGCATAACTTGTACAGCTCGGGTTCGGCAGCAGTAAATCTCCATAGTACACCGTCTGCAACACGAACAGTAGCTCTTTCGTTCCGGGACCTACCAAGACATCGTCTCGCGAGTACTGGACATGCAGCCGATCCGCTCCCCACGCAGCAATGTCATCACATAGCTCCGGCAGCCCTGCCACCGGCAAGTAGTCACGTTGGTGCGAGTTGGCACTGCACCAACGTCGAGCAATAAAAACGACGGCAACAAGAACAGCAACACCCTTGCATGAACGCTCTGTTCGCACAGACTGCATTACAAACTGCTGCAGCGTGCGCACCGTAATTCATCGACGATACACTGCGGGATTGGAAATGGCGACTGTCCCAAGCCTAGTTTGTAGATACACTTGCCTTTCTTAATCATGTCGTTGCTCAATTCATCTAGCGCACTCCCTGCAGCCGTACACAGCATTCGGATCTTGCAGTTGATGACCTTCCGTGGCCCTAAAATCACGTCCAATCTCAGTCAAACACAGCCTATGTAGATCAGATCATTAAGCGTATCCATCTATCGATCCTCCACCTTGGTTGTGCATCTCGGTATCGTTCGCTGGTCGCTTCTGACCAACTACAGGAACGTCTCGACGTATAGTCCTAGGAATCGCTAAAGTGTTGTCGCCAGTTGAATCGTTCTCAGCGTCTGTACCAATGGCTATTGGAGCGGCTGTTACACGTTCCGAACCAGCTGGTCTCAAAGCCGCGGATGCACGAAGCTGCACTCGACGCTGCAGCGTTGTTCGAGGTACATGGAACTTCCGAGCAGCTTCGCGGAGTGACATGGAGCCGCTCTGTACAACTGCAATGGCCTCCTCGAGTGAACGAGCCTGCCGCTTCATAATAGCTGATACTTTGTAAATAGAAAGACCCGAATATAAGCAAGCAATAACACGTCTTGTACATGCCGCTGCTCCGAATCAGGTTACATCAGGTAACGGTTGTAAATGGAGCGACGACGTGCGCGGCTGCCAATTCTGACGCCACAGATCGAGTTGATCCTGTACGTAATGCAAGTTCATAATGCAAAGCATCCGGGGTCAGATGTTGGTGGAGAGACGGACGAGCTGGTAAGATGCAGAGTATCCGCTATTTATCTGCGTGTCACTATTGAAAAGTCGATGGTGGACGATGCCCAAGAGCCTGATGAGTTAGCAGGTGCTGCAGGAAACGTGCAAAGGTTGCTGGAAAGGTGCAGATTGCATAGATGACATGAGCAACCTCAATCAATTGCCCACGCTCAAACAGAAGAAGTTCTTGCGTGATTTGCGTGGTGAAGAATTAAGCCAATTTGCGTACTCTTCGCGTAAGATGAGTACGTAACTGATATTCGGACGGAATGGTATTCGCTAAGAACGAAAGAGCTCCCATGAGCTCATCAATGGACGAGGGTGTCCTTGATGGGAAGACTCAAATGGAGCGATGTACATCCCAATTGTGGGAATCGCTTAAGCCAAATCCTCCCTACGATGATTTGTTGATATTCAGACATGTGTTAAGAGGAACATTGCCGTGCGAATCACCGAAGGAAAAGGGTACTCGTTACAAGATCGAGTTATAACCAGGTTCAAAGTACTGTGTCATGAAGCAGCGATTACTTCCTCGTGAACAGATACCAGCGGTTGACATTTTCTTTACTAATCGCTCGGCAGCGTGCCATGTTAGATAATCTACTTCTTCACATAGCTCTCCAACCTTCTTTGTCCGAAAGTGTAACGGGGTGAATCGTTACATTACAATTTATAAGAAATTGTTAATAGAATATAACCATAAGAGTTATATTCACAGAATATTCTCATAAGGACAAATACTCTGCAGCACTTACGAGTAGTTCCTAATTGGTTGATATAGGCCATTATATCAACCAACGAAGACGTGCCACGACGGACGCACGCAATGAGTGGTGAGCAGATAGTTGATTTACACATTTGTATTCAGACATAGTTAGATGAAGATAAATAGTGATTTATTGCAGACATTAACTATTATAAATACAGTTCTACTTTTTACTTTAACCAAGTACTCGCTTCTTCTTACCGTCTTCCTCTGCACGTACGAGTGTACGTGAAGTTACGAGGCACCGCCTTATTCTATCATCAGAATAAGTAGCTTGTACTGTCACCAGTACAAGCTTCAGGGTGCCCCGTTACACCTGGTAGCACTTCGTAGTCCGTCCAAGGACCGCGTTCACATCCAACATGAATATGTTGGATGATGAAGATGACCAAAGCTTTCACGCTACGCGTGACGGCTATTCCCATTTGAGCGATGTCGAATGGGATGCGGTTGAACGGATGGGTTCAACCATGGGCATCCATGCTGTTAGCGTCATGCTAGAGGCTATCAATAGAGATGCCCAACATGCTACTATCGCCAAGTTCATTCAAAATGAACTTGACGCAGAACGCGAGAATGTAGCCTTGCTTCACCAACAAGGTTCTCAACAAGCAGAGTTGTTGAGAGAACAGGGTGCTCAACAGTTTGAACTGTTGAGACAGCAGCAGGCTGCTGCTGGCGGGTCGATGCACTCGCGTCGACCCGAGACCTTGAAGATTGACATCTCCAAGTACAGGGGAGTCGAAGAGGACTCCCTCTTGAGATGGTTCGTCGAATTGGATGACGCCATAAGGGCGCGTCGCATCGACGACGGGGATATGCAAGTTGCATTTGCCCAGTCAAATCTGGTAGGACGTGCCAAGACTTGGGCACTGGGGCTCAAGTTGCACGACCCATATGCGTTTGGGTCGTTGGAAGTCTTCAAGTCGCGGCTCAGACAAACGTTTGAACCGACTAGAGCTGAGTTCAGAGCTCGGACCGAACTCTTGAAGCTCAAGCAGGGTAAGCGTGATGTGCACGCTTACGCGCAACATATACGACATCTTACGAGTTGTATAAGTTCCAATCCGGTTGATGAACACACGTTGGTTTCGGTGTTCAGGCAGGGTCTTGCGGATGGTCCCGTCAAGACTCACCTGTTCCGGCTTGAACTAGATTCACTAGAACAAGCCATTTCCATTGCGGAGCAGGAAGACTTCAGTCTGAGACAGGCTCGCGCCAGCTCGACATCATATCGTCAACCGAGACGATATGACAGCGGAGGTCCAGAGCCGATGGAACTCTGTTATGTAGAGAGCGAGAAGGCTCGCTCTACAGACTACAAGAAGTTGCAGAGATGCAACAGATGTCAAAAGACAGGACACTACGCTTACGAGTGTAGTGCCTCTCGTCCAGTGTCTCGCAACACTGGGCGTAGTGACCGTCCACCCATGAGAAAGGGGCAGGGACGAGGGTCCGCAGTTGGTGCAAAGACGCAGCAACGGGATGGACCGTAAAAAAACGGACAGGATCAGTAGGTGCGGAGCACCCTACTGTTCCAGCAACGTCAAGAGAATTTGTAGGCCTCTTGATGAAAGTTGCTCCCAACACACAAACGTTGTGCGTTGCTGCTCTAGGTAATGAGATCTCACTCATTACCTTGAAACTCGAAGTGACGAATAAGTTGTCCCTTCGAGCTCTAGTCGATTGTGGGGCGTCCAACAATTTTGTGCAACGCCAATCGCTAGAAGATGGTCACTTCAAGTTCAGTAAATGTGACACACCTCCTACGAGGATGACGGTACGTCTTGCGACAGGCGCATCCGTAACCGTCATGAAGCGTAAAGTGAAGATTCACTATACGCTAGAAGATACCCAATATGATGATGACTTTATCGTATTGGATTTAGATGACAAATTTGATGTCATCCTTGGAATACCGTGGCTCAGAAGGTACGAACCACGAGTAAACTGGCAACATCGAACAGTAACGATGCCTGCCGCTTGTTCATCGGATGGCCATCTGATGAACGTTTTGGAGCATCCACAAGCGTGTGGATGTACTACGAGTGAGTGCGATGACCTCGCTTGTGGTACGGTCGTTAGTACGACTGCACAAAACCTTAGTGTACCAAACGGTTACGTTTCGGAGCAAGATTCCGGTGGCTGTGAAGAAACACAGGCTACGCCGAAGGTCCACCACTCGAATAAGTCGAGTGGACCGGGACAAAGATGTATCCCTGACGGGGAACATCTAGAAGAGAAACAATCGATCGCTCAGGTTAAGCGAAACGATAATCCTAGATCGACTGGAGAGTCTTTCGTAGAGGATCTCGCTGTGGTTGCGCAACCCCAGCTAGAGGAAGTTAAGGAAATAAGTCCCAAGATTACAAATACGGCGGAAATAAGTTCCCCGAAACCCGCGGGAATAAGTCCCCGGGAAGCCGAAGGAATAAGTCCTTCAAGGCCTGAGGGAATAAGTCCCCAGGAAATGACAGAGATATTGAATGTCCTAGTCAATAACGGATCAAGTGTAGGCGCTTATACACTTGATCTGATTGCGCCTCCGAAGTTGACTTCGGAGATCACTCAGTTGCCAACGCTCGAACATAAAGGGTTCTCGCGTGATCTGCGTAGTGGCAAAGTCAAGAAGATCTGCGTACTCGTCGTCAGCGACGAGTGTGTAAGTGACATAAGGTCAGCAAAAGTATTTACTGAGAACTCTCTCGTTCTCAGTAGTTCATCTATGGACGAGAGTGTCCTAGATGAAAAGACACGAGTTGAGCGATATGACTCCCAATCGTGGGAATCGCTCAAGATAAATCCTCTCTATGAAGATTTGATTGAATTCAAGGATGTATTCCTTGAAACTGTTCCGTGCGAATTACCGAAGGATAAAGGTATTCGACACGAGGTCGAGCTTAAACCAGGCTCGAAGTATTGTGTCATGAAGCAGTGGCCACTGCCTCGTGAACAGGTCACAGCGATCGACAAGTTCTTTGCCGATCGTTTGGCTGCCGGCCATGTGAGGGAATCAACTTCCCCACATAGCTCTCCGACTTTCTGCGTGCGAAAAGCAACAGGAGGGTGGCGGATAGTGCACGCGTTCAACAAATTGAACGCTGCAACGGTACCGGATCAGACGCCGATTCCGCAAAGAATGACAACCACCGCGCCATTCGTTGTGAAAGGTGCGGGCTGTTCGCTGCCGTGCGTAATGACGCATGGTCAGTGTAAACAATGAAGGGTCTATCTCCTAATAGATAGAATCTGAACTTCGCAAGTGCATACTTCATGGCAAGGAGTTCCTTGTCATGCACTGGATAGTTGCGTTGAACGCGTCGTCTGCTATCAGTCGCGTCAGCTGCAACCAGCTGAGCGGAACTATCCAGTGCATGACAAGGAACTCCTTGCCATGAAGTATGCACTTGCGAAGTTCAGATTCTATCTATTAGGAGATAGACCCTTCATTGTTTACACTGACCATGCGTCATTACGCACGGCAGCGAACAGCCCGCACCTTTCACAACGAATGGCGCGGTGGTTGTCATTCTTTGCGGAATACAACTTTACGGTCGAGTACAAACCAGGACGACTCAATGTTGTCGCTGATGCACTCTCACGTCGTCCCGACTTTGAAACAGTCGTGGAACCCAACGGTGAGACAGTCACTGTTGCGGTTATGACGTCCTCAGTCCCATCTACAACGTTGTATGATGATGTGAGGCGGGCATACGCCCAAGATGGTGAGATAGTGAAGTTGTTGACACATCTCTCCCAACCATCTCGAGAATCGTTGAAACGATTGTCGCCTGCGTATCGATCTGCATCAGATCGATACACTACTCGTAACGGTTTACTGTATTATACAGCCGTTTCTGGTGACACACCACGTGTTGTCATTCCAGATGATACTGATCTGCGTTTGCGGATCATGTTCGAGTATCACGATGCTCCTATAGGAGGACATCGTGGCCGGGAGAAAACGTATCTCACGGTGAGTCGAGACTTTTACTGGCCCCGCCAGTATCAGTTCGTGCGAAAGTATGTTCGCGTATGCGAAGTCTGCCAACGAGTGAAGTCAAGCCCTTCACTGCGTGCACCTTTACAGCCTCTACCGGTTCCGGCTGAGTGCTGGGAATCCATCTCAATGGATTTTGTCTTCGGGTGACCCAAAGACGCACGCGGGAATACGGGTATTCTCGTATTTGTTGACAGATTCATCAAAATGGTACACCTTGTGGCTGTACCAGAGACAATCACGGCAAGTGGCTGTGCTTGTGTCTTTATTGACACTACCTTCCGACTTCATGGGTTGCCCCGTGAACTCGTCTCACACAGAGATCCACGATTCACTGCTGATTTCTGGCGTTCCGTGTTCAAATCACTCGGAACGCGCTTGAAGATGTCAACATCTGATCATCCAGAGTCAGATGGTCAGACGGAACGTGCCAATCGTGTCCTTGAAGAGATACTTCGAGGATACGTACACTCCTTTAAGAGTTGGAGTGAGTTTTTGCCAATGGTAGAGTTTGCCATTAACAACTCGGTGCATGCGTCCACGACACATACACCGTTTTACGTGAATGGCTTACTCCATCCGCGTGTGCCCACCTTACTAGAGTGTAACTCTGGTTTAAGGGGGGGAGGGACTCGCGCGAGCAAAAACCGATTTGGTCCACGCTCATCACGCTCTGACGAAGAGTTCATTGCGTTTGATGCCGATATCGATAACATCAATATCGAAGAAGATGATGCCAGTGAGAGTGCGGAAGCCCTCACTGAAGAAGATGATGCCAGTGAGAGTGCGGAAGCCCTCACTGAAGAAAAGGTTGATGTTGCTGCAGTGCGCTCACAGCGCACTGAAGCTAACGAGTCATCAGATGAGTTCATACTGGCTCGTGAAACGGTAGTCCGTTTTGTGCAAGACTCCATCGCCGAAGCGGTGGATAAGCAAAAGCAAAACGCTGACAAGAATGGAAGGGCAAACACTTTTTTAATTAATAAAGGTGACTTAGTCCTACTGTCTACGGTTAATCTACCAAAGCATGTAGTGACTAACTTGGGTAGCAGTAAACTACTACCCAAGTACATCGGCCATTTCGTGTATTGCACCGCCTAGGCAATGCATACACGATCGAGTTGCCACGTAAGATGCGAACGCATCCCACGTTTTACGTTGGTTGGCTTAAGCCGTACCATCAGTACGCTGCTTCTTCCGATGAAGAACGCCCTTGCGCTCAAGCATCTCGCATAGAGCCTTGTGCTCCCGATGGTGGGCATCGACAAGGGTCTGAAGAGCAGTTATCTCATCCCGAGACCGATCAACAATCCCACGAGCTACCCTTAGCTCGTCACGAAGAGATGTCAGAGATCTTTCGTTATCAAGCTGAGCAAAGGCAAACTCAGCTCAATGCTTCGAGACAGTTTCCGCCATTTGGAGACGCCTTTCCCGCTCATGTTCGAGATCGTTGCGTAACCCTTGCGTTACGCGATCAAAGAAGCTCTCGGGAACACACGGATCCCCATGATCGTGTGGAGAGCGTTTTTCCTCCTCCTCCACCTCCATTAGAGGACTCTCGCGGTGGCCAGCGCTATCTAGTTGAGCAGCTGTTGAACCACCGCGACGTGAACGGACGTCGGACGAGTTATCTCGTCCGGTGGCGCGGCTATCCCCCGTCCTGGGATTCATGGGAGCCCTGCTCCCAACTGATGACGGAAGTACTGGGTTTGGTTGAGCAGTACGACGCGGCACATCCTGTGCCGCAGAAGGACCGCCGGAGAAAGTCTTCCCGGCACGGTCGTAAAGGGATTTCAGGTTGTCAATCCCTTCGTACATCTCAATAGAGATACGTACGCGCCACCACGGGCTATTAGGGAGGTAAGCCTCCTTAGGTTCTCGTGCAGAGTTGTTCACACAACACGGGCACGAGTCTCCCCAAGAGAGGCAGGGTAATCCTTTCTCCCTTGACAGACGATGCAGCTTGTAGCGTGCACCTGTCGGGGTTCGCTTTTCAAACTTATCACGAGCTTTGATAAGTTTGTCGTTCCAAACGTCACGACCTACATCCTCAAGGTTATGGATGTAGGCGTTCCACGCTTGAAGTAGTGAGGGACCATCACGCTTGTGATTCCCACTGTACCATTGATGTTTCAAGAAAGCATCGATGAAGAATTCGTTTTCAGCGCGATAGTTTTTCGCGCTGGGGTCAAGGTGATGGATTCTTGACGAATCGAACAATCGTGTTCGATAACGATCACTCGTCGTCGCCGACAAATGATTCATGACGGATTTAGGAGGCATCCATGCCTTCTTCTCAGGAGCGAGACGCAAGACATTGCGGTCCCGCTCTTCCTGCGATGTGCCGACAGAAGTACTGGCACCTCGTTGCGTAGTGGTGTCCATAGGAGAACCGACACCACTGTTAGCGCCCGAGTCTCGCGACCTCGAGCGCCTTCGCTTCGGCGATGGTTCATCTGATTCATCAGATGAACCAAAGATGCTACGACGCATAGCATCATCCATGCCACGCTTGGCAGGCGGCTTGGATTCGATCGCAGTCGATACGGATCCGTCTTCCGTATCAGGAGAGTACGAGACACCGAGCTCGTACTCTGTAAAGACATAAGTCATATCGGCGTAATTGTGCTAGTATTTGTGCAAATACACCGCTAGACCAAGGAAATTTCGAAGTCATTTTTATGTCGGTTGGCACCGGCAGTCATTGATCGCCTTGACCTTATCCGGATCGGATCGGACGCCGTGCTTTCCCACAATGCATTCAAGAAGTGGTATTTCACTAGCAGTAAATATGCACTTGTTGAGGTTCAGTCTCTTTTTTTATCACTTACGACTCATATGTTTAACAAATTATATCATGACACTTCCACCTTCATTCTTCATCTTGTGATGGCAAGACCTTGTCATGATCTAGCACATCCCAGCACAATACCCTTGATCTCATTTAAGGACCACTTATCTACCTTGGTAGATAGCAGCCCGTAAATCAAGATTTATTCGATCTATTTATGTTACTATTTTGTGCCCAGGTACTCAACTTATGCTCACGAGTCAGTATAAGAACCTTTCGGACGTGGAGTCAGTGGACTTCCACATCTGTCTATCCCTCCATAGCTTGGCATTAGAAGAACACGTCATCGAAATAGCTAGGTGCGGATTCTCGCACATATTTCAAATTATTCGCAACGCATCTTGTAAACTTAGCAAAGGCATTACTCTATCCCTGTGGCATAACTATCGATTCCAAAATCATACCGTTTGGGGTGCTCAACGTAGTCATCTCTCTCGTTTATTAAAAAAATAACGAGAAGTGGGCATTAAGTGCTGATTACCAGCGCTACTTTGGAAGTACTAAGTGAAGCTTGATACGCTCGACAGTTGTGGATATTGTATACCAAGACAGACCATTTAATGTGGTCTGCGATGCAATGTGCACTAAAGCAGTATGAAGCAGACGATGATACGCGTGTCGTATGCTATCAGTCACGTCAGCTGCAAATGGCTGATTATAACTACCCGATCCATGACAAGGAACTTCTTGCTACAAAGTATGCTTGGCGAGATTCAGGGTCTACCTGTTAGGTGACAGACATCGTTTACACGGGCCATGCGTCCTTACGCACGGCCTTTAACAGTTCACATCACTCGCAACATCATTTACACGGACCATGCGTACTTACGCACGACCGTTATCAGTCCACACCACTCGCAACGAATAGCGAGGCAACTGTCGTTCTTCACGGGGCATACTAATTTTATCGTGGAATACAAGCCAGGACGACTGAATATCGTCGCTGATGCTCTTTCACACCATCCCTATTCCAAACCGGCTCCGCAGTCTGACACTGACCCGACCACTATCGCGGTGTTTATATCAAGTTTCTTGTCGTCGACCTTATTCAAATACATACGTAAGGCGTATGATCTGGCGATGGTGCGTTTGATGAATCATCTCTCGCGACCATCCCATCCATTACTAAAAGGTTTCCCCTCAGTATATCGATCCTCCACGGACATTGCGTACAGTCCACAATGTTTTTACTAAAGCATTCAGCCGTTGCCGAGGCGACACGCCTCGTGTCATCGTACCGGACCATGGTGACCTGCGACTGCGCGTCATGTATGAGTGCCACGGTGCACCTACTGGTCGACATCGTAGGTGCAATATGACACATTTCACAGTTGATCGCGACTTTTACTGACCCCGCCAGTATCAGTTCGTGCGTAAGTTCGTCCGCGCGTGTATCTGTATTAACGAGCAAAGTCCGGCTCTTCTTTTGTGCGCCACTACAAACCTGGCCCATTCTGGCAGGATGCTGTGAAATTTGTCAATGGACTCTGTCTTTGGAATTTCCGCAGACCTACACAATAATGTAGGCATCTTTGTGTTCGTCGATAAATTCTGTAAAATGATACACCTGGTCGCTGTATCTGAATCCATCAACACATTGGAATATGCTCGTGCTTTATTGGCAAAATCTTTTGTCTTCATGGGTTGCCTCATGAAAACATCTCCAGTCAAGACTCACGGTTCCTTGCGAAATCCTGGCGATCCGTGTTCAAACGCTCTGAATGCACCTTCAGGTTTAGACCTCTGACCACTCTGAAACAGATGGCTAGACAGAACGTGCCAACCGCATTCTTAAAACAATCTTCCGGGCATACGTCCATTCGTTTATGAATTGGAAAAAATTCTTGCCAATGGTGGGATTCTCGATTAACAACTCGGTGCATGCACCGACGAAGCATATACACCGTTCTTCGCTGTTCACGAACACCATTCGTGATAAGCTTGCACCATCCACGCCTATCCACATTTTTAGAGTGCAACTCTAGCTTGAGGAGGGAGGCACTTATTCGAGCGAGCGCGAAATCGGCACTCTTTCATCACGTACTGACTACGAGGTCACTACGCATGAAGCAGATGTCGATCACATCGACTTCGGTGAAGAAGAGGAAAGTAAAAGCGAGGGTGCTCTTACTAACCAGATTACTGATCTTGCCGCAGTGCACTCCAAGCGCACTGTAGCCAAATTAAAGCAAGTTAGTAGATGAATTCATAGTGGCTGTCGCAACGATCGTCTGTTATCGTGCAAAACTCTGTCGCAGAAGCGGTGGACCGACAAAAGAAAAACGCTGACAAGAAGGGAAGAGCAAATATAAGTCATTCAATGAAGCATTGAATCTTTCTCGACACGTAGTGACAACAAGGGAAGTAGCGAGTTACTACCCAAGTTCATTGGTCCATTTCGTAAACTGCACCGCTTAGGTGACGCATACACAATTGAACTACCACGTAGAATGCGTGCGCATCCTAAGTTGTGCGTCGGTCGCCTAAGGCCTTAGCATTATTCCGAGACTTCCTCGGGCAAAGAAATGCCTTGCGATCAAGCGTCTCTAAGAGATACTTGTGATCGCGGTGCTGACTATCAGCCCGCGCCTAAATCTCGGACATTTTCCCGCGAAGCCGAGGTAATCCTGACAATCTTCCACTAGCTCTTTGCTAAGAGACCTATGTGCCTGCTCATTCTCAATCTGGGCAACAGCGAAATCTGATCGATCCTATTCCCTTTCCGAGGACAGTCGATTCTTTTTTCGTCGACTAGACTCAGACGTCTACTTTACTCATGCTCGATTTTTTCGCGCATCTCACACGTTACGCGCTCGAGCTGACTTACAGTACCATACTGGACCTGCAAACTTTTCTGAGAACATGATTTCTCTTCCTCCTCACACATTGATTGGTGCGCGCGGTGGCCAACGCTTCCTCGTGGAACGCCTGTTGATCCACCACGATTTGAAGGGGCGTCAGACGAGTTACTCGTCTGGTATCGCGGGTATCCACCCTCGGCAGATAGTTGGAAGCCTCGCTCTTAACTTCTGGGTGATGTTTTGGACCTTATCCAGAAGCATGATATTTCGCATCCGATGCCGAAATTGGCTTATAGGAGAAAGAAAACCCAGCGCGCTTGTACAGGTATTACAAATTAGCTAGGCTCTCGTACATCTCTTGAGTGACACGCACCATCCACCATGGGTCAGTCATCAGGTCGCCTATTTTAAAGCTAGACCCATGTTAATCACACAACTTTGGCACGTATCACCCCAATAGAGACATGGTAACTCGGCCTCTCTTTACAGCCGATGCAGTTCGAAACGTGCAACGGTGGAGTTCCGCTTCTCGAGCCGATTACGAGCTAGAAATATCGTGTTTATCGAGGCATCAAGACCAATCTCACCAATGTTGTAGATGAAAGCATTCCACGCTTAAATCAGCGAGGGACCATCACCCTTGTGATTACTACTGTACCATCGATGCTTATAGAACGTATCGATGAAGAAATCATTGAGCGCGAACGTTACTCGCAATAGGATCGAGATTGTGAAGACCTGATGAATCGAATAGCCTTATTAGATAAAGGTCACCCGTCGCGCCAGACAGACGAGCCAACACTCTCTGAGGAGGTAGAAATGGCTTCTTCTTCGGAGCAAAGCGCAAGATGTTGCAATCCTCAGTATCTTGCCTGGTGTCAACTAAAAGCCTACACCAAGATCATCCCGATCATCTATACTCTGATGCATAAACTGTCAAGATCGTTCCGGGTGCCTCTCTCACTTTCATCCGAACGACCTTGTCTCGGATACGAAGGGTCGGACGCGTCGGACGATCCAAAGATGTCACGACGATCAGCAAGGCTCAAAGCGATTCCCGAAGCCGACTCAGTCGGCTTCGGTATAGCCAAGTCTGGATCATCCGTAAATTTCGCCTTCTTCAAATCGGTTTTATATCGTCAAACTCGCCATAGTATATGAGCTCGAGCCCATAATCTCCGATGTCACGCGGTGCATCACCGCGTGCGCCTGCATCAGCGACTGCTGCAGGCTGAGTCGCGGAAGCAGCAGACGAATTCACGTCATCTGCTTTGGGTGCATCTGCTTCCCCTGCGAAGTGGAGCGGAGTCTCATGGATGCGTTCACAGAAAATTAAACTGCACGCCGTATGGAATTGTCAACCGTGCGATGTGAATGAAGAATGGGTGAGTTGGCCAGCAAGTGCTTCCCTGTCCCAGAGCCACAAAAAAGATTCACTCAATCTTTAATAAGTCACTGATCAGACTGATCAGTGTTTGCCGCGCACCATACGGATTTTCATACTAATGAGTGAACATCCAGAAATGAAGGGATCGGAATATAATTGTTGGGGGCTCAAGGACATAAGACGAATGGACCTGACGACAGTGGTTTGCGTGAGACAAGCGTTGTCAACGGAGTGCATAGGTGGTATGTACCTTGAAAAGTAAAGTCAGGCATCAACTGGGGTCATCATGTATGATGACACCAGCAGGAGAACGACGCAGAACAGCAAGAGTCTGCAGTTTTGTGTTTTTAGCTTTACTACTCATAAATCACTTTTAAACTTACCTTCTTCAATGCATCGTGACTCGTTAGCACTCTCAGTTTCTATAAAACAAGTGATTCTTGTCCCTGATGTGGTCTGACGGTGATTACATCAACATGAAAGTAATTGTGTGACAATCATTTGGGGGGATGTAACGGGGTGGGCATGTTCTATGTGATAAAATTTTGATACTTGCTAATGAAGCATAATTATAAAGGTTGATGATGTTCGTGTATATTGCCATGGAGGTCAATATGCAGAACCTCCCACCGATTGGCTGATACGGATCATTATATCAGCCAGCTCTAGCGGTCCAATCAACGATGGACGCACGCAACAAGCGGTGAGTAAGACTTTAGCACACATTTTTATCGATACTTATAATTAAGTTGTAACTAAAACCTTAATTAATGAGTAGGACTGCATTACATTTAGTACAGTTTTACCTCAACAGCAACTAGTGTAACGGGCACCCTGAAGCTTGTACTGGTGACAGTACAAGCTACTTATTCTGATGATAGAATAAGGCGGTGCCTCGTAACTTCACGTACACTCGTAAGTGTAGAGGAAGACGGTAAGAAGAAGCGAGTACTTGGTTAAAGTAAAAAGTAGAACTGTATTTATAATAGTTAATGTCTGCAATAAATCACTATTTATCTTCATCTAACTATGTCTGAATACAAATGTGTAAATCAACTATCTGCTCACCACTCATTGCGTGCGTCCATCGTGGCACGTCTTCGTTGGTTGATATAATGGCCTATATCAACCAATTAGGAACTACTCGAAAGTGCTGCAGAATATTTGTCCTTATGAGAATATTCTGAGAATATAACTCTTATGGTTATATTCTATTAACAATTTCTTATAAATTGTAATGTAACGATTCACCCCGTTACATCACCCCCCTTAACTATCAGTCACTTTAGTGACTGATTGACTATATGGATACTCGTCCCAAAGCATTTGGGACGGGGTTTGCACTTGTTGGTCCGAGTCCACTTTCCAACATCTTATCGCATGGTAAACAAGCCCATGCGATGCGCGAGCAAGGCCGCCGAGAGCGCGTCCGCACGTCTCTGTGCGGACGCCAAAGCAGAAACCATAGCAACTGATGTCTCATCGGTTGCTGAAGAGACTCAGCCTGTGTCACTTGGTGATGCAGGCGCTGGTCATGAAGACACTCATGTCTTCACAGAGTACGAGCTCGGTGTCTCATACTCTCCTGATACGGAAGACGGATCCGTATCGACGGCAATTGAATCCAAGCCGCCTGCCAAGCGTGGCATGGATGATGCTATGCGTCGTAGCATCTTTGGTTCATCTGATGAATCAGATGAACCATCGCCGAAGCGAAGGCGCTCGAGGTCGCGAGACTCGGGCGCTAACAGTGGTGTCGGTTCTCCTATGGACACCACTACGCAACGAGGTGCCAGTACTTCTGTCGGCACATCGCAGGAAGAGCGGGACCGCAAAGCGTTGCGTCTCGCTCCAGAGAAGAAGGCATGGATGCCTCCTAAATCTGTCATGAATCATTTGTCGGCGACGACGAGTGATCGTTATCGAACACGATTGTTCGATTCGTCAAGAATCCATCACCTTGACCCCAGCGCGAAAAACTATCGCGCTGAAAACGAATTCTTCATCGATGCTTTCTTGAAACATCAATGGTACAGTGGGAATCACAAGCGTGATGGTCCCTCACTACTTCAAGCGTGGAACGCCTACATCCATAACCTTGAGGATGTAGGTCGTGACGTTTGGAACGACAAACTTATCAAAGCTCGTGATAAGTTTGAAAAGCGAACCCCGACAGGTGCACGCTACAAGCTGCATCGTCTGTCAAGGGAGAAAGGATTACCCTGCCTCTCTTGGGGAGACTCGTGCCCGTGTTGTGTGAACAACTCTGCACGAGCACCTAAGGAGGCTTACCTCCCCTAATAGCCCGTGGTGGCGCGTACGTATCTCTATTGAGATGTACGAAGGGATTGACAACCTGAAATCCCTTTACGACCGTGCCGGGAAGACTTTCTCCGGCGGTCCTTCTGCGGCACAGGATGTGCCGCGTCGTACTGCTCAACCAGACCCAGTACGTCGATCATCAGTTGGGAGCGGGGCTCCCAAGAATCCCAGGACGGGGGATAGCCGCGCCACCGGACGAGATAACTCGTCCGACGTCCGTTCACGTCGCGGTGGTTCAACAGCTGCTCAACTAGATAGCGCTGGCCACCGCGAGAGTCCTCTAATGGAGGTGGAGGAGGAGGAAAAACGCTCTCCACACGATCATGGGGATCCGTGTGTTCCCGAGAGCTTCTTTGATCGCGTAACGCAAGGGTTACGCAACGATCTCGAACATGAGCGGGAAAGGCGTCTCCAAATGGCGGACACTGTCTCGAAGCATTGAGCTGAGTTTGCCTTTGCTCAGCTTGATAACGAAAGATCTCTGACATCTCTTCGTGACGAGCTAAGGGTAGCTCGTGGGATTGTTGATCGGTCTCGGGATGAGATAACTGCTCTTCAGACCCTTGTCGATGCCCACCATCGGGAGCACAAGGCTCTATGCGAGATGCTTGAGCGCAAGGGCGTTCTTCATCGGAAGAAGCAGCGTACTGATGGTACGGCTTAAGCCAACCAACGTAAAACGTGGGATGCGTTCGCATCTTACGTGGCAACTCGATCGTGTATGCATTGCCTAGGCGGTGCAATACACGAAATGGCCGATGTACTTGGGTAGTAGTTTACTGCTACCCAAGTTAGTCACTACATGCTTTGGTAGATTAACCGTAGACAGTAGGACTAAGTCACCTTTATTAATTAAAAAAGTGTTTGCCCTTCCATTCTTGTCAGCGTTTTGCTTTTTGCTTATCCACCGCTTCGGCGATGGAGTCTTGCACAAAACGGACTACCGTTTCACGAGCCAGTATGAACTCATCTGATGACTCGTTAGCTTCAGTGCGCTGTGAGCGCACTGCAGCAACATCAACCTTTTCTTCAGTGAGGGCTTCCGCACTCTCACTGGCATCATCTTCTTCAGTGAGGGCTTCCGCACTCTCACTGGCATCATCTTCTTCGATATTGATGTTATCGATATCGGCATCAAACGCAATGAACTCTTCGTCAGAGCGTGATGAGCGTGGACCAAATCGGTTTTTGCTCGCGCGAGTCCCTCCCCCCCTTAAACCAGAGTTACACTCTAGTAAGGTGGGCACACGCGGATGGAGTAAGCCATTCACGTAAAACGGTGTATGTGTCGTGGACGCATGCACCGAGTTGTTAATGGCAAACTCTACCATTGGCAAAAACTCACTCCAACTCTTAAAGGAGTGTACGTATCCTCGAAGTATCTCTTCAAGGACACGATTGGCACGTTCCGTCTGACCATCTGACTCTGGATGATCAGATGTTGACATCTTCAAGCGCGTTCCGAGTGATTTGAACACGGAACGCCAGAAATCAGCAGTGAATCGTGGATCTCTGTGTGAGACGAGTTCACGGGGCAACCCATGAAGTCGGAAGGTAGTGTCAATAAAGACACAAGCACAGCCACTTGCCGTGATTGTCTCTGGTACAGCCACAAGGTGTACCATTTTGCTGAATCTGTCAACAAATACGAGAATACCCGTATTCCCGCGTGCGTCTTTGGGTCACCCGAAGACAAAATCCATTGAGATGGATTCCCAGCACTCAGCCGGAACCGGTAGAGGCTGTAAAGGTGCACGCAGTGAAGGGCTTGACTTCACTCGTTGGCAGACTTCGCATACGCGAACATACTTTCGCACGAACTGATACTGGCGGGGCCAGTAAAAGTCTCGACTCACCGTGAGATACGTTTTCTCCCGGCCACGATGTCCTCCTATAGGAGCATCGTGATACTTCGAACATGATCCGCAAACGCAGATCAGTATCATCTGGAATGACAACACGTGGTGTGTCACCAGAAACGGCTGTATAATACAGTAAACCGTTACGAGTAGTGTATCGATCTGATGCAGATCGATACGCAGGCGACAATCGTTTCAACGATTCTCGAGATGGTTGGGAGAGATGTGTCAACAACTTCACTATCTCACCATCTTGGGCGTATGCCCGCCTCACATCATCATACAACGTTGTAGATGGGACTGAGGACGTCATAACCGCAACAGTGACTGTCTCACTGTTGGGTTTCGCGACTGGTTCAAAGTCGGGACGACGTGATAGTGCATCAGCGACGACATTAAGTCGTCCTGGTTTGTACTCGACCGTAAAGTTGTACTCTGCAAAGAATGACAACCACCGCGCCATTCGTTGTGAAAGGTGCGGGCTGTTCACTGCCGTGCGTAATGACGCATGGTCAGTGTAAACAATGAAGGGTCTATCTCCTAATAGATAGAATCTGAACTTCGCAAGTGCATACTTCATGGCAAGGAGTTCCTTGTCATGCACTGGATAGTTCCGCTCAGCTGGTTGCAGCTGACGCGACTGATAGCAGACGACGCGTTCAACGCCATCAAGATCGTACTGCATTAATGCACAGCCGATTGCAAAATCGCTGGCATCACAGACCACATGAAATGGCCTGTCTTGATCGGCTATTGATAGGACTGGGGATTGTATCAAGCTCTGCTTGATACCATCAAAGAAGCGCTGACATTCAGCGTTCCATAACTACCTCTCGTTCTTTTTCAACAAACGAGAGAGGTGCACAGTCATCTCGGCGTAATTGCGTGAATACTTATGCAAATACGCCGCTAGCCCAAGGAATTTTCGGAGACCTTTGACATCGACCGGCACAGGCCAGTCGGTGATCGCTTTGATCTTTTCGGGATCAGGACGTACAACGTTCTTATCAACAATGCACCCAAGAAGTGGTATTTCGCTTGCTGCAAATATACACTTCTTGAGGTTTGCATACAATCGATGCTTTTGCATGATTGTAAGAACCTGTCGGACGTGGTACCTGTGAACCTCAACGTCCGACTTTCCATCCATAGCTCGACTATGGATGAATACGTCATCGAAATAACTCGGCGCGAATTCTCGTACTGGTCTCAACAGAAGCGATACACATCTGTTGAACGTGGCAGGGGCATTACTAAGCCCTTGTGGCATTACTAGCCATTCCCAGAGCATGCCGCTAGGCGTGCTAACTGCGGTATAGGGTATATCCCGTTCTCGCATAAGGATTTGATAGAAGCCATCCATCAAATCCATGGACGAAAAGATGGTGCTCTTTGACATACCATCAATGATTACGTCCTTCCTCGGTATCGGCGTCTGAGCCGGTACCGTTGCAGCATTCAACTTGTTGAACGCGTGCACTTTCCGCCACCCTCCTGTTGCTTTTCGCACACATAAGGTCGGAGAGCTATGTGGGGAAGTTGATTCCCTCACATGGCCCGCAGCTAAACGATCGGCAAAGAACTTGTCGATCGCAAGTACTTGTTCACGAGGCAGTGGCCACTGCTTCATGACACAGTACTTCGAGCCTGGTTTAAGCTCGACCTCGTGTCGAATACCTTTATCCTTCGGTAATTCGCACGGAACAGTTTCAAGGAATACATCCTTGAATTCAATCAAATCTTCATAGAGAGGATTTATCTTGAGCGATTCCCACGATTGGGAGTCATATCGCTCAACTCGTGTCTTTTCATCTAGGACACTCTCGTCCATAGATGAACTACTGAGAACTCTCTCGTTCTCAGTAAATACTTTTGCTGACCTTATGTCACTTACACACTCGTCGCTGACGACGAGTACGCAGATCTTCTTGACTTTGCCACTACGCAGATCACGCAAGAACCCTTTATGTTCGAGCGTTGGCAACTGAGTGATCTCCGAAGTCAACTTCGGAGGCGCAATCAGATCAAGTGTATAAGCGCCTACACTTGATCCGTTATTGACTAGGACATTCAATGTCTCTGTCATTTCCTGGGGACTTATTCCCTCAGGCCTTGAAGGACTTATTCCTTCGGCTTCCCGGGGACTTATTCCCGCGGGTTTCGGGGAACTTATTTCCGCCGTATTTGTAATCTTGGGACTTATTTCCTTAACTTCCTCTAGCTGGGGTTGCGCAACCACAGCGAGATCCTCTACGAAAGACTCTCCAGTCGATCTAGGATTATCGTTTCGCTTAACCTGAGCGATCGATTGTTTCTCTTCTAGATGTTCCCCGTCAGGGATACATCTTTGTCCCGGTCCACTCGACTTATTCGAGTGGTGGACCTTCGGCGTAGCCTGTGTTTCTTCACAGCCACCGGAATCTTGCTCCGAAACGTAACCGTTTGGTACACTAAGGTTTTGTGCAGTCGTACTAACGACCGTACCACAAGCGAGGTCATCGCACTCACTCGTAGTACATCCACACGCTTGTGGATGCTCCAAAACGTTCATCAGATGGCCATCCGATGAACAAGCGGCAGGCATCGTTACTGTTTGATGTTGCCAGTTTACTCGTGGTTCGTACCTTCTGAGCCACGGTATTCCAAGGATGACATCAAATTTGTCATCCAAATCCAATACGATAAAGTCATCATCATATTGGGTATCTTCTAGCGTATAGTGAATCTTCACTTTACGCTTCATGACGGTTACGGATGCGCCTGTCGCAAGACGTACCGTCATCCTCGTAGGAGGTGTGTCACATTTACTGAACTTGAAGTGACCATCTTCTAGCGATTGGCGTTGCACAAAATTGTTGGACGCCCCACAATCGACTAGAGCTCGAAGGGACAACTTATTCGTCACTTCGAGTTTCAAGGTAATGAGTGAGATCTCATTACCTAGAGCAGCAACGCACAACGTTTGTGTGTTGGGAGCAACTTTCATCAAGAGGCCTACAAATTCTCTTGACGTTGCTGGAACAGTAGAGTGCTCCGCACCTACTGATCCTGTCCGTTTTTTTACGGTCCATCCCGTTGCTGCGTCTTTGCACCAACTGCGGACCCTCGTCCCTGCCCCTTTCTCATGGGTGGACGGTCACTACGCCCAGTGTTGCGAGACACTGGACGAGAGGCACTACACTCGTAAGCGTAGTGTCCTGTCTTCTGACATCTGTTGCATTTCTGCAACTTCTTGTAGTCTGTAGAGCGATCCTTCTCGCTCTCTACATAACAGAGTTCCATCGGCTCTGGACCTCCGCTGTCATATCGTCTCGGTTGACGATATGATGTCGAGCTGGCGCGAGCCTGTCTCAGACTGAAGTCTTCCTGCTCCGCAATGGAAATGGCTTGTTCTAGTGAATCTAGTTCAAGCCGGAACAGGTGAGTCTTGACGGGACCATCCGCAAGACCCTGCCTGAACACCGAAACCAACGTGTGTTCATCAACCGGATTGGAACTTATACAACTCGTAAGATGTCGTATATGTTGCGCGTAAGCGTGCACATCACGCTTACCCTGCTTGAGCTTCAAGAGTTCGGTCCGAGCTCTGAACTCAGCTCTAGTCGGTTCAAACGTTTGTCTGAGCCGCGACTTGAAGACTTCCAACGACCCAAACGCATATGGGTCGTGCAACTTGAGCCCCAGTGCCCAAGTCTTGGCACGTCCTACCAGATTTGACTGGGCAAATGCAACTTGCATATCCCCGTCGTCGATGCGACGCGCCCTTATGGCGTCATCCAATTCGACGAACCATCTCAAGAGGGAGTCCTCTTCGACTCCCCTGTACTTGGAGATGTCAATCTTCAAGGTCTCGGGTCGACGCGAGTGCATCGACCCGCCAGCAGCAGCCTGCTGCTGTCTCAACAGTTCAAACTGTTGAGCACCCTGTTCTCTCAACAACTCTGCTTGTTGAGAACCTTGTTGGTGAAGCAAGGCTACATTCTCGCGTTCTGCGTCAAGTTCATTTTGAATGAACTTGGCGATAGTAGCATGTTGGGCATCTCTATTGATAGCCTCTAGCATGACGCTAACAGCATGGATGCCCATGGTTGAACCCATCCGTTCAACCGCATCCCATTCGACATCGCTCAAATGGGAATAGCCGTCACGCGTAGCGTGAAAGCTTTGGTCATCTTCATCATCCAACATATTCATGTTGGATGTGAACGCGGTCCTTGGACGGACTACGAAGTGCTACCAGGTGTAACGGGGCACCCTGAAGCTTGTACTGGTGACAGTACAAGCTACTTATTCTGATGATAGAATAAGGCGGTGCCTCGTAACTTCACGTACACTCGTACGTGCAGAGGAAGACGGTAAGAAGAAGCGAGTACTTGGTTAAAGTAAAAAGTAGAACTGTATTTATAATAGTTAATGTCTGCAATAAATCACTATTTATCTTCATCTAACTATGTCTGAATACAAATGTGTTTATCAACTATCTGCTCACCACTCATTGCGTGCGTCCGTCGTGGCACGTCTTCGTTGGTTGATATAATGGCCTATATCAACCAATTAGGAACTACTCGTAAGTGCTGCAGAGTATTTGTCCTTATGAGAATATTCTGTGAATATAACTCTTATAGTTATATTCTATTAACAATTTCTTATAAATTGTAATGTAACGATTCACCCCGTTACAACTAGTCTGTTTCCTAGTTGCCCTTCTTTCCTCTGCGTAGTTTGCAGAGGTAGCGAGGCACCACTCACACTGCTGTCGGCAATAAAAAGTCAACACTAGTTGTCTAGTGTGTTGTTCCGGTGCTCCGTTACACCTGATAGCTCCGTTATAATTCGTATTTGCTGAATACTTATCCACTTTACTTCGTCTATCAGATTTTTAGACAGTTTCTTCCAAGTTGCAAAGCTGTTTTACTTGTTATCAGTAAATCAAAAAGTCGTAAATACCGTGTCACTTTCTAATTACAAAGCTGCCACTTTTGAGATCTGATGGTCAAGGTCTATCGGCGGAAACTGAGAGCTCTTAATCGACTTCCTTCATCAAATTTCGTTACGTACGATGCTCAAAAAACAGTTAGAGATAGTCTCTGTAAAGATCTGGAAACTGTCATCCACCGTTCCCATAATCTATCGGGGAGGACTGTATCCAAAGGCGCCGTAAAAGTAAAAATGTGACGTTTGAACATTCCGTACAAACGGCTTTTGAAAAGAAAATAGGGACGTTTAACAATCGAGCATATTCCTCGGCTCCAATTTATGACTTTAGCCATACTCTTCTTCTCCATTGGAAACCATCCCTTGTCTTGTAAATTTGAGGCCAGTTGACCGTATTTGTAAAAAAAATCTCACGGGATGCACCACGTCCTTGCCGCCAAATTTCTTGCGTGCGCCAGCAAAAGGCACCTACAGGGGTCTGTAGGTGCCCATTTGAGCCGTCAAGTAGGGTCTTATCTCTCTCTAATTCCACCACGTCACGCATTGCGAATTGTAAACGTTCCTACAACCACGTCCAGCGACTCCGTAGCCAATCGGATCGCAATTCTGGCTGGAGCAGCAGCAGCTATCGCTGGAACCGTAGGGTGGAAAACGGGTACGGCACATTTGGAGGCGAATCCGGACAAGAAATCTAAAAAGGTACTCTTAAAATTACAAAAATAGAGATATCGCGAGACGATCTTGACGTGCTGTCTTGTGTAGCAGTATGAATACACTGAAGCAGTGGATTCGATCCGTGACCGAGTTTCCGAATTCCGTGCAACGATTAAGAGCAGCGAGAACCGGGTTCCCAACGCTTATCCGATTCCTAAAATCGGAATATCCAAAATGTATGCACCTAATGGCGTGGCCACAATCCGGATCGAGTTTGCGTGCCCGTCATTTGTCGACCAAGAGTCAATCCTTGGTCGCTTTCTACTCCAGTTAATGAAGACATCGACGGATGGTTTCCGCCAGGCTGTTGAGGTGCTCCCGGTCACGCTTGACAGCACAAGGGAAAAGAGTACTGCTGAATTCAACGAACAACCTGCTGTGACGTACCTGTACTCAAACGGCTCTGGATCTTTTCGGTTCTTGTGCGATACATCCTCGCTGCAAACGATGTCGAAGTTCGTGTTTTATAAAGATGAGTTCCTGACGCAAAATGAAATAGACGCCGTCGTCAGTGCCTACGAGGAGATTTACTCGCCCGCAAATGTAAACGCGTTCTTCCGTCGCGATCTTGAGCAGCGCCAAAAGAGTGCCTTTGCCAGACGTGGTCTAAACTCGGCTGCTGCAAGTGCTGCTGCATCTGACAGCAAGGTTTGCTTGGTATACGATTTTGTTGCGGTGATGTGTATGTGATACTGACCACTTGTGCACGCTTGACTGCAGGAAGAAGCGATTCAGCAGCTACAAAGTCTGGGAATTGACGTGTTTGAGCCGACTCAAAACGAAATCAGCCTCACTTGGGATAGTTTGGTAATTGCCTGTAGTGCTAAAGCTGCTTAATGACCTGTGCGCACTGAAAGCTTGTCCACGGTGTATACTCTTTTCTTGCGCACTGTATAGGCAGGGTACGATGATGTGAAACTGGAGATCGAAGACACTGTCGTGCTGGCGCTTCAAAATCCGGAGCTGTACGAGCGCATTGCACAGAAGACTCGATGTCGTTATGAAAGCAACCGTCCTCGTGCTGTGCTATTTGAAGGTCCTCCCGGTACCGGCAAGACGCTGAGCGCGCGGATTATTGCGCAACAGGCAGGGATTCCTATGATTCATATTCCGATCGAGAGCGTGGTGTCGAAGTGGTATGGCGACAGTGAGAAGAAAATGTCGGCAATCTTTGATGCGTGCGAGAAGTTGGACGGGGCCATCATTTTCATCGACGAGGTGTGCTTATGCAGACGTTCACACTACGTATGCTGGATCGATGCTGACGTTATATGTTACTGTGTTTGGGATGCACCAGATTGACGCACTTGCTGGAGATCGATCAGGAGGTACCATGCACGAGGCTTCTCGGCGTATTTTATCAGTTCTGTTGCAAAAAGTAGAGGGCTTTGCCTCGGCCAAAAAAACCACCGTCGTGTGTGCCACAAACCGGTGCGTGGCTACTTTGTGATTGTTTGCCTTGTCTAGATCAGCCATTGCTAAACTTGACGCATGGTATTGCTATTGTAGAAAGCAAGACTTGGATGCCGCACTGATCAGCCGTTTCGATTTGTCGATTCGGTACAACCTTCCGGACGAAAAAACTCGCCAAGCTGTGTTTGCTCGGTAGGCTTTATTTATCCAGAGCAGTTGCGCTTGGGGCGGATGCGTGTATTGATGCCTCTTTTGTTGACATGTAGATATGCCAAGCAGCTGTCTGACGAAGAACTCTCACAGCTAGCTGCTGTTTCCCCGCATCTTTCATGCCGAGATATCAAAGAGGTACTTTGCAGATACACGCCTGTATCTTGATGCTGCCATCCTAGTCTGACAAGTGCGTATACTGACTGTTTCTGCCATGCGCGCATAGATTTGTGAATACGCAGAAAGAAAGTGGGCTTCGAAGGTGCTAAAGAAGGAGGAGACGATGGAGCTGCCTACGTTGCAAACCTATTTGGAGGCCGTAAAAGCCCACGCAGGTGGACTGTTCAACCACTTGCAACCTGACGTATACGAGGCATAATGGAATAAGAGGCAGTTCCTGGACCGAATGTAACTGATGCCGTTTTATCTCTGCGTTACGGTATGGCGTCGTATGGTTTACCCATCGTGTGTCGAACTGGTACTAAATTTCAGAAGCTCCTGGTACTGATGGTTAAGCCCATTGCTCAGCTTTTCCACGAGTGGTTTGCTGCATTCTACACAACAGCACAGCGTGTGAGAAATGCAAATAGTGGGAACTTTCTCATGTATCCCAACTCACGCATGACATCCTGAGCAACTCTCATGAATTTGAGGGCTTCAGCAGTATCGTTTCCGCGATGGCAGAGTACACCCTAAACACGTTTTGGTTGGCACTTCTGGCTCAAATCAAAGCAATGAAAGCTACACGTACAATGTTCCATGCTTTCGCAACAAACCACTCGATGTCACGGTCGGGCATCACCACATCTGAGCTGTAAACAAATTCAAGGAGCTGCTCGAAGCACTCGTATGCCTTCGTCTTTGACTCTGCTAGTGTAACAAGCCGTCGAAGCAGGTAGCATAGTTTGGCCGAATCCAACGAGCTTTCTTGAAATAGCACTTCAAGCCTTTACATCATAAATATTAGCAGTGTAGTTGGATGCGCTCGTACGTCAATACCTCGCACCCGTAACTGAACACATCTCTACCCAGAGTCAGATAGCTAGTTTGAACCTGTTCGAGTCAAAAACTGTAATAGTGGTGCCATAAACGATAACGTGCTCAATCCTGCCTTCTTACCTCAGACGCTTCGTTAAACTTCGCCGCGTATATTACCAACTCTTTGCATACACGACACCAAACGTGTGAGTATGTTACACAGTCAGGCAATTATCTGGAAAGTATGCACCTCCGATCTCCATGAGCTCAGCTGTACTGAGCTTAGCCACTCGACAGAGATCAAAAATCGCTTTTGTATTCGGGTCGAGCAGTCGCAACTTTACTGCAACTGTCACTCTCGTCTGTTCAAACATGAGATGTGAGCGCCAATTCTCTGCCTTGACACCAGTACGTTACAGGCCATTTGTACCAAGTAGCGCATGACGTCGGTAGCATCCGGTGTGTTCTCATGATCAGTTGCTTCGAACCGATTGATCACTTCGAGAAGCTCCAGCAGCTGGCTTTTGTCCAGCGTCTCTATTCTTTTCACGGCAGAGCTCACGGCAGCAAGCAAACATTGCCGGCATCGATTCTTGAGGGGAGAATGCTCGTGATAGAGCTCGTCGCACCGCTCTGCAATATCGGCTGCAACGATGAAAAACCTGGAGTCTTCGGTGCCTTTGGCGATGTCAAAGCTGCGACGGGTACGAGCAAAAGTGTTTTGAGTTCGTGGAAGTGAAACTTGAAAACGTTAATACTGACACGTTACCTCATCCGAAAGAACCACTCGAAGACTGAAGAAGGTCCGAAACTTTCCTTCTGCTTGGTAAAATCTGGTTTTGACACTTGCAAAAGCGCTCCAGCATATGACATGAATTTCTCGCAGTACGAGTTTGTTGAAGTGTCCCTCGATTGATGTTGCTGAGTGGATCTGGTGAGCGCAAGTTGCGCTGCATTTTGTAAAACGACTGCCACAGAGATCGTTGTCGGGCAACCATCGCCTTGCAACAGAATATGGCACAGTTCATCCAGGATCTGCATAACGAAACCTTGCCTCGATGGACCCAGATTGTTGGCTTCCTTTCCCATAGCGAGCAAGTCCTCAATCTCAAAATCGTCTCTGGCCTTTAGCTGATGCATGAGATGTACCAGTTCTCCTTCGGTAGCTTCTACTTTCGATTTCAGTGTTACTTGAAACAGAGCAAACAAGGACTGCTTGGAAGGCTCTGCATCAAAAGCCTTTTTCGCCCACTGAAGTGCCTCCGAATCGCGGCCTAACTGAAGGCACGAGCGAGACATGGTTCTGCCAAAAATCGCATGGAAGTCAATTGTCTTGCCATACAGTAAGTTAGATTTGAATCCCATCAGTACCTCCAGTAAACCGCTTTGTCCTGTGTCGTCGACGCCGCAGCTAATCCAGCATCTGCCCATTTTAAACAATCCTGAAACGTATCGAATGATCAGCCCCTGGTGATCCCAACCGCTCAAGACAAAATTACCTCATGCCGGTCAGAATTAAGTGCATGCTGCAGAGCATCAAAAATCGTCTGCCGGACCCGCATGATATGTTTGGAGTCCACAGCCTCACCATCTCTTTAAGCAATACAGAGTCAGGAGTCGATGGCACAATCAAGCAAGCATTAAGGCGTACCGTTCTTTTTCGAGAAGGACACACCCGATGCGCTTGAGCTCGCTCATTGCTTGTTCTCGCTTAGTCTCTTCAAAAGCGAGGCTGCACGCAATGTCCAGGTTGATGTCAAATTCAGCATCCCCGTGGTTGTCGATCAGTGCACGATAAACATCCAGCCCTTTGTCGGAGAAGGATAACCCTTTAGCATAGGTACGGGCCCCCACGAGCGAGTCCTCAAGACTCTCCTGCTCAAACAAAAGCAGAAGCGATCGACGTGCTTTCTCATACTGTTTGTGATCAACGTAGAGCTTGATCATGAGCAGCAAGATCTTGGGCTCACGGCTATCCGGGACAAGAAAGTAGCACGTTTCTGCTCGCTCTAAGTCTCCAGTTAGGCAAAGGGACTGCATCAAATTACCCAGCACATGCTGCTTGAACGAGGCAATCAAATCCGGAAAGCTCTCGTCTCCGTCACTCTCAAGGGCGTCACAAATGCATAGCGTCTCTTCAACAAAGGAGATCTGTATCTCGTGGTGGGCCGCTTTACAGTACCCGTCACTCAAGCTCGTCATCAGACTCAGCAAACTACTTGCGTACGATGCTTTGTATGGCACAAACGTCTTCAACTCGTGCAGTGAAGAAACAATCTCACGATACTCTTCCGACAAACTGGCCGAGCGTTCCGCCAGCAACTGCAGCACTCGCACGCGGTCGACGCAAAAGTCCCACAAATCATCTACAATGTCTTCCAGCTCCAGACCTTGCTTGAACTTCTTCAGATACGAGAGCCCGATGCGAGACCAGAGCTGCATGGACGAGCTGAAGGACTCGTTGGCCAGGGACAGGTAATCTTCGCTCTTTTGGCAATCGGCCGATGCGCTTTCCAGCATAAGCATTCCCACTCGGCCATAGGAACGTAAGACGTCGACGGATTCTTCCATAAACTGCAAGCTCGTTTTTCCGCTGTCTCTAGAGCACGCGAGTGACAACCCCATGGTCTTTGCAGCAACGAGCCTTGTCATAGCCAGGAGATACTTCGTAGAGCTCGTGGATTGATCATCTCCGTGCTTCTTGGACTTCTCGACTTGTGCCAACATCCGGAGCGCAAGTCGCGGTGCATTGTAGAGCTCCACTCCAGCGTCCATCAGTTGAGTTCCCGATAGCTCTAGTACACGTTGTGCACTGAGAACTGCGATAGCACGCTGGAGCTCCTCCATCACTGGCCTTATAGTCTCGAGATTCGAGGAGAAAACGCGGAAAAAGTCATCGGACGAGATCGACGAGTCTGCTTCGACCGAGAGCAGCTTCGTCACCGTGGCTACGCCTTTTAAGATACTGGATGCGCCTTCTTCCTGCATCTACGACGCGTGTTTGTTTGTCCTTTGCGCGTTAAATCTCACACTGCGCGCGCGCAATTTGACCATCACTCCTACTTCAACGTTGCCGGTTCTGTGATCATTGCGGTCTGTAAAACCTCACGAGTGACAAATAACCTCGACCTTGTGACACGATTTCATTTTCGTGTGCCGCCGATGCGAGTGTTCGTGGTCGCTGTTGCGCTTTGTAGCGCACTGTGCGCAGCTGCGCCAAAGGTTGAAATCCGCGTCATTCCTCGGCCTCGCGTGGGAGAAGCAGAAGAAGAAGAAGCGAGTCCAGTGCCGTTACTGATCCCGTCTCGCGCCCCCTTTCCAGCATTCGAAGGCAAGTCGGGAAAGAGGGTGATGCTTGTCATGATATCTATGCAAGTGTATAGTTTAATCGAGTACTTTCGTTGTGTTTATTGCAGGGCCTTTTGCTGGTAAAGACACACTTCCATGTTTCCGGGAAGAAAGGGAGATGGAACCGGGCAAAGCGTGAGCGTTTTGTGCCTTTTCTCGAGTTTAAACGGACGTATCTCACGCAGTTCTTGTCTTCCAGCTACATTTTCGACTTATGTGCACTAGCAAACGCCACGGTCAAGGCCGTAGTCGATGAGGTCGTGGAGGAAGTGGAGGTCGATGTGACTGGTGGCGTGTTGGCACCCTCTGATGCAAAAGACGATGACGTGACTGCTAAGCTGGACATGGGACCCGCAGAAGAGCAGTCTAAAGAGCCGGATGTCACTATACTGGGGTAAGATATGCTGAATTGGTGTAGGATGTTGGGCATCGACCATGCTGATGAGTAAGAGTTGTCTCTCGTTTGTAGCATTTTCCGCGGCTGGCACATCGATCCAATCACGTTGAACTACAAGTCCATGATATACGACGACGGGGACGAGTGCATGGACAGTGGCAAGAAGTATTCGATGACTGTGGAGCTGATTGCTTCCAGCAACCCGGAATCCGACTCGAAACTGTTTGGGTTCAAGAGCGCAGGCATGTGCATGTTCGAGGCGTCACTACTTGCGTATGTCCCGGAGGAAGCTCGTGTTGCGAGACTTGGGGTTCACACGCCAGGTGTGATTGACATTACCAGCGCGGAGTCAGTGTTGCCTGTGATCTGTGGCAAGATGAAATGTCGCTACGAAAAGATCGCAAAAAGTGTGCAAGATTTGTCCGCTCAGGTGAAAATCCGGTCGGTTGCTGTTTACGCTTTGATGGTTTCGATTTTGCTAACTGGTATCGCGGAATACTGCAGATTCGTGACGTTCAAGACACGTTGGTAGAGGAAGCATCGAAAACAAACTCGCTGTTTACTAACATGACGCTAGAGGCATCGAAGAGCACGCTGGAGTCTGCCGCCCAAATTGTTGGGAAGTCAGTTGAGCTATTTCATGAGATTGAGATGCTGCAGCAGTCGTTGACTAATGACTGGTTCGGGCGCGAAGAAGCGGCTAAGCGAGAGATCGCCCAGCAGGAGGCAGAGGATAAAAAGAGAAAGATGGAGCAAAATGTTTCGGATGCTACTATTGCGGCTGCCGCAACTGTTGACGAACAGGAACAAGTGACTGCAGAGAGCTGATCAAGAACACTCGTTGCGACGGAATACATAGCGTTTTTTTCTACTGGTTTTGCTACTCAGATTGTAGTGCTTGAAAGCCTCTTGCTACACCTGCCAGCTATTCAGTCCACGATATACGAACGACACACCACGACGAAGTGCTGACTGGCCCTTTTCGGGATACTTCCATCTCTAGGAAAAACATAGTATTAGTTTTATTGCCGGCAGCTAACATCCATCGCATGAAATAGAAAATGTGGTGGCCCGAGTGCAGTGTTTCCTTTTATTTTGCAAAAGCATTGGCAACAATTTCCGTTGCGAAAGTGACAGTAGCAACCAAAGTTGCGATCCGAAGAGAGCGTTACGAGGAGTGAGGTGTCGAACATGTGACTGAACTTTTCCGAAATCAACACTTCTCCATGAGGCCAGCCGGCATTGGCCCTGGCGGTATAAATGGATCAGCATAACTGGTGCGAGGTGAAGCAATGCAACGCCATAATTTGAAAATTCGGGAGTCACCCATCCCGAATTCATCGAGTACACTCCTCTCGGACTTGTATGGCACATGTGCTGCTCTCCTCCGCGAATGTCTGTGTAGACAATTGTACGACAATGGAGCCGCACCTCCTCAGCGGTACGTTTTCAAATCACTGGAAGAAATATGACAATCCACCGCTTCCTCCGATGAGGCCAGTTACTTACTAGTGTTTGTGCAGAACACCAACAGGGAACTTGTATTCGCACGAGCACCTGGCTGAGTAAAGAATATCTTTCTTTCCGATCCAAAACCGGATGTCGATGTGGGAAGTCAGTCACACGCGGTCAAAATACGATGTTTCGCAAAAAACAGCAGGCGGTACTCCAGTTTGTTGCTCTCCATAGAATGTAACCGCACCCGCGACGACGCGACAACATAAAGATGGGAGTGGTTGTTCAAGTTACGGGCGAAAATGAACTCGCATGGGCTTGTCAAATCGATTGGCAAGGTCGAGTCGTTAGGACTTCGTCATGGCATTTGCTTCCGTAGGTGTCTGCTATTTACAACGCTATTTTACCCAGAGAGATTGACGTGCGATTCGTTTGCTGGCAACGATTCTACTATCCTGACCAAATCCTCTCGAGCCTGTATTCGCAAAGTCATCACAAACTGTAACCACTGTCACCACTCGAACCTTCAAAAGGTTTCGTTTCTCAAATGACGGTCAAACTGGATTCGCCCACAAGACAGAAATCGAATACACAAATCTTACTTGCTCCTACCTACGTAGACTTCACATAGAGCGGTATTTGAAGTCTACGGGGGAGCAAGTAAGATCTGCGCATTCGATTTCCCCGATCCGTTTCGGACAAAAGATTCCCCAGCAGCTCGTATCACTTTTGAGCGTCAGAAAGTGCTACAGGGAACGCTGACACCTTCACGACATCACGTGGAGTTGCTAGCAGCCACGTCGACTGCTGCTTTATTTAATACCAGTCAATAGATACAGCTGCTCGTCCACTGTCGAGTAAAGTCAAGAGTGATGCACTATTAGCTCGATTCGTTCGTCAACCACAAAAACAAGCAAAAATGACCCATCTCCTAACCTCAACGACAGGCCGGGCCAGCAGCTACCCATACCAAGTAGTGCGATATCGTACACAGTGTCCTGACTGCACCTTTCAAAGCTCTCCGAAAGTATGTGCCTACACACCCGCTCTCCCCACATCCTTAATTATTGCGCAGCCAATTAGTCAGTGCATACTCCTGCCGATCGTTACTCACCATCCGTGGCTGCTGAACAGCAGTTATTGGCTGGGCATCCAGCAGGTTCTGCATACTCGGCACCGTTTTATGTCGAGACGAAAAGCGCAACTCCACCTCCTCGTTTGGGCGAAAAAAGTTCGTCAACTTGCCAGTTTCGTCGTAGCCACGTCGACACACAGCAGCTTGAGAGCCAGTCGTCTGCAGGACTGGTCGACCAGATGGCGTCGAGGTAGATGCTCCATGCTGATTCGAATAAAAGCTGTTGCGCCCAAAGAATTGCCTCGAAACGGGAGGCGGCGGGCGAATCGGGACGTCCGAGTAGGCAAACCCCATCGACTCCAACCGTGGATTCCATCCAAAACTGTCGTCGCTGCCCTTGTATTCCACACAAGGCACTGGATCAACAGCCACCGACGACGTGGCGTCCATTTTACGCTTCTTGTTCGTCATCACTTGAGGCTGCAGTCCCATTCCAACCCCTGCTGATGGTGTCAAGTACGCGCGTTTTGTCTCAAGCGCTCGCGCTGTAGCTCGATGCTTCGTCTTGGCGATTCGGTCGGTCGCTGGAGTCCGCTGTAGCTGTCCACTGAACGGCTGCAAGTTGTTGTGTAGTATCTCTTTGAGCCGCATCTTCTCCTTCACGACCTTCTGGTACTGATCATGACGGAACTTGCACGCTTTCTTCAGTGCAACAATCAGCTCCGTAGGGTTCCGAACCTCCTCTTCCAACGCAGCAGCGTCACACGTCTCCAAGTACCTGAGAATGCTCTGGTTCACACTCGATTGACGCGCAGCTTCCGTCTGCCGCGTGAGTTCCATCTGATACCTCGCCACTTTAATCAACAGCTCCGTCTTCGTATCGTGCAAAGCGCCCACCCGCTCACTCAGCGTCTGTTTATCTGCCAATAGGAGCTCGCTCTGACTCCGCAGCCGTCGGAGCTCGTCCACAAGTCGATCCTGTTGCTTGTTCTGCCACTGGATCCGCTCCATGAGCGAATTCACGCGGGAACTGAGCGCCTTTGTGTCGCCCGAGTCGGCTGCAGGAGCCAGTGTACCCATCTCGTCGCTCCTGCTGCTGCTGGAAACGGTCTCGTGCACGTTTGACACGTCGAAATAGAGCGTGATGAGGTCGCTGTCGTCGGTTCGCCGTCGACAGATGGGGCACTGCGGGTTCACGTGGAGCGCCTGGAGGATGCAGACGTGATGGAAGACGTGGCCGCATGGCGCCGTCACGAGGTCGCGCCGCAGCTCTTCGAGACAGATGTGGCACTCCTGGGTGGACGACGTCATACCTCTTCCTGCGCCGCCGTTTTCCAACTGACTAAAGAGGGAGAAGCCATACTAAAAACGATTGTAGCTGCTGCTGACTGCTTGAATGAAAAAAATGGCGTTTCGGGGCTCGAGGTTATGTGTACCACAGAGAAATGGGCGATGGCGTAATTACGGACCAGAGGAGGTCGTAAAAACGATGGAGCGTGTGTGCCACCTTTTGGTTGGCTAGCAAGGCGTGGCTGGCTGACTTGACTGGGGATGATCTTACGGGCGTTTTAGTTAAGTTTAGAAGACCAACGCGACAAAATGGTACGTCGACGGCGGACTGGCTGGCTACCCTCGAGAGGCGTGTAATCGTGAGTATGGCCTTGGAAACTTACGAGAATCGGTGTGTGCGTGTGTTCTGTCTGTTGTTCTGACAGCCGAAGCAGATCACCGACATCCGTGACTTTCTGCAGAAAGCGCGCCGAAAAGATGCGCGGTCGGTGAAGATCAAAAAGAGCGACAAGGTCGTCAAGTTTAAAATCCGTTGCTCCAAGTACCTGTACACGCTCTGCGTGACGGACACGGAGAAGGCTGACAAGCTCACGCAGTCGCTGCCCCCTGGTGCGCAGCTCTCGAATCTCCTTTCTCTTCTCTATTCTTTGATGTGCAAAAACGCTGACTGATGCATGACTGGCTGGCTGGTTGATAACACAGGACTTCAGCGCAAGGATATTTAGGGTGCAGCAACGTGCACGTTCGGCGCAACATAAAGCTCGGTCTTCTTTAGCTTTTCGATGGTGAGGGCAGGTGGACGGTCTGGTGCAGTGCAGGATAAGCTGGAATCTAGTCTGCAGGGCAGAGCGTGTATTGACGTTGTCGTTTTACTCTGCTGCTCGCACGGTCGAATGCAGAGCAAGAGACGTCAGAGGAGTCAAATACCACCACCACCTTCATCATCACACCTGTCGCGTTTGTTATCCGATGTTCCTGCTCAGGTTTCTGCATTTCGTCTCGCTCTTGTCGTGGACTTGGCCTCTACCGGTTTGGCAAGCCAGCTACTTTACACCGCATCGTTTTTGATCGCGTCGATTGCGAATATCAACCGACAGTCGCGAGGTCGTAAGCTCGGCCGTGACTTGGCTCTGTTTCACGCACAGGTGCCACTAATTCGTGTATTCAAATTGGTGGCACCTGTACGACACGATCAGATAGAGCCGACTACCAACCACACGCCGGAGATACCAAACCAATTCGATAGGAAGCTGTTGCCAAAGATGTGTATATATTCAGTCGCACAACAAACAAGCTGCGTGACCTGCCGACCACTGTGCACGTATGACCAAGCAAAGACCCTCGAGGTCCTCGCCAGTCATAGCGCAGATCTCTAGCCTTCGTCAAGCCGTATCTGCTCAAGCCAAGTTCTTGTTAGCAGGCGAATTGGCAGCAGCAGGCGACGCCGATCTGGAGCGGGAGCGGCGCGGCGAGTCCTTCGCCGCAGCCGGCGAGCGCGAACGCGAGCGATGGCCAGGCGAGCGGCCACGTGCTGGAGAACGAGAGCGCGAGCGACGCGCTGAGTCTCCCTCAGGGGCAACACGCACGTAGCTGCCACGGAACTCTGTGTCGTCGAGCTTCTTGATAGCGTCGTCCATGTCTTCTTTCGTCTGGAACTCAGCGACGCTGAACCACGTACATCCACGTCACAGAAATCAAGTCAAGTGCTGCCACCGCTAGCATCTCCCCACAGACAATATCAATGCTTACGCTGAGCCATCCGCCTCTACGTTGCAGTAAGTCACCTCACCACCCGTGCGAAGAAAGTCCTTGACATTTCGCCAATCGACGTCACGTGGCAGATCCGTTACGCGTACGCGGAAGTCAGTGCGCTGAGGCGGGTTGCGACCTGCAGTAAGTCAAATGCATCATAATCGTTACAATAGAACCCTCTAGACTCAACAGAGCAGCACGTGTTGGCTACAACACTGGACGCACCACGTTCAAAACGGTCGCCACCACGACCGTGGCCACCGCGGTCATCGTCCCCACGACGGCCTCCGTCACGGCCACCGCCGCCATCACGACGACTGCCGCCGCGAGCGAGTTCGACACGGATGCTGTTCAAGCAACAAGAGAGACAGACAGATAGACAGCAGAACATGTGAGAAAAGAGGCGACGTCTCCTTTGTTTTCTGTAAACTTACCGTCCTCCCAAGAAGTCACGGCCGTCCATCGAGCGAATGGCATCGTCAGCGTCCCGCGGGTCTTCAAAATCCTAGGGAAGAGGTGGGGAGGAGCAGGAAGGAAGGGACGACGATGGAGAGGCGTTGGTTGGTATGGATTCGATCGGTGGCAGGCGAAGAAGAAGAAGAAGGAGTAGAAGAAGAAGGCGCAGCATGATGGCAGTCGGTCGGTCGACCAATGGACGCTCAGTCTCTAGCTCTCCTCACAGTAGAAATCAAAGAGGCACCGAAGACAGCGGAGCGGGTGGCCACAAGCAGCAGCAGCAGCAGCAGACGGAGAGGCGAAAACGTCACTGACCCGAAGACTGCAGCGAGGCGGCGACGACCACGAACAGCACTCGGGGCAGAATGTGGCGGCCACATTGACGACGAGTCTCACATGCACAGATGTAGAGTATACACATACCTACAATAGTATACACAAATACACATTGTATACACATACATACTGTAGTATACATCCATACATATAGTATACACGTATCGAGTATACACACACTGTAGCCATGCCGACGGCTTGCTGGTGTAGCAAAAGTGGGTGGGAGGAAGAGAGTAGACCGACCGAGCGAGCGAGCAGGAGACCGAGGGAGGGAGGGAAGACACGCCATCATGCGCGACGGCTGGCCGGGAGAAGCAGCTCAACTCACCACAAAAGCGAAGCCCGGCGGGTTGCGCGCCACCCAAATGTTCGACACGTGGCCGTAGCGGTTAAAGCCGTCCTGGATCTCACGCGATGTGGCGTCACGGGGGAGGCCGCCGACGTATACGCGCGTGCCCATAGTGCTGTGTGGCGGGTCGAGAACGAGCAGAGAAAGGGCGAGTCACTCACCGCGTTTACAGGCGGCAGACGACGGACGACGGACGACGGACGTGGCGCTTTGGGTTGTGAGTGGATCAACGACGGCGGCGACGTGTGGTTGCAAATTGACCAATCAGCGCTGCTCTCTGAATCGCATGGTCGCTTGCTTGCTTGCTGTCAAATAGCGTGGCGAGGCTGGAATAAGGTGGTGCACACCAACTTCGCGCGAGTCCGCTCCACCAATCGGCACAAATGCTGTCGTCTGCTGCCTGTCGACTGCCGGTCGCGGCTGCTGCAGCTCGCCGCGCTGCTATCACTGGCGCTTGCTGCCGCGTGCCTCGCGTCACACGACGCGCTACATTACCACCGTCTCGTTCGTTTCTAGGGCTTCGTGAATTGCTCTTTGGCCTGGCGAAACCCTCTACGGAAGGAAAAGTCCTGCAGCTACAAGCACCTGAGAAGACTCAGAATCATATTTCTACGCAGCAGGTCCAGCAAGACAAGAGCCCGGTCGTCGTTGGGAGCGTGGAACCCACGCTATATACGGTAGGCAAACTTGCCAAGCTTGCTGATGGTGCTGTGCTTGCCTCGTGTGGTCGCACGGTGCTGTTGACGACGGTCGTGAGCGACCACGACGTCAGTAGCAGCACTGGAAAAGGAGGAAATGGTAGCAACAAATCGTCCCAGCGCGACTTTCTGCCGCTCACGGTGGACTTTCGCGTCAAGTCGCACGCTGTTGGGCTCATTCCGGACAACCAGAAACGTCGTGAGTTTACGGGCAGTGACGAAGAAGTGCTGCAGTCACGTGTAGTGGACCGAGCGATTCGTCCGCTGTTTCCACGCGATTACTGCGAAAACACGCAGTTGTTGGCGACCGTACAGTCGTACGACCCGAATAACGACCCTTTGGTCGTGGCTGTCAACTCGGCTTCAGCTGTGCTGAGCATGTCGGACGTCCCGTGGAATGGACCAGTGGGCTGCGTTCGTGTCGTGGAGGTGGATGGCCAATTGGTGGTCAACCCCACGGCCCCACAGCGTGATGCCGCTACGCTGGATGTGATCTATGCTGGAACAGCTGAACGGGCCGTGATGGTCGAAGCTTCGGGTGACGAAGTGGGTGAGGCACGTCTTGGTGAGGTGCTGGACTTGGCACAGATGAGCGTGTTACCAGTGATTGAGGCGCAGAAGAAGCTGGTGGAGGAACACGGGAAGCAGAAGCGCGTGTACTCACCGCTGTTCATTGCACCGGAGATTTGGGCCAAGGCTGAGGAGCTTGGGCGTAAGGATACGGAAGCGCTAATTGCCAGTGGTCACGTAGGTAAGCTCGCTCGTCAACAAGGAGAGCGCGAGATCTACGGCAAGATGCTGAACGGCATGCGTCAGCACTTTGCCGCTGCGTCTCCTCCTGTGGACGATGCAGCTATTGTACGTGCTGCGCACGACACGTTCCAGCGTGTGGTGCGCGAACGTATTCTGACGATTGCAAAAGAGACGAAAGGCTCAAAGAACAAACCTGTGCGATTAGACGGTCGTCCAGTCCGAATCGTTCGTCCATTAGAGATGGAAGCTGGTGCGCTGCCAATGGCTCACGGATCTTCTCTTTTTGCTCGTGGTGAAACGCAGACCCTGTGTTCTGTGACACTTGGACCTATAGAGCGCGGTCTTCGTCTGCGTGGTGCACTCCATGAAGCGCGTGAGCTGGCTGAGTCTAGTGCTCCTACGCCACTAAAGAACGCCATGCTGCACTACGAGTTCCCGCCCTTCTGCGTAAACGAGACGGGTCGTATGGGTGGCACCAATCGCCGCATGATCGGGCACGGTGCTCTGGCCGAAAAGGCTGTTCTGCCCATTCTGCCCTCTATCACTGAGTTTCCATACACGATCCGTATGACGTCGGAGGTGATGGGTTCGGACGGCTCGTCGTCGATGGCAACTGTGTGTGGCGTATCGCTGGCGCTAATGGATGCCGGCGTCCCCGTTCGCCGTGCAGTGGCGGGTATTGCCATTGGTCTCGTCACAGCTGGCGACCCGTTTTCCAGCAAGGAAAAGCGTATGGAAGAAGGTGACTACCAGTTGTTGACGGACATCCTCGGATCCGAGGACCACTATGGTGACATGGACTTCAAGGTCGCAGGAACGACATCTGGCGTGACAGCGTTGCAGCTGGACGTGAAGCTGCCTGGCGGTGTGCCGCTTTCCGTGCTGAAGGAAGGACTGCGTGAAGCCAAGCAGGCACGTCTGCATCTGTTGCGTCGCATGAGCTCGGAACTTGCTGAACCCCGGGAAGCTCTAAAGTCCAATGGCAGTGCGTTGCCGAACGTAAGCGTGGAGTGTGTCATTGCCACGAACTTGATTGGTGCACTCATTGGTGTCGGTGGAAGCAATATCCGCGACTTGGAGTCGCGGTTCAACGTCTCTGTGAGCATCATGAACCGACGGGAAGGTATTGTGCGTGTCGTGGGTACAGTCGACGGCACGTCAAAGGCTCGTGACTGGTTGCAAACGGAACTTGCTGCGGTTGCAAGCTCTGGCCCTCGTGGCACTCACAGCGTCAATAGCAACGGCAGCACCGACAGTAGTGACAGCGACCAGAGCTCGACAAAGAGCCGGTCGTGCTTTTTCCGGAAGGGAGAGCGGTACACGATGCGCGTGACGCAGGTCATGGACTTTGGCGCTATCCTCGAGACATCGGCTGGTCAGCGCGGGTTCGTGCACATTTCTGAGCTTTCAAGAGAGAAGGTCAGCAACATCCGGGGCGTGGTACTAGAAGGACAAGAGATGGAGTTTGAGTGTCTGCAGGATGGCGCTTCGGGCAAAATGTCCCGTCGAGTCCTGTTGGGTACGGACGGAGGCGAAGACACTGCACCAGCGACTTCTGATCCTGCAGTGGGGGACTTGGAGACGGGGCCGTCACGGAGCAGCAAGCACCACTCTCGTCGATCGTCGACGGCTTCGCGCCGAGGGGAAACAGCTCGCCGCTCGCGGACGTAGGTCAATCAGGTAGTCACTCACGTCGGAAGGAAGCGGTTCGTTCTCATTTTTGTTGTCCTAGAGGTTGTAACAGTAGACATGAGGAACGCTGTGAGCATGGCGGGGTACATTACTGCTCGTAACCGTGATTGTGACTACCTTTGATATGCCTTCCTTTGCCCGATAGGTGTCAAAAATGAAATTTTGAAAACACTGCTGGGAACTTCAGCCGTGACGTTTGGCTATTAGACTATGCATGATGAGGATCTCGTTTCTTGGTTACTACTGCCAGCAGACCTGGTTTCGATGAAATGGGATCTTTTCGGTGAAACATTTAGAAATGGGATCTTTTCGAGTGGAAAGCAAACGACGAGGTACAGTATTGTTGACCCTGCTTTTCGAATCCGGATGACTTGTGGACTATGGATGACTTGTGGACTATATTTGCGTCTTTCGTCCGCATACAACAGATCAGCTAACGAGTTTTCTCAAATGTAGCTCGAAGCAGTCCAGTGTATACATCTCGCCGTTCCACCAACAATACCAAGGACTGACTGTATACACACAGCACACGAACGCCACGCCACTCAACTAAATTGCTGTCCACGAGCATCGCATGGCGCCTCCTCACCACAAGTTCTCGCTGCGTTACGGCCACAGTTACCTCAAGATTGCCATGTACACGCCGTTCGTATTTCATGTATACACACACGTCGCTGCACGTACCCATAGTCTTCTACTGCTCACGTTTTCGGTAACCTGTTGCTGCTGTTGCTGCTACTTCAGATTCTTTGATGACGGATCGGGCACTGTAGCCGATATCAAGCAGCTGAAGTTCGCTATTGACAACACGCTCAAGACGGCGTTCGGAGTCGTGGGCGCTGCAGCCAGTGAGTTTGACGTCTTGGCCTTCGCGAAAATGGCTACAAACAGCAGCGAGCCCAGTACAGCATTGCTGCGCGTCCAGCGTAGCGGCCTCGAGGTTTTATGGGGCGCCATCACCATGTGCACGTTAATGAATGGGAAGCTGTGCAAGCTGGAGGTGCTGCACACGGGTGACTCGCTCATGGATATGGCTTCAGGGAGGTTTCTGTAGTGATCCGATGGAAACGATCGATGCCGGTATAATGACGGCGCCCGGGAGACTGACTGTTCATCTGACTTCGTATTGAACTCCTTCATTGTGTTTGTCAACACGCGACCATATCGACCTACACGACAGCTTCTGGAGCACCGACGACGATGGTCTTTTCGGAAAAAGCAGAGCGCTTGCGGCTTCGCTTGAGTAGCACCGTGCGGTCGATCGGGTCGTTGTGTGCATTTAGCCGCATCGTTGAACGCTGGTCTCCACCAGAGCTTTGATTGCTCTGCATAGACGACATGCGCGACACACCAGACGTAGCCTGCATGGCGGAGTTCAGTGACTGCACCGAGGCCGTGAAGGATGGGATGGAAAGCGAAGACCGACGTCGCCGCAGCCCTTGGCCAGTTGGGACACGTTGGTGCGTCTGGTGGCCCTGTTCTTCCTCGTCTTCAAGCCGAAGCGTATCGAGCACTTCGTCAGTCAGCGTCGCTCGATCAAACGCGTTGAGCAGAAACTGGCGCAGTGCCAGCCGGTAGCTGTACTTCTCCAACAGCGCGTGCACGTACATCAACAGCACCGGCTCTTCGAACAGTTCCGATTTCGACGAACGCAGCTTGTTGAGCGAAGCATGCGCCTCTTTCTGAGTGATATGATTACTCAAGTCTGCAACGAAGCGTAGTACTTCATGCCACTCTTTGGGCATCTTGTCACGCCGGCGAGCAAGTAGTCGCTGCAGGGGCGACGAGGAAGGAGTCTGCGTCAATGGACAGGAAGTTGATGATCCGGGCGGCGGCCACAAAAAGAGAGAAGTGCAGTTTTGTGGGACAGCAATGGACGTACGAGACGCATCACGCGGAGCGTCCCATCCAAGACGCGCTAGATGCCGCCGCCCTGCAGTTGATCGTGCAAGCAAGCCCAGCACGAAAAAACATGTTCCACGGATGGACACAAGCGGTGAATCTGTGGCCAGTTTCACGATCATCTCCACGAAGTCTTGTGCGTAATGACTCAGCAGATCGTACCCGCGTGATGTGGCAGCCACGTGACCCAGTGCCCACAGCGCCGCACGCTTTTCCAGTGGAACACTTGCAGCGTCCCGCAAGCATGCGAGAAATTCGGGCAAGTGCCCAGACGCGCGCAGGATCTGGCAGCCGGCACTAGTTTTTGCCAACTCGCCGTACAAATGCACGGGCAAGGGCACCGTGCGCGGACGAAGAGGTAGCAGTTGCAGTGTGAACTCGACAGATTTGAGCAAAAGGCGTTTCACGCTCCCATTTGTGGTGTTGGTGCCCGCAGCAGATTCCATCTCTACACGGAAGTTCCACACAGCGCGTTCACCTGGTGCGCACAGTGAACACTCTGGCGCTGACAAGTACTGAGGTGAGCGTTGTTCAGGTTGACACGAGCTCCAATCCTTGTTCTCCTCCTTTGCCGTATCAGCAGAAGACGACCCATTATCGGCGAAATCTAGCGACGACGATGTCGTCTCGGAGGTGCGTTCCATACCTGGGTTTGACGCCGACCGCGCACGCAGCATTTTCTGCTGCGTATCGCTTGATAGGCCAGCCCCGCTGCCACTAGCTGATCCGCTCGTAGACACGAAGCCTCCATTGCTCTGAGGCGGAGGCTTCGTAAACCCGCGCCGATCAACTGGTTGCGTGCCTAGGAACAAGCTGGCCTGCAACGTCTGCTGTGAGTTTACCACGACTGGTTGTGGCATATTGCGTGCATCCACAACGATTCCTTTGACACGGATCGAATTCATGCGAAGTTCGTCATCGACGCCGGTAGCCTCACCCTCGTCACGCATCGCAGCATCAATGTACGTTTCCAAGATGAGGTTCGATGGAGGACCGCTTCCTGGTGGACCCACAATCTTGACCTCCATGTTCCAAGGCATGCGGTACAGCCAATCCAGCCCCCATTGAGATCCCTGACGGCTTCCGCCGCTAGGTGGTTTATGTCCACCTCGCTTCATGGGCACGTTCACAGGGATGGGTGTAGGAGAACACGTCTGACGGGTGCTGGTCGAGCTACTATTTGATCCGCGTTCCCGCCCGCTGGCATCACGATGTAGGCCGCGAAAGAGCGCGTGTTCCACGGCATGTACGTACAGAATGTGCTTCTCCCGACGCCAAGCGGCCAGAGTGCGTGGGATCCAGTTGCCTGTGTCGCGAAGAAAGTTTAGGCCTTCAGCAAGCGAGAGCGACTTAAGAAGTAAAGACTCAGCTCGCTTGTCCTTTAGTTGAATCAGCTTGATCGGTCGCTTCAGAATCATCGCCAAAAGGCAAGCAGGCGTCTCAGCAGCCTCTTCCAGCACGCTTAGTGCCGCCTTGGCAACTTCCTCTTCCTGGGTGAGCTGTGTCACCAATGCATCAATACCCCACTTTTCGAAATCCGCTACTTCAGAGCGTAGCAATGCGCGCAACAAGCAGGTCGCGTACAGACGCAACGCCTTAGAGCCCTCCATCATCCAAGACTGAAGCAGCTTTCGGGAACTGCCGTCAACCGAGTAATCCAGATTGGCTAGAATAAGCCGACACAGGAAGTCATGACCTTTAGTCGTCCCCATGACGTAAAGGCGCTGAAACAGATTGGATTGCTCCATCATCTTGAGACCTTCTTTGCTCGAGCTCATCAGTCCGAGAAGCGTAAAGTACTCACGTAACATACGCCGCGACACATAGTCAGGTGAAAACATGCGTGCTTTGAGCACACCAATGTGCGACTCCACGATAGCAGCTTCAGGCCGTGCTTCGAGCTCCAATGCCGACGAGATTTCTGTCAGCAATTGACCACGACGGTCCGTCTTTAGGAAGAGTAAACCTTCAGGATGATTTAGCAGTAGTGTGTACATTTGACAGGCCGGGCGCAGATAAGGCACATGGTCTGGTATCCAGTACAGGTTGGAGAAATAGCCCTTGTTGCCTTGATCGCAACGGAAGAAGCCCGATAGACGCTTGAAAAACTTTGTTTTCATAGCTTCTGACAGCCGCTGTGGGTTTGTAAGCGGACCCTCCAGCATCTCGGAGATAATATCCCAATTCCAGTTCTTGTAATTCTTGTCTGTCAGTACGCGTGAACGGTTGTGTAGCATATCTTTGAAAGTGCTGTCGTCCATCTGTGCATCCAGCGATTGCTTTAGCTCGAGAACCATTAGTTCTCGTGATGTCAAGCTATCCTTCAGTTGCGCCATCGCGCTCTTCGTACCACGCTGTGTTGAAGGAGTGGCTACAGCATAGTTGGCAGAGCCACTACCACTGCCTCCAATACCGCCACCGCCGCCAGATGATGGGATACGTACTACACCTGCAATCTGTTGCAGAGCCAGTAAATTTGACGGTCGATTCGTATCGCGCAGGAGCTCTGATGCCAGCTGGACGCCATTTACACCGCTGCCACCATATGACACCAAGGACACACCACGTGTGGCAATGCTGCCTGAATTTGCACCAACAGCATTAGCCAGCTCACTCAACATCTCGCTAGCTCGAATCGACTTTTCGCGCTGCAATCGCTCCACAAGACTCTTGGCATGCTCTCCGAGAGACATCGTAGTCGTACTCGTGAGTGAAGTCGACGAGACGAGCCGCGGAAGTGCAAGCAAAGTCGCACAGTGCTGATCAGGAAGCAACCGCGAAGCCATACGCAAAATGTCAGCTAGCAGGTCCATTGCTGGCTCGGCCAGTGCTCGAGACGGACCTGTCCCTAGCGTCACCAATGCCTCCAGGATACCACAGTGAATCATAGCTAGCAGAATGACAACCGTGTAGTTGTCCAGCAGATTGTGATTGAGAGCAAGCGGCATTTGTTCAGCGCTTGACATGGTGATAGGGAGAGATGGTGCGTCTGCTCCAGCGTCGGCTGTCGACTTGTCAAAGCTTGTCTTCTTATAGAAAATCTCACAAACAGTCGACAGTACTGCTTTTTGTACATCTTCACCCACTGGTCGCACCAGTAGTTGAATCAACGACTGCAGACCTTGCGGATTGCTTGTGAGCACCACCATACCCGTCCACGACCGCATCATAGTCACAATGGCATTCCGACTTGCCATCCATCGCTGTCTCCGCTCGTTTCCAGCTGGCAGATCAGTGTCTGTAAACGGTGCCAGTAGCACCTGAGAGTCCACAAATGGCTCAATAAACTTGCGTGTCGACGGTTCATTCAATATCAGCAGTAGTGTCATGAGCAGTGAGTCGGCCAGATCTTGAAACGACGGCTCGAGAATAGCATCAACTAGTATTTTGGCACCATTGGCCTCAGCCACGACCTCAACATTCAGCAGCGCCAGCTCTCGCAGCGTCTCCAAACACACGCGCCGCATATTGTCGTCCTTGTGTCCTGCAATGGCCGTCAGCGAAGCCACGAGACCCGTCGGCATCTGCGCCGCATCAATCTCCATCACCCGTCGCACGACCTTGAGAGCCTGCACGCGCTCGGCCAAGTGTTTCTGCTCGCGCTCGAGCGAGCGCACGACAAACACTGGCAAATTGAGGTCCACAAAGTGCTTAATACTCTTGCTACTGCTGATAGCATAGCGTAGCGCTCTCAGCGCTCCTGCGCGCGTTGACGTGTCAGAGTCGCACACGAGTCGACGCATTGCTTTTATGAGCCGCTCCATGGGGAAACTGTCGAGCAGTAGCGGGTCGTTCTTGAGCTCCTGTTCATCGTACAATAGAGTTATCACATGTGAGTGACAGTCAAGATGAAAAGATTAGGAATTAGAAACAATAAGGGGGATCGGTCCGATAGAAATAGGGGAATAGAGCGAGCAAGCGTGCGTTTACAGTCGTACATAGCAGACGCGACCGGTGCTGTCGAGCTTGGACTTGCGATCCAAGTTGCTGCGTTCAATGAGCGTGCAAATGACAGCAAGACTACTGTCTCCGCGCGGAGACGCGCCTCGCGATAGAGTCGCCATGCAGACGTCGAGGCAATGACGACGACAACGAGCGCAACCTTCGCCTCGAACGCGCGAGCCAAAAACTTAAAATACGTCCCGAGCAGTTCGTGTATACAAAACGTGTATACCCGCTCACAAACGGGTTTTTCGTTCGTTGTTCGTCGCTCGAGTTTCACAAACACCCACACAAAAAGCAGCTTTTTTCCCTCGTCCCTCTCGCCAGCCATCGATCGACAAAAGATGATGATGCACCGACTGCAGCGCAGCGTGGCCGCGCTGTCCTTGTCGGCTCCACGCGCCGTCTGTCGACCACGTGCTGTCAGTACACACATCGAGCCACATCCATGTGCCGTGTCCACGCCGCCCAATCTGGCGCTGGCCCCCGAGAAGCCCCTGCCGCCACCGCGTGTGATTCCTGCAGCGCAAGCGGTTCACGTGACGCCAGTGGGTGATTTGGAGCTGAAGCTGCTGTCCCTGAGTGAGGGAGACGAGGCACAAGAGGATCTCGGGACGATCACGATGGACGGGGACGTGTTTGGCGCGCCGGATCGCGTTGATATTCTGCACCGCGTCGTGCGCTGGCAGTTGGCGTGTCGTCGCGCCGGGACGAACAAGACCAAGACGCGGTCGGAAGTGAGCGGGTCCACGCGCAAACCGTGGAAGCAGAAAGGATCCGGACGCGCGCGTGTGGGGGACATCCGCGCACCGCAATGGCGTGGCGGGTACCGTGTCCACGGCCCCGTGCTGCGCGATTTCTCGTACAGTTTGCCGAAAAAAGTGCGTGCGATGGGCCTCCGCGTGGCCTTGTCTACGAAACTCCGTGAAGGGAAGCTCGCGGTGGTGGACTCTTTGGAGGCAAACGTACGTGTGCTGGATGGACGTGTGGTGGTGGATGCGTGGTGGTGGTGGTTGTTGTTTGCAGCTTGGGGTTCTCTTGCTGTCGAGTAGTTTTAATGGGGTGATGGGGATCGTTGTTGTGATGGTGCTGCTGGGTGGTTGATGGGAGCAGGTGACCAAGACAAAGGACATGAAGCAGTTGCTGGGTCGTCGTGGATGGGACCACGCGCTGTTTGTAGGTGGGGAGCAGGTCGACTTGGACTTCCTGTTGGCGACGCGCAACATCCCGCACGTCGACACGCTTCCACAGCACAAGATTAACGTGTACTCGATCTTGCAGAAAGACTTGCTGATCATCACGAAGGACGCTGTCAAGTACCTTGAGGAACGTCTTCACGTCGACTAGAGAAGGCAAAAAAGCAGCAGGTTGATGAGCAGTGCGCCGCGTACCGATTACGGTCAACACGGACGGAATAGACGGCAGACAAGACCAAGTTACATATCCACGATCAGGAATACAAGCACTCACCCCACCGTTGTGTTCGTGTCCGTATGTTCTCTTCACTCAGATTGACGGCGGTTTGCCTAGGTCACTCGTCGGTACTAGCTCTGACAACTTGCCTGCAGCACGCAGTCGCTCGTCCACAAGTGCTGGCTGACTAACCTCGCTCGCAGCCGCGTCGCAAGCGTTCAGCAAATGTGTCTGACCCAGGAACTCTTTCGCTTCTGCCAGCTCTGCTGTCAGTACCTCACGCTGCTTGTCCATAGCTGCCTTTAGTGTGTCCCGCTTAGCTTGGAAGCTGCGACCGTTGGCCAGCACCTTCCTCAGCATGTGCTTGATCCATCGGCTCTCCCGCTTGATCTCTGCCAAGTCGTTGACGCTCGAGTCAGCACTAGGCTCAAACTCGCCCACTGCCATGCGCTCCAAGTGCCAGCCGTTCAAATCGCCCATACGGGCACTGGGAGCACTCAGATCAAGAATCTCACGGAAATTGTCAACGTTGCGTCTTTGCTACTGGTTAAATAAAGGATGATGCACAGACGACGGACGTTGTTAATTAAAGGCGAGAGCGGGAGTAACGGGTCGAAGACGTACATCGTAAACTGCGGCGAGCTCCGTCCACTTGCCTTCCAGGTCGTTCTGTGTGTAGAGATCGCACAGGTCACAGATAGTAGCGGCGCCTGTGGCCGCTCCGTCGTCCTTGGGCTTGCTGCGCTGCAACATGAACGTCTGCGTTGGCAAATGGTACAGATTCCACCAATTGCGTCGTTTTGGTCCAGGTGATGGGCATCAGATGTATCCATGGATACAAAATGAAGACAACTGATTGGCTATATTTTGACAGATGGACCCATGGTTACATAAGCAACCACGAGACGCTTCTGCTTAAATTTGTAACTGTCTAGTTTCTCGGAAACCAGATGATGTACATGGAAAGCAATTCAGCTCAATTAGTAGAGCCAAGGCATGGCTGGTTACCTTCCTTCTTCACAAGAAATGGCGGCAACTAGGAGCCACACGCATAGTGAGGATGGATAAAATAGCGCAAGAAAAGCGACGAAACGTGAGCTTGTCGATCCACCCATTCTCAGACATGTCCACTGTGAAATGAACGAGCGGTCTCCGTATCGGTGGATGAACACAGTGTGACTACCGCTCTCGATCCTACTTGCCTCACTACTATACCGATCGGAAAGCAAATTCCACGCTGAGCATGAGGTCGATGTCGACTACTGTAGCGACTACCACGAATGTAAGGTACATGATGAAGATAGCAAAGACGACATGGGGTCTATGTGTCGACTACTCTTTTACAGCTCGACGAAATACTACTGATGAACGACCACTGACTAGAACCGATCATCGTAGTTGCAACATGTACGTCATGTGTAGGAAACCTCTATGCTGGCACAAGGAAGATAAAGAAGAAATAAACGCTTTGAGAACGTGACGCTACTCTTGTAGTGGTAGCATACAACTACCACTAAACTAGTACAGTTCGCACTATTCCTTGTGTTGCAAATTGTCTAACATCATCTGATCCAGTCGGCGATTGGCGACTGTAACTGTGGGACCTTTTTAGGTTACATTCGTGAAAACCACTCGGTTTTGGTCATTCACAATGCGCTGTCACTACGAAGTACTGGGCACCACGCGCGACGCGTCGGCAGTCGAAATTAAGCGGGCTTTCCGCCAACAGGCACTCCGGTGGCATCCGGATAAGCACCACCAAAGCGGTGTATCAAGCGAAGAGTCGACCGAGAAATTCCAGAGTATTCAGAGCGCCTACGAAGTGCTTAGTGACCCGCACGAGAAGAAATGGTACGACGACCATCGAGAGCAGATTTTGCGTGGAGGCGACGAAAGTGAGGACGAAATCGATCTCTTCCATTACTTCAGTGCCTCGGTCTATTCTGGTTTTGGCACGGATGATAAGAGCTTCTATTCGGTGTATGGGGATCTCTTTACAAAGGTTCATGGAGCTCTAGCTTGATAACGGTAGTTGTTGCAGTGTAGCCGTGATATGCTAACCTGTTGATACTTGACAGATTGACGCATTGGATACGGAAAGTGGTGGAGACACAAGGTCTGAAGCTGCACCGGGTATTGGTGACGCGGACACTTTGATGGACGACGTCAATGCTTTTTATCAGCATTGGAAGGGATACACGACGCAGCGCAGTTTTGCATGGGTAGACGAGTACAAATCAAGTGATGCGCCGACAAGAGTGGTGCGAAGAGCAATGGAAAAGGAGAATAAGAAACTACGGGATGCAGCTAAGAGAGCGTATACGACTGAAGTACGCGAGTTGGTGGATTTCGTGTGTCGTCGGGACCCCCGCGTGCAGTTCTTCCAAAAACAAAAGGATCTCGAGAAGGAACAGCTGCGGATTGAGGAAGAGACGAAGAAACGAGAGAAGCAGAAGGCTTATGATGTTGAACGACGGGTGTTCCAGGAGCAACAGGAGAAGTTTTGGACTGACGGCAGCATGGAGACGAGCCGTGTGAATGATCGAGACATCGAGCTGGAACTGCAAAGGTGTCGGGAGAAATTGGATGCCGACGTGCTCGTGTGTGACTTATGTAGCAAGACCTTCAAGTCCACGAAACAGTTGCAGAACCATTTGATGTCGAAGAAGCACCGCGAGAGGGAGGTGGAGCTTGGCGTTTTCATTGACCCTAGTATCTTGGACGATGAGATGGACAGAGATCTTCGAGAGGAGCTTATTGCTCTTGGTAAAGTCAAGCTTGAGCCGCAGGATGATGATTCTGTGTCTGCTAAGTCGTCGACAAAAGTCGAGCAAACCAGCGATGATGCCGAGCAGGAGAGAGAAGATGAGGAAGCTGCACGTAAGAAAGCAGAGGCTGATAGTGCTCGAATCGAAAAGGAGCAGAAGGCAGCCGAAAAGCGTCGAGAACGCAAAGAGCTGCGCAAGAACAAGAAGAAGGAGAATGTAGAGGAGATTGTCAGTGGTGCGCGCTCAAAACAGGAGAAGAAGGAAGAGGACGACGAAAACCAGCGCGGTCGCGGGAAGAAGGGTGGCAAGAAGCGTCGATAGAAGATGAAGATATGAAAACGAAAGGGCTTTGGAAATGAGGCAGTATGCTACTCTCGAACTTCCAGTCCATGTTTGTGTCAAAAAAGACTGCTCCATCCAGCGCAGATCTCGAGCACGTGCATCCGCTTCAATACTGCGCATCTAGCAAAGCAGCACTTTGGACTTCAACCGGAGGCGTGTCATACATACTACGCATTGTCACGCTCTTCCTTCAAGCGCAATGTGCCAAGCGGTCTTAATGCTGAAGTCGCTACCTTGATAAACGCAGCCACGAACGGAGTTTGAGTCGTTGTAGATCTACAGCACTGCCGCATGTCCGTAGACGTTTGTCAACAACGAGTTTACCGTGATGTCGTAAGTTGTCCGATCGTCAAGCTGAAGATATTGTTCATGTAACCTGGAAAGTCACACATTTCTGAACTTATGCAAAGGCGTAAGCTTTGCATCAATTACGTGTTCCATCGGAGCGGTCTAGTGTGTTTACAGGACCCACCCCCTTGACCCGTTAGCTCTGTTATTGTTTGCAGAAGAAACGCTGCTCTAAAGAATGCTGAGACGCCCACAAACAACAATATGTTGACTACTTGGTCGATGGTGATTCGTTGCGAGCATGTTTGCAGCTAAGAGATCGAGCTTCTAGCTGCTGGGTTAACTACAAGGATCGCTCGATGAAGTTACGCATGCAAACTTAAAGCGTTCGTATCGATAGTGAACAGAAGATGACACAACAGCACGTACGTCAGAGTGAGTGTAGCCTTTTGCGTAGCTATCACTCAGCCCTGTCGTCCATCGCTGGCTGGTGGATAAGTCCTCCACCGTGCGAGCTCCTCGTTGTATCATCACACCCGTGGAAAAAGCCGCTATCAAAGTCGCAGAAACAGTTGCACCTGATAAATTGGCTACAAGCAGCAGCGGCTAGGCTGGTAGGAAGGAACATGAGAAGAAATGAGGCTGAAGGTCTTCGTGCTCTTCGTGCTTCTTAGAGTGCCTGGCTGGAAAGAAAAGACGAGTAGCGACAGCATCTCGGGTCGAACGAGGCGCCCTCCGCCGCTTGCGTGACCTCTCAGTATCGTTTTAATCGTTTCAAACATCACTTACTACTTGCCTGGCAACAAACGAGAGCAGCTCAGCTTATGCTCAACAGTCATCACCAAACTGATTGAAGCGCGCGTCAACATCGGCATCGACCATACCAAACGAAACGCTAGCACTGTAGTAGCGAAACGTCAGGAAGCATTGTGCTCAAGTTGAAGTTTATCGACAACGTGCAAGTAAAACTATCAAGCAGCAGATATCCTGCGCAACAGCTGCCCACGTTGGCACATCGATGCCAGTGATCATCTACCGTGTGTGTGTGCATATAGAGATGGACACGCCAAAGCGAATCGTGGCGGAGCGCGACTTCAGCAACATTCGTCTCTTGGCAAATTGCTACGTGCTACGTCTGATAGTAGTCAGTACCTTGAAGATTCAACTAGACTACTTACTTCCACAAGAACACAAGGACGACGACGACAACCACAGCAAGCTGCTGCTTCCTAGGAACCAGCTGGGGTGTCCCTTCCACGCGCTTGGCAGCGCATTAGTCGTACGATCTCCAGGGAATGGGTGTCATGACGACGAGCTGTTCTTTCTACGTGCACACGACGAAGAACTCGCATTCCAAGTTGTCACAAGGATGACAACGAGCATCGAGTGTCTTTTCTCCACGCACAAGGTCACGACGTACGACAGCAATCTGGCGAAACGAATGGCATGGGACTTCTTCATTGGCAAAATGGCAGGTGTTTGATGCTCGTCCAGACTTGATCCGACTGTCGGTTTAGTTGCCAGTAGACGTGACCTCCCTCCCCCCTTTCCGATCCGATTATCGAAAAAGAAGAGCCATGCACGGTCGCGTCATCCGAACATCGAGACTAGGAAGTAACCGTCGCGTGCTCGTGATAACGAACGCGGCTCAGGCGTTACACTGTATACTGAACGCAAGGTCGCCGTGTACCCTGCTGAACTCACGCGACGACGTTTCGTGCCACCTGTCGGTCCGATCTATGCACGCGAGTCGCCACCATGAGACATTTGTACCCACGCACTCGGCCATTCCCCATATCGCTCCTCCTCGCTCACCTGCTTCGAGTCAAATCTCCAGGTCTTGTCCAATTTTGCAGCGCCAGCTGCTATTTAGCAGGATAAAACAACCACAACAACAACCACAACAGGACTAAGTACCAGCTGACCGCAGCCCCAAAGCTGGTGAAATGCGACAATGGTTTCGGACGCTCGCGGCGTTTGCAGCAATGGCGTTGGCCTTGATTGTCACAGCTATTGCTATTGATACAAGTCCAAGCGATCCTTGTGTCCCCCCCGAGCAGAATGCGCTCTCAAGCAGGTGCTATGGAGTCTGTAGCTCTTCGCTCTGTGTGAATTACGCTCCTTCGACTGCAGAGGACCGAAGCACATCCAGCAACGACGGCAGTACTTCTTACTTCCATCGGGGCTGTGCTTCAGCTAGTATCCCGACGTGCAAGACGAAGAAAAAGTCCTTGGGCAAGTGTGAGGTGCAGTGTCTAATGGATACACCACATAGCTGGAACGAGGCACAGTGGACGCTGCAGATCGCCCAGCCACAGAGTGACAAGACGGACACTGCTGTTTTCCAGAACATTGATGACCTCGCGCTGCCCCGGACATTGCAGAATTTGTGCGTTAAAGGCCTCGATCGAGTTGTTGCTCTTTTTTTCAGTTGGTAGCTGCTCGACTCTTATTTGACTTTCGATATGGATGTGATGTGGCTCGGCCGTGTCTAGGACAATCGTTGGTGCGACTACGAGCTCGCAGATCACGATCCCGCTCTCGTTCTCACCGAATGCTTTTCACACTGGCACATCACTGCAGCACATGTGCGTGTACTATAAACGACGAGTTTCATCTGGCATTGTAAAACATTGGCGGATAATAATGATGTGTCTGCTGTCGTGATTTCTAGAGTCATTTCAGACGTTAGTGTGGGCGAGATGCTGACCAATATCTTTCCCGCTTCTCTCGAGTCGCTGTACGTTCTTTCCGTTTGTACATCTTGTTTGCTGTCGTGGACACAGACTGACTCGCGTGGGTTTTGTTTGAATGTAGTACTATTCAACGAGCACAACTCACTGCGTTTGATCCTCGTGGGCCACATTCGTTGACATCGGTGTCTATCTTGTCAGTATGCTGTACTTGTGCTGATTTGTCGGTGACGATGCGATACTCACGCGGCTCAACCGCTTTTTTCGTACAGAGACCTTCGCAACAACGAGCTGTCCGATATTCCTCCCGTTGTTTATGAAATGCGCCACCTGTCGGCGTTATATCTGCAAGGCAATGCCATCTCGAACGTCCACGTCACACTCCCGCAGCTCCAGTATTTGCAGAAATTATCAGTGTTTGAAGCGGATTTGACCGTCGATGGAAGCTGCTCGTCGGGCTACGAAGCTGTTTCATGGGCCAACAAAAGCGTGTGCTACACAACGGAAAGTGTCGGTCTTGGCAGCATTAGCAGCGCTAATTCTGAAGAAGTGAGCACTACCTCAACAGCAAGCGATGATATCAGCGGCTCCGTCATTATATTTGTGGTTCTAGGGCTTGCGCTCTTTGGTGTTTTCGCCGTGATTGGCGGCGTTGTGTTCCTCCGGAGGTGGAAGCAAAAGACGGCGAAGGAGCAACATGATTCCCTCGTGATGGGCGAAGGCAAAACCAAAGTCAACTTTGAACGCTTTCGTGTGCGAATGGGCGTATCTAACGGTCCACAGCAACCTACCGATCTCAAGGCATCGTTGAGCGAGTACAATACTGGAGGTGGACACCGCAAGTCAGCATTCAAAGAATTTCCGGCGGCTGAAATGGTGATACTCAACCAGCTGTCGATTTCTGGTCCCGTGGTAGTCTCCCTGGCAGAGCATTGTCGACAACTGGTGCTTGTGACAAAACTCCAGGCTAGTGGTGAAGATGTAGAGGCAGCTCTAGAGATGATCCCAATGCTGTCACAAATGCGTCACCCCCAGCTTCTCTCAATTACTGGACTTATCTGGGATGAACGGCTTGCGATGACTGCTGTGTGTGAATACATGACGCTGGGCACGCTTGAAGCGTATCTCCGGAATTCTGGTTCGAAGCTGAGCTGGAAAAATTTCAAGATGAAAGCAGCAGCTGAAATTGCGCGTGGGCTCATGTACATCCACAGCCAGCATAGGGTCACTTACGACGGACTCAGTGGTAAAAGTGTGCTCGTGGACCCCAAGAAGGGCTGCAAACTGAACCCCGTGCAAGCCGCACTTCCGACGGGCGGATTATCTCCTTACAGTTGCCAGTCGTACTACCGTCGATCAGACTCGACTACCAAGGCCTTTTTCGCTCCAGAAATTCTCATTGGTGAGACCTCTCGGTCCTCATCCGACATGTATGCTTTTGGTGTGCTGCTGGCACACCTGGATACGTGCCAGTCGGCAGATGAAATGATAAGAAGCTCATGGAGACTGCGTACACATATTGGCGACTTGGACGTGAACAACAGCACGCTTTTATCCACTGACGGCACTGTTACAACAACGGATCCTGCTGGGATTGACCCCGAGCAGTTTCGGAGGCGTACCACTCACCTCGAAAGTTTACCGAGCACTAGCAGCTTTCGTACACTCCAGAGCTCCCGTAGTCTTGCTCTGGAGGAAAACCGACGACGAACAACTCCTCTGCTGGGCGTCCACAGCAACGATGAGACGAGTTTTATGAGTATGTTTACGTTCACGCCGGAGTGTCCCGCCACAGTTCGAGAGCTGGCAGTTGCATGCCTTCAGTACGACCCATCGCTGCGTCCTAGTGCATCTTACATTGCAGCCATGCTGCACATGTAAGCAGCAAATGCAGATATTACTAGCAACCTAAGCAGTACAATACCGTAGTCATGAGCACAGTTGGTGATGTAGTGAATACCAACACGTCGACAAGTGTAGAATCTCAGTGCGTACGAACATCCTCACCTTTTTGCTCACATTGCTGGCGCAAAAGGTAGTGCAACTCTGGCAGTTGAAGCATATTCGTAGAGGTACTTTATCGTGAAATACCTCCAAGTCCCATATCGAGTACATTTAGCGGGTCACCAGATGGAATCAAATCAAGTCGTTGCATTCGTATATCCTCTACGACTATAAGTGGTAGGCATCTCATTGACTCTTCTGGTTGATGGAACTTCAGTTCATAGTGCAAACCGTGCATACCACTTTGTAGTAATGTATCGCCACACTCATACAATAGATGCCTAAAAAATAAGCACCGTGTCAGTACGTGAGATAATGGCGTGCCAGCTTTGGTGCTGTCATCGTGGACCCCTATGGTGCGAGCAATGGTATGCCGGCCGCAAGTCGCCGGCAAGATTACAGTTACCAGTGCAATATCAACCGCATCAACCACGAATGTTATAGCATACATGTTCATGTTGCACCCTTTGGAAAAACACTCAGTCTCCGTTGGATTAGTGATTATTCTTGGTAGTGTCGTTATGATTGTGATAGCTTGACGCTTCGTGTCCGAGCAAATCAAAGCAACACCTGAGACTGTGAGCTGCCTGGATGGCGCAAATGGACAATACCTTGAGCTTGCATGGCACCTTGACCGTATATACATCGGTCGAACGAAACCACTGTAACTCAGCTGTAGAGTCAGGATGCGAAACGATGGCGAGTCATGTTTACACCAATACAGTGTATTGCACGAAAAACACCCTTCGAACACGGTCCAGCCCCCCTAGTCCTTGTTTTCTAGCAAGTACAGCAGCAACGACGCACTCGAGAGTTTCACAGCACAGTTCACGCGGTCAAGATCGTGCCCACCCTCCACCACACCCCAGTTGGTGATCTGGAACTCCTCCTCCAAGCGGCAAACGTCGATCGCTTCTTTCGTCGTAATGTGACGTGTAAATACAGCCAACGCCGTGATCAAAGACTGACACGCGGACGAGTTTCGTTAGCAATCACACCAACACCGACCACTTTATCAAAAACTGACTGCACTCGCCCCAAACCTCCATCCTTACCTTGCACTCCTTCGTCAATGTCCGCGCGGCCGCAAGTTCAAAGTCGTTCAGCTGCATCATCCAAAGCCAGCGTCAAGTATTTCACTGATTGCCACCATCACTACAGCCACACACACACTACCTTTTCCAAGTACGCACGGACGTTTGCTACCAGCTGCTCGTCATGAGTCAGTGGATTGATACCGCCGTGACTCACATCCACGTCGCCTCCTCCAAATGTATCGCTGAACCACTTGCGAATGGGCTTCCACTTCTTCTGCTGCAGAGCCACAAGCTGTTCTTGCTGGTCCAATGTGACCTGGTAACACACTGTGTCCGTGTGCAAGTAGTGCATCATCTCGTCAATCGCCTCCTGGCTACTGGACGTCAGCAAGAGATCCAGCGCCGTGGATGCCAGCGTCATGATGGGCATCGTGGCGGGACGGATGTCGTGCTTCTGTGCGTCCCATTCGTGCGCTACTGCAAACGCCATTGCGCGCGTAGGAAGCCGGAGGGGCTGCTGTTTAGGCGTCTTGACGGTCTTGCTGTCCAGGGTCACAGCGTAACGGTAGCCAAGTGGAGCATCGACGTCCTGGACGCCCACGTCTTTGTAAAAGCGCAGTGCGCCTGTGATCCTGGGCCCCGAGATGCCACCAGCACCTGCTTTGGCTGAGAACGAGCGCCTGGAGGCTCCGACGAGCGCTTTTACTGGCGTCCAAGAGCTGCTCGACATGGTCACGTGCGTCGTGATGGACCTGCGAAACACAATGATATGCGCTTAGGTAGGTTCGTGGACGGTGTGAGAGGGCGTTTATCGAGCTGCAGCAGGAGCCGGAGATAATAGTAGTGGTGGCAGTAAAATAGTAGTTTCAAATCCATAGTAGTTACAGAGATAGTAGTCAATGTGTTAGTACTACTACTACTAGTAGTAGTAGTAATACTGGTAGAAGTAATACTGGTCGAATAGTAGTAGTAGCATCATAGCAGTCGTCTCGCTCGTACAATTACTACGCAGTGAGCGAGTGAGCCAAGCAGCACGAATGTCGTCGAACCCGCAGCATGTGGTGGACACGGAGGACGCGGCCGAGTTGAATCTGGGCGTCGATTTCCGCAACGAGACGTGTCTGTCGAACGCCGAGGTGGCCGTGATCCTTGAGAAGCAAAAGTCCGACTACGAGACGCAAGAGAAGCAGCTCACCAAGTGCGTACCCTTTTTTGCCGTCGTCATTCTGACTGCGCGGTACTAAAATGGATACTCCTAACGGTGGCGCTTCTTTGTCGTGTGTCCAATTGCAGTGTCTTCCAGAAGACGTACTCGTACGTACAGCGATTTAGCGGCACGAAAGACCCCGTAACCAATCAAGCTTCAGTCACGGAACTCCGCGAGTACGTGCTGCTGCTGCTGTTGTCCGTGTGGACAGGTGTCGTACTCAACAAGTGACTGAATGAAGAATGGATGGTCCGGTCTGTCTGTCTGTCTGTCCGCCTTTGGTGCTATACTAGAGCGTTGATGTCGCTGGCTTTCCAGCGTGAAGAAGACGGCGAGACGGTCGAGTATCGACTCGAGGAGTTTGAGATCGCGTGTTTGTCGAATCTGAACCCGGAAGAAGTCGAAGAAGCGGTGGCGCTGATTCCGAGTCTGCACAAGCGGTTCGCAGAGGACGAAATCGAAGAGATTCTGGGCATTGTATCGCGTACTGCAGCGCGTATGTTTGGCTAGAGCTGCCGAATTTGATGCGGCGGTTGTTTTGTACCCACGTTGAAGGGGTACGTTTGTCGCTAGACATGGGTAACGCTTACACAATCTCACGTCCACCCATTGAGCCTTCAAAAGCCGTTCAAGCTGAGTGCTGCATTGAACTGACTGACGGATTACTAACGAACGATCTAACCCCCTGTTTCCTACCTACCACATGGACGCTGGCAATGGTGGTGGTGCGTATATTCCACGACGAAAGCGACGACGTGCAGGTCTTTCTTCCTCTGCAATAGGATCGCAAGCCAACTGCTCTATTGGTAGCTTGATAGATGAAGCGTCGGCAGAGCAGGAGGCATCTTGGGTGCGTCAAGAACAAGGGATCGTAGTCGAAGGAGATCACCCGATCCCGCCTCCAATACTCAGTTTTGATGAGCTTGCGCTGTCTCCAGACGCCATATCGGTATTGCGATCGCGTGGGGTGACGACGCCATCAGCTGTGCAGGCTCAGGCTCTTCCGTGCATTTTCCAAGGCCGCGACGTGGTCGCTCTGGCACCTACTGGCAGCGGGAAAACGCTGTGCTACATTCTCCCGTTATTCAATTTGTTGCAACGACTGCATCAGCAAGCTGGACCTGCACTGGGAACAAACTCGTCGATGGTATTGATGCCAACAGCACCTTGTGCGTTAGTTATTGTGCCGACACGAGAGCTTGTCGACCAGGTGGTGCAAGATCTCGCGGCATTCTTTCCTCGCCGAACGACTCCACCAGTCGTTGGTGTTTGTGGTGGCATTGCAGTCGTTGAGCAACTCTCTCTACTACAACAACGTGGTAGTGATGTAACGGTACTGGTCGCAACACCCGGGAGATTACTGCATCTTGCGCAGCGTCATGGCGTAACGTTGTCGCTTGGACAGATGTCTCTACTTGTAGTCGACGAAGTGGACCGCGTGCTTGAAACGCCTGAGATGGAAATACAGCTACGCGAGATCCTGCAGCTCGCGAACAGTGCTGGACGGCAGACGCTGTTGTGTTCAGCAACTTTGCCTGTCTTTTTGCCGCGACTGGCACGTTCAGCAGTGCTTCGACCCGTCACGATTTACGTCGACGTGGCGAATATACCAAGCCAGACTCCATCCACGTTGAGCTCTGGTACGAAAGAGTCTTCAGCTGTCAGGCTGGCACACTCCACAACGTCAAAGGTAGTTCATGATGTGCAGTTCATGCGCGCTGCAACGAAACAGGCTCGGCTGCTTGGAGTGCTGCGTGCCACAAAGCAACCGCCAGTGTTGGTCTTTTGCAACACGCGCTCAAGCGTTGAGTGCGTAACTCGCTTGTTACAGGATGAGCAGTTCCACGTCGCACCGCTACACGGCGGGCAGTCCCAAGGTTATCGCACCCAAGCGTTACGCGCTTTCCGAGCAGGCTACGTCGATGTCTTGGTGGCAACGGACGTGGCTTCTCGAGGACTTGATTTTCCCGACGTCGGAACTGCTGTGCTGTTTGACATCCCGAACACGATCGAAGACTACATGCACCGCTGTGGCCGTGTAGGCAGACATACGAAGGATGGTCCAGGAGGTTCTGACGCCGCTGGAAAGGTGACGTCGTTTCTCACGCGTGAGTGCACCATTGCTATGGAGTTAAAGCAGGTGCTGCTCGCAGCTAGACAGTCTGTACCGCGTGAGCTGAACATGCCGAGGATCTTTCAACCAGTCGATACGCTTACGTCAGAGCACAAGCGGTAGCACAGCTCGGATGTGCAGGAAGCATTGCATTCAAGTTGCACACCAAGCGTTGCCATGTTCAGAAGAATTCCCAAATGCAGGAACTCGAGCTAGAATGGCGATCCTTGCCGTGAATGACTGAGAGGCACGACACATGAAACATCTCGAGCGAAGAGTTTGAGCATGACACTGACGCTGGCACGGCTGTCGTCATTAACAAGCTGAAGACGGACGATATCGAGCAGGGAAAAGCAGCTTGGCCACCCAGCTGACCACCATGACGTGACTTGTCTGCCTCGCCGTTTGACGGGATACAGCGTCTTATCAAGACGCAAGCTTACGTGAAGCACTTTGCTGGTCACGTGAAAAAGATAGTGCTGGGCTTGGTGGTTTGGAAGAATTCCGAAAGGTGTCGATAACTGCATTTACACATGCATCTCAGATCGCCCATGCACTGCTCAGTTGCTACTTACAGCTCGTATTCGCGAAAGCTCTTAACAAGCTCCATGACCTGGTCGCCGGCAAAACGACCAAGGGCACCGCGTGCTGCGGCCAGTTCAGAAAATCGCGTCACCCGGTCCGTCAATGGACCAGGTGGACCAGTATCGTCGCTCGTCTGCTGCTTCGTTTCACCAACTTTTATATGGTGCTGCAACTTCTCGTACGCATACCCGACACGTGCGATTGCCAGCGGCACGGGCTCAAACGTATGATCTCCGTACTTCACGGGTGTTGTATGGTCACCAGTGACAATGATAGTCACGTCGTTGTCCTCGTCTTGACACGTTGTGTGGATACCTTCCAGCAGCAAAGCGATCATTTCATCTGCACGCTCGATAAAGTGCACTTTCTTTTCCACATCACGGTCGTGGCCAGCATCGTCGACTGCCTTGACGTGGACAAAGCCAAAGTCGTACTCGTTACTTCGCAGCAGTTCCAGTGCCGTCTCTGCCTTTGAGCACAAGTTTGTGTGGTAGTCTCCTGTAGCACCTGGGGCAAGAGCGATCTTAAACTCCAATGACATGCCGAGGCCAGCAATGATGCACGTTGGGGCAATCATGAAAGGAGTGAGTCCGTGTTTATCAGCGAACGGTGGAACGTCGATCCGTTCGCCGGGGCCACGTAACAGCACCACATTTGCTGGTGGCTTGTTTTGAGCTTCACGTGCCTTGTTAATCGGATGATTTGACAGCCGCTTATGAATGGCATCAGAGACTGCGTTCAACAGCTTGCTAGAGTACGCAGCTTCCGGGGTGTCGTTAGTCGGTTCCGATGTTACCAGGGGAAGGCTGTACGACAGGAGGATATTAGACCATGCACCATACATCTAGACTCAACCCATGCCGGTAAACAAACACCTACTTGTCTTTCAGCGGGTCCGTGCCTGTTATTTTGTCACAAAGACCCGGACCCTGGAAAACAATCCCGCAGCGGTGTTCCGTAGCATGTTTGGCAATCACTACCACACCAGGAAACTCCGGGAGAGTCAAGCCATCCAAAAAACTGCAAAGGTCAGTCCCCCAGTCCGAAAAGTCACGGTCGACACGTCGCCGCTCGACGATGAATTCGCCATTGTCATTCTTCTTGACGGTGGCAAAATTGCACTTGAATGCAACGTCGCCTCTCTTCATTGGTATTCCGGCTCCCATAGCTTCAAACGATCCACGACCGCGATAGTGACTGCAGTAGCGTAACACAAAGAATACATAATCTCGTTTGTAAGGATGGCAACAAAGTTGACATAGCACCAGTTCACGTACATGATGGGATTGTAACCCAAAATCGACATGTGCGCCGTATCACTACCACACGCGTAACCAGGTTCCACAGGGTCCATGAGACCCGTGAGACCGCCATCTGAGCCGTTCAAAGACAAGACCGAGAGCAATGCAAATGAGAGAACGTATCACAGTATCGTGCGTACAAAACAACACAGGCGTACGGGCGATGGCGTCCATAGCTGGCGTCTTCGCCGCCTCGAGTGGCGTCTTCTGGCCGAGCTCTAAGAGCGACACGTCGGCCAGCCCGTCGATGAGCACGAACACCACGGACCTCTTCTTCATTGGGATTCCGATGATGATGCCGTCTGTTTGGATATATTTGACCGTCAGTGATATGCCTCACGAAGCGAAACAAAACAAAACGTACTTAGTACGATGACCCCCCTGGTTCTAGCTCCGCTTGACTGCAGGAGTCTACTTAAGCTAACTCGAGTTAGTCAAACATGTTGGGAGGTGCTGCCACATTTTAAACTGAAGCAGGAAGACAAAGGGTGGACGGCCGAATGCTTGCTTGCAACCAAACGGATCTGTAGCAGCGCTTCGGATACTGAGAGAGAGAGTGATGCCATCCAGACGACAGTGTGGAGATCATCGACCTTTTCGGGGGGTCGAAGCTTGTTAAACTCTTCCTCTTCGTTCCGCTCGGACAAGAAGTTGCAGTACCCAGTCTTCTTTGTTTTATATTTGCCTCTGTACTTCTGTGCTCGAGTCTTCACCACCTTCACAATCCGCCTCTTCTTGCCATTAACTGACTTCCACTGCATCTTCTCGTCTCGTACGAACACATGCACCTGCAATCAGTTAAACACGAGCGGACAGGGAGACATGAGTCCATCTGCACCCACGCGAGATCTTGCGCAGCTTCCAGGTAGTTCCAAGGTGCTGCTCTCGTCGTTTGGCTCTACGCAATGCCTCGTTTTAGAACACAGCTGGAAACTATCCTCACCAACGAGAAGCAAAGCCTTTGCACGCCTTGCACCTAGTCCCGACCATTGGAGCGGCGAGTAGAGCCAGTGGTTAGAGCCGGTAACCTTCATCTCGTCGAGAAGACGCCGAGCGGGAACGACCACGCCGGGGCGACGGTGATGGTGACGGTGATCTAGCAGCCGGTGACACGGAACGGCGAGACGGAGACGGCGCGCGAGGAGACATGGACCGGCGAGGCGACAGCGAGCGTCGTGCCGCAGAAAAACGGCCACGGGAGCCGGAGCGAGACCGAGAGCGAGCCCTTCCTTTCACAGGAGAGCGTGAGCGAGATGAGCGTCGAGCAGAGACCCGGCGGTCACGATCGCGAGACCGGCCACGAGAGGCCCGGCGGCGCACCGATCTAGAGCGGGAGCGGCGGTCTCCTCCTCGTCTCTCCGTCCTATATACACACACAGGAATACAGTAAGTACAGGAGCAGCACATCCGAAAAAGAGAGAGAAAAGGCAGAGAAAATACGGCCAATAGCTGACAAAAGAGGAGCTCCACACACCTCTCGCGTTCGCGCATCTGATCCGTCGACTTGCGACGTTCCTGAGCAAACACCACGCGGATATCACGGCCGTCAATGCGCATGCCATCCAAATTGCGACGCGCCTCGTCAGCTTCATGTTCGCTACGGAACTCGACGAACGCAAAGCCTTTTGGTTCCCTGCATCCAGCAAAACACGAGCAAATCACGTCCGTTACAAGTCCGCATCCACTGCGGGTCCAAGAGTGTAGACGTACTTTGTGTGAAAGTCCCTGGGAATGTACACGTCACGCACTTGTCCGTACTGCTCAAACTCTTTGCGAATGTCCTCCGATCTGCAGGTTCATTCAAGCACACACCATCAAGGAGCTGAGGCACAGTAAGGGAGAGATAGAGGGGGGGAGGGTGATGACGTACCTCAGCCGGTGGCTGACGTTGCGCACCAGTAGCGAAATCCCTCCGCGTTCGCCCATAGTTATCGCCAATCAGAAGCCACGATTCGGTCTGCGTTGGTGCGGGTATTTTCGAGTCTGACGTCTCTGTGATGGGAAACAACCAACCATTGATTCGGAGAGGAAAAAGCGGTTGCACGATTGTAAGGTAAATAAAATACGGCACGCTCGATTTTCATTGGATAGTAAGTAACCCCCACTTTAGCGTGCCGACGAGAAGACAAATAGACGCTCAAGCAAGCAGCAAGTCGCTAGAGTTACAGTTTCGATAACACGACCCACCAGAGCGTGAAGCAGACACAGGCGGCAACCACCAGTGCGAGAACGGTATTATTGCGCATCTTCTTGCGTCGGATCTGCTCCACAAGCGTGTTGATGCCAGCAAATGAACTGCCCAGCGTTGCTACTTTGCCGTGCGACGACGTGAATTGCCGGCGTTGGTTAGCAAGCGCGTTCCTAGTCGCCATTGCTTGCTCAATGATGCTGCTAGTCATAGAGCGCGACGAGTCGACGGCACGGCGCTCATTAAGCAGCGAGTCCATTTCCATGTCGTCCAAATGGCCATTGTGGGACCTGTATCGTTGCATCCACGAGATCGATTTTGTGTGTGAGTTCAAAACGGTGATAGTACAGCAGTATACATGCTGGTAGATCAAGATACGAGCGGAGCGCGCTACAAACCGATTGCCAAACAGCTTCTGAGCATCACGTTTCTCCTGCAATGTACTCTGCGAAACAGCAGCAGGGTAAGCAATCGTATCAAGAAACACTGGTGACTTCAGGTCACCCGTGTTTGCACCATTGCCCCACTTACCATAGAGCGACGGAATTCCGTGTTGAAGTCAAAATAGAGCTCACGGTAGCGCTGCAGCACAGCTTCCTGCACTTTCAAAGACGTCGTGTTCACGACTGCATTCATCTCATCGATCGTATCCGATAGCTACGTTTACACCAGCAACAGCGACCGAGTGTTGTTAGCATCTCATTATCTCCCTCGGTCTCATCCTCATTTTTCACTACACGAGGGAAACACAAACCAAACCCACCGAAGCTAGTGCACTTTCAATAGCGACTGCCAGTTCTCTCTCGTCCATCGTCTCTTCAATAGGGTTTTCTACACCCACCCACAAGCTCAGCACCGTCAAACACTCATTTGCCCTCCCCAAGTCTCGTTCCCCCACCTTCATCATATACCACCGCTACACCGCGTGCCTGCTCTCTACTAGCGGCCGTATAAGCCGCAATTTTGTCTTCCAGCGTGCGCTCCGCCGCCCGCGCGCTGCTCCGCAGCTCTTCCCACGACCGCGTCGCTGTTTGCATCATTTCAATTTCGTTTTGACCCTTTTTTGGGTTAAGTACTCTTTTATACCCTGTCTCTTCTTAAGTAGACGTTAAGTTAGGTCAGGTCCAGATGACCTAGAGGACCATCACTCTGCTTTTCCCCGCACGTGTCCGATCCTAAGACGAGATGAAGGGCGCGGCACGCCGACTAGCAGCCGCGGTGGAGGCTGTGCGATCCGGTGTAGGCTCTGCCGCAGAGCAGCAAGCGCAGCAGAAGGAGCTCGTGCAAGCGCTGATCGCGCTGCAGCGTCTGTGGAAGCCTGTGCTGCTGGCAAGCGTCCGACCGAGCAAGAAGCGGACGAGCAAGAGCAACGCCGCGCTGTTCCAGCTCCTACTGACGACACTGATCGTGTACAGCGGCAGTCACGTCAGCGGGTCAGGTGCTGGCGCTACAGGGGGTGCAGCAGGGGCCATGGGCGTCTCGCTGTCCTCCTCGAGCGCTCACACGTCCGAGTGTGTGCACCGTCTGTTGTGTGACTCTCTCGTGCGTTCTTTTGACTTTTCTGTGGTTCAGACCATCAACGAGACGCTCAAGGCCAAGACCATTTCACTTTATGTAAAGGTGTCGCTGATTATGGTCGTGTGCCGGCTGCCGCTGCAAGAATCACTGCCATTTCTATCGGATGCAGTGACGCTCGCGAACCGTCACTTTCGAGCTGTGGATTACTATATGAAGCAGTGTCTTATTGAGAGTATAGCACATGCGCTAGCAGGTGCGTCGACGAGACTTGTGGCGTTCCATGCTGAGGCACTGAAGATAGTGAACAAGAGCTATCAAAATAAAGCGCCGGAAGTACGAATTGCAACTGCAAATCTGTTGCAGGTAATAGCGGAAAGGACGTCGATTTCAACGACATCTTCTGCAAGCGGCGGGGGCGGAGGAGGTCTCGGAAGTGGCAACGGAAATGGCGTTACTGGAAATGGCAGTGGGTCTGTTGCTGGAGCAAGCGGGGGTGGAAGCAGCGCTAATAGCCGCACACTTGGTGTTTCTCTCGATTCGATTATGCAAATATCAGCCAAAGGAATGGAAGATGTTTCACCCGAAGCGAGGAGAGCAAACTCGGTCGTCGTAGGTGTGGTTCTTGCCAAGTACGCATTGTCTTCATCAGGTGAAACAGAATTGCAGACAAGTGGGAGTGAAGCACATGGGGCGAGTACGGTTTCTTCGAGGGGTAATGACGAGGATGCTAGTGGAAAGGGTTTGGCCGAGCAGGAGATCCCTCCGTCCAGTGGAAATGCGGCTGGAAAAGCTAAGATGGGATTTAAACTGCACGTTCCTGGGATGACAGCAATAAATTTGCCGTCGTCACTCTCTCGTCGAAAAGCAGCTACAGTCCATTTCTCGACCATCGCGAATGTGGTTTTGTACTTTAAGGATATGGTAACTAGCAAGTTTCTATCGAGCAATCCGACCCATAGCCATGGGGGTATTCTGGCCGCCTTCTCAATTGCTTTATGCAATATGTTTGAGCGTCTTCCTCCTGACTCAATCGCTGAAGCTCAGCTTCGCGAGGTCTTGGATACCACGCTTGCGGTCCTTGATTATCCCTTCGCTCTCGGAGATTTAACCCGGGCGCGTAATGCTGTGGGTTTCGTTCTGCGCTATGGACTCAGTGGATGTCTAACAGAGCACCAACAAGAGGTGCTGTTGGGCGCATACCTACACAAACTCAAAGAGGAAGCCCAGGCTTTGGAACCGAATCATCACAAGATATTGTCGACCTTAGTCGAGATGAGTCACCTGTTTCAGTCCATGGGTGAGGCTTCCGTAACCCATGCACTCGATGCCAACACCGTGCTTCAAGGTCTCCTTTGCCACGAAAAACAAAGCGTTCGCTTTCAGGCTGCTGTTGCGCTGGCCTCACTCGTCACTGCAATTCCTTACCGGCTGAAAAGTGTGTTGACGAGCTGCCTACACGGTCTCCGAGTTACTGCCGGACACTTGATGGGATCTGATATCGAAGACGTGAGGAACTCGGTATCAGCAGAAAAGTCGGAAGATGGTCAAGATGAAGGTAGTGAAATGAAAAGCAAGACCCACTTGTATGCACTGCAAGGTCGATCTGTGGCTGTTGCCCACATTCTTCGCGCTATTACTTTTGAATCCAGTGGAGGGATATCTCAAACGACTATGGACGATATCTACAGTTTTTCCGAGGAACTCGTCGAGAGCCAATTTCTCAACGAATGCGCGGACAGTGTTTGGCTCACCTGCACGCGCGCCGGTTGGACGCTGTTGGGAAGTCTTGTTTCTATGGATAGTAAGCAGTGGCTCGAGAACAACCAAGAGAAGCTTTTGAATCTTTGGCTCAAGTCAAGTGTGTTACACAGTCGCGAATCGTCTCTCGAGCTATTGCGCATTGAAGCTGCGGTAATTGCTCTGAAATGCTTTCTGTTCAATTACCAGGACCTTGCAGCAGACTGCAATAACGACATCTACCTCCTCTCAAATCATATTCTGCACGTGTATCTGACGGCAACGCAAGATACACTGAGTAAACCTCTCAAGCGTCGCGGCCAGATTGCTCGGTATCGTCTGATAGGGTGGGTCATCGACTGTTTTTCGATGCTCCCACCGGTTTACAGTGATTCATACATCATACTTTTAGATTTGATTGCCGAATTTACTACAGCACACGCATTGACGAGTCTTCGGCATTCCTCGCTAGTGCCAGCAAAGTCCACGTACCTGCAAAGTGTTTTGTCTTCGGAGAACCACGCACTTGATATGGTAACCCTCTCCCGGTTGGAGCGAGGAGATCGTCCGTCACCGCTGTACTCGAGGGAGCTGAACCACGTACTCGGGTTGCAGCAACACGAACATGCTTTGACAGATACTGAACTGGAGGTGCAATACCTAGATACATTTTGGGGAACAAGTGCTGAAAGAAAAGCTGCAGATGATGCGGGAAAGAGAGTGCGCTGCAGCCCATTCACTTACGTTCGACTTGTCGACGCAAGTGTAGTTTTGTTTGGCCGACTTTTTCACTTCATTCCAGAAGATCTGCAGCTGCGATGTCTGCAACACTACGCAGGGGCCCTGGCCGATTCTCGTGGTGACTGTGATGTCAACGTGTGCTCGCTGTTATTTGCCGTGATCGCAGAAGCAAAACATCTCGAGAAATCCGATGCCACACCAACGTCATCCACGTTGCGTTCGGCAACATCTTGGCCTCTTCAACTGCAAACTATGCTATGTGAAATGATTGCAAGCGTTCATGCAGATGTCCGCCGTGGTGCGGGCGAGGCTTTGGGAACACTGGCGTTGCTTATCAGTGAAGACGATTGCAAAGGATTGGTCATCGAGCTGGAGAAGCGCTTGATAGTGGACAGACTTCCGCATGGGGTCTCTAGTGCCGATTTTGGCTCTAGCGCTGATCTGGACATGTCCATTTTGTCAGCAGGAGCAGCTTTTTCACTAGCATGCATCAAGCGCGCTTGTGGCTTCCGTGTGTCCATCGAAACAGGTCTTGTATTCCGCTTTGCTGGTGAGTGTTCCCAGCCCCTTCGCACGTGGATCTTACATTCGTGGGGCATCATCTTGGAATCCGTTTACTCTACTGGAGGCGATCACGAGCAGTTTATAAGCTCGACGTTCTCCTTGATAGAAGCTCAGGTTCAGGCAGGTTTCGTCTATTCAAAAGTGAACAAACACGCGTTACGATGGCAGATTAGCACAAAAGTGGCGCTGGGCAGGATTATCAACAATGTTGTGGCAATGCTTGGTCCAGAGCTTGACGGCTCAAGTGATCGCTTGGATGAATTTTATTCGTTCTGGATGCTTCTTCGCCAAGATGGTGACGCCCGGGTTGAGTTGGAATACTTGCGGTTTCTAGAACAAGTGGTTGTATTCTCGCCATCTCGGTTTCAGTCAGGAGATTTGACTTACATTTTACGCCTTGTGTCTGATACTGCTCTACTAAACCAAGCGACTCAATCATCAGGAGAAGCGCATCAGAAGTCTAGACACTCGGTTTCGTCGCCAACATCAGGCTATACCCCGTCTCTGACTTTCGGTGCTTGTGGAGAACCGGTAAAGCAAAATGGTCTCGTGAATGTGGAAGTGTATACAAATGGATGGAGTCGGAGCATATTACAAAATGTCGGTTTGTCATGTCTTCGCTCTTTGGTGGAGAGGGATCCGAAGTTAATTCGCCGCCACAACCTCTTTTGTCTTCTCTTTTTAGCTCTTCACACCGAATACAATGAGCTCATGTGGGGCAACATGCCTAGGCTACATGGTATGGGGGATGTTCTCTCCTTCGCTTTTGCTGATTCCGCAACCATGCAATGGAACAGCATCGGAGTGCTGCAGAGGACAATACTGGCGTTACTTGACGTTGAAGGTAGAGACCACGAAGGCGCTGAACCATGTCTGTGGGCTCTCTTGTGTCGTAGTATCGCCATAGGCGAATCCGCCGGTGTCTTTGCTTCTGCGAATGTAAAGCAGCTTATGATGATTCCGAAAGAAACGGACCCCGTGCCACGAATGACAGGGAATCTGGCACGGTCGCCGAAGCAAGTTCCCATTACTGATGCAGGTTCTCTTGCATCTGCTGCTGTTGCCGCTCAATTGGACACATGGCGGTTAACTAAGGCAAGCGCAGGCAACCTGATTGCTTCAATGCCACCACTTTCACGTCGAGTTCGTCATTTTGCGGTGGAGTGTGTGTTGCGTGTATTCGAGGTGATGGCAGCAGAACCCCCTCTGATGGCTGGCATGTGGCAGAATAAAGAACTCCATTTTGATTCCGTTGCAACGCGCCGCTATTACTTAGAAATGGGTTCAAGTGGGGCATCGTTTCCAGTTTCCGCTGAGTCTAACGTCAGAAACTTTTTGTGCATGTATCTGGACGAATTTGTTACCCTCGCTTGCCAAGTTACTACGACCTCAGCGCAAGGAGCCGAGCTGCTGATGTTTCAATGTATGGGGCTTCGTTTGCTAAACGTATTGGTGAAGAACTTTGCATCTGCTCGAGATCCCGAAGTGGTAACTGGCGATGCGTATTTGTTAGATCCATACTGTGCCCAACTGTCATCTGCTATTCGTCACGCTCTCAAGCAAGTAAAGGTGGAACCGACATTACCGGCCTCCACTATGATTAGCGACAACGGCGAGGATAGCTACTTTTACGCCCCACTATTTCTTGAAGCTCATGGCATTGCAGGCGCTTGCGTATCAGCTCATATAGTAAAAGACAAGGTGGGACTGGGACGCATTCTGAAAGAAGTCGTCAATCAGGACTACGATCATGCACATTTCATTGGCGAGGAGCTCACGCGTACTTCTCTTTCGCTCGCCAATCTGGTATCTGTCGGAGAACTCCTGACGTCATGTATCACGGAAGCAATTGGTCAAAAAGGTGTGACCGGTGACGCAAGTGACGCTATCGTTACGTCTTCGCTTGTGAAAGCGATGATAAATGGCTTGTCGGGAACCACCAAGTACTTGATGCAGTGCTGGATGGATACTACGTTCAGATATGGGGCTGTGATGCTCAGTTGTGCACAGTCGATGCATGCGACAGCTACTACAAATGCAGTTTTACTGCCTGACGAGTCAATGCTTATGCCGGCTTTGCAAGTGCCGAAGCCATCTACAAGTACCGGCGCAACTACTCCAGTATTCGCGGCGACCGCCATCAAAGAACTCCGCGAGCTCTATAAGCAGTACTGGCCAAAAATCATTAACGCAGTGGCAGTTTCGGAGGTGTATGTGTCGAAGTCGGGTTTTTTGTGCAGCTCGCTGGAAGGTGACATCCACAAATCGTTGTCAGTCTTGTTGTCAAGCGCAATCTTCCATATCAACATGAGTGCTCGCGATCGGTTAGAGGACGAAGGGAGGTTGTCAACTGTTCTCCGTACGATCCCGTTGCTATTGAGAGCTTTAGTGGACAACCCGCCCAAACAGGATGGCTCTTTGCCCAGTGGCTTTCCAGTGCTTTTGATGGCTGCGCTGAATACCCTCATGCTTACAAGTAAGCGATGTTCTGGACGCGTTCAACTTGAGGCCTTGAGTGCGATGTTTACGAGCTTGTCGAGCGAAAATCTAGCTCGTGCTAAAGAGTCATGTTGCTCCCGAGCTGACGGACAGCAGCTTTGTAAAACTCTTTTTGATACTGTGGCAAAGTCTGGATTGTGCCCAACAGAGATTGTGTGTCAGCTTTGCGATGCTACCAGGCAGACTCGATATGCTCGCGCAGTTAGTACCGGTTGCAGAACCGCACGACATCATTGCAGTTTCGCAGCAGGTAATGATGGTACCAAGCACATGAGTGAGATCGTGCAGTTCGCTGCTATGGGTATAAAGCTTTTGCATGCGACTGAAGAAGCTCGGAGTGAGGTGGTGCGCTCGGTGACTCTGGTGGAGCACGTTACATCCTCTGTCGCTAATGGTGATTACTCTATCCCCGTGCAACAAGCCGTGCTGACCCTTGGTCGGGCTTCCGTCGATTCAGTACTTGCGCTAGCACGCACACTTGAAATGAATGACAATCCAGCCGACGATGATCTGAAACAGCGCGTCAAATCAAGCGTTCGCAATTGTTTCGAGCTCCTCGCCCAGCGGCTCAAAGCCGATGTGTACAATGCTCCAGCGTTTTCTTTGCAAGTGGTGGCAAATTATGCTGTGAGTTTTCCAACCAGCCTTCAAGATGATGCGGAACGATTCCATGCTGAATTTGCGAAAACAGCTTCGGCTATGTTGGAAGCCATTCCTGGTCATGATGATGAAGGTTATCAGAAGCAGCCACTTGCCGCTGCTCCAACAGAGCTTCTGCAAGGTTTGCACACAGTTGTAAACAAGCTCATCGACGCGCACCAAACTGCTGTTACGAACAGGTACATGGCGGCAATCGGTCCTCATCTTGTCGAGATTGTAACGGCTACTAATGGGTACCCGGAGGCAGCCGCACAGCTTGCCGAACTGGATGAGGCTGAGAAACTCCTCCGTGTGCTAATGACGCAGTTGAATGACCAGCATGGATCCACCTTTGTGCACATGCTCCTCCCAAGGCTTGCAGCTGTTCTCAGCCATCCCCTATCATCCGGCGTAGACAATGCAACTCCCGGACGAGTGCCCACCATCCTGTCACGACTTCTGTTGTGCTTTGCCCAGGCCCACGCAATTGCATTCAAGGAAGCTGTGGCGATCATGACTCCTTCTTTGCGTTGTGTGCTGGAGACCACCTTACGCCTCGCCCTTACGCGCTCAGCTGCAGGTGCAGCAGGGATGTGCGTGCAATCCTCACTTCCACAAAGCAGTGTCTCTACCGCAACGAAGCTGGACTTGAGTCGGTATGCCTAAGACAGCAAGCCTACCCTGCCAGCATGTTCATCCGTAATGGATATCACTGCCATTGTTACGTAGCAATTTGCGCTGCTGAAAGTTCAACAGTCGTGTTGTCTGGGTGGTCGCTGTACGAACCGATACGGACGAATAATGTATGAGCTTGATTCGTGTTTGTTTGCCGCGCGCAACAGTCGGATACGACGGCGGTCAAAACATCGTCTCGGGTCGAGAAGTCGTGCGTGTTGCGAGCCCGAGAAGTGAAGCCATTAATTAGTGACTGCGTGCAAGGTAAATTTTGAGCTTTTAACCCGTACTTATCTGTCTGTAAAATAGCGCCGGGAGTATCATTTACGTCGTATAAAGTGCGATTTAGTCTGAAACATCCTGTGCATGTGAATCACGCCAGGTGTACCTTACGCGTCACACTAAGTGCGATGCTGTCTGAGCGTCTATGAGCCTGTTCATAAAAGGTAATTAAAAATTTTTTTTGAACCTCTGATTAAACTATCGATTGAACCTTTATATGAGTCAATGTGCATCCTCTATGTGCTCTGGAAAACTCATCGACTAGTTGAGCGATAGAGACCCGGCACCTTCACGGACCCGATTGTCGCAACCACTAAAAGTGGCAGTATAGGTAACGGGGCACTGGTCACTGGTACTGATTCAGTACTAGTGCGCCGACACTGACAACAGTGTAGGTAGTACCGCGCGTCACTTCACGTACACTATACGTGCAGAGGAAGGCTAGCTAATGAACGACGCGTTCAATATGATAGAAAGTAGAATTGTATTGAATAGAATAAAGTTTTGACTACATGTACCAACGTTTAGTCCTAACCTAATTCAATTTGTCTACAAAAGTGTATGCTAAAATCTTGCTCATCACTCATTGCACGCGTCCATCGTTGATCGGACCGCTAGAGCTGGCTGATATGATGGCCCCAAATCAGCCAATCGGTGAGTGCTATATGATAATACTCTAAGAAACAAGTGTCGATGGTTAATCACGTGTAACAGGCTCGCCTCGTTACACCACCACCCCCCTTGAAACATATTCACCCAGCCACTATCATGTTGATGAGGCCACTGTTAGACCACATCAGGGACAGGGAGAAGTTTTCTTGGTCTGATCCACTCATTTTAGATCTTCATCGTACGGCTTAAAAGTCCATGTGATGCGCGGTAAAAGCTGCTGAGAAGGCGTCTGTGCGAGCTAACGCAGCTGCTCTTGACAATTTTCAGCCTCTTGCTGCAGACGATGCTTTGTGTGCTTCTGCTTCAACTCTTCCTGCAGCACCAGTTGCTGCGCGTGGTGTGTCACCACGTGCTAAAGATGATAAAAGTTCCCAAATGGAGCTCATTTATTCTGGGAAGTCGGACGGTGGGCCTGAATCGAAGAAGACGCCTAGGTCGTTTGAGTCTTAAAGGGAGACCGAGTAAGAGCCTACGAATTGGACTCGAGCGGGTAGTCAGACCCATGGTCACTTTTTTAAGAGTCTGTTAAGTTGAGGGATGAGCATGCTGATTCATCTCCTGCGCCTGCTACTGCGCATTCGCCTTCCTAGCGAATGCGGTGATTTGTTGCAACGTCGTATGAAGATTGTAGTGGTACCAAGACTTCCGTTGGTACTAAACGGGAGGCTCTAAACGGCAATGTGCTGCGCATATCCCCTTAACACAAGCCTTTATATTACCAAAAAGGCTTGTGAATTACTTGTCAGGCTAGAAAACTCAACACCATCGACTTAAATTAATCGATCCGAGTTTGTTGCACGGCCTCTATATCAATACCAGTACCTTTCCTAACTGCTCTTCCTAATACTGAACGTAGTTACCCTTCTCCGCGACCAAAACAAGACGTTAGATCTTTATGCAATTCATTTAACCAAAATACGCGCTGAAGTAGACTTCTAACTTGATGCGTTTCTCGATCACCTTTGGTAAATTCGCGACAACAAACGAGATACAATCTCGTTGTTGCAGGCGTAGAACACCTTCATACTCAAAGTGCAGCCCATTGGGAGTGATGCCTGGCTACGAAAACTTGACGCAGCTCGTGCCAGGTTTGAGGAAAGAACTCCAACATGTACGAAAGCCACGTTGCACCATCTGTCTCAGGAGGCTGGAATTCCATGCCTCGCGTGGGGCGACCTATGTCGGTGTTTTTTAGACAACTCTTAACGCATCCAAAGGGATGTGTACTCCCTTTCTTCGCCTTAGGGTAGGGCGCACATCTCTTCTGAGATGCGGTGTGATTGCTAACCTGAAATCGCACTACCAGCGCCATGTGCGCGTAGTCTCTGATGGACCTTCTTACCTATTCGATGTGTCTTGTTGTACTGATTTGGCGATACACTCTACGTCAATAATCAGCTAGGCGAAAAGCTTCCAGCTTTTGTTAAGCGTCGGAATGCCGCGATAGTGAGCAAGATAACTCGTTCTTTTTCCGTCACGTCAAGGTGGTTCAAGATACGCTCCAAGTGAAATTGTTGACCACCCTGCGAGTTTAAAAAGGCTGTGGTGGGAGCAGGAAGATAAACTCCAAATGGTTTTTTGGAGTTGTAATAGTAGATTGGTCGTCTCCAGCAAGGCTCACACGATCTGTATGATCGCACCGAGCAAAAAAAAGGAGTGTTCCCTTTTGAAGGCGTGAGTGCAAAGCACCCGCCTTAATCGAACAGACGACCGTTCGGAGTTTGCGTTTTACCAATTTAGTAACGAGCGGAGGCGTCAAGCCTTTTGCGACGAAGTGGCTCACATTCGTCGCCAGCATGCGGCACTACAGATCCACATTGAGAAATGGATCAGGACCAAAATAGTATCTTGTAGATTCTTAAGCGGGGCGGTTCTATTCGCACGGCGATGATACCTCGTGCTGACAGTACGGGTGGAGATGATCGACGTAAAACGTAGGATGCGTACGCATCCTGCGAGGCACCTTGATTATGCATGCATTTACATCTGCGATGAAGTACACGAAACGAGCTGATGTACTTATGGAGTAGTTTACTACTACCCACATTGTTTAGCGTGCTTAGGTAGGTTAACCTTAACCAGTAGGACTAAGTCTCTGACATTACATGGAAAACGTTTGGTCCTCCACGTTTGTCAGCGTTCCATGTCGGCAGGTTATCCGCGTTAACATTGGATTCTTGAACGAAACAGACTTTTGCTTCTCGTGCCAGTCGAAAATCTTCTGCTACACTACTCTGGCCTGTTGCATTCCGCCTTGTGCGCATCGCTAAAAGTTCACCTTTTTCTTCAGCGAGAGTATTATCACCCTTGCTGTTCTAGTCGTTGGCGATGCTAAGCATACCAGAATCGTCATCTTCATCCGGGTCAGCAATAGTGAAAACACTATTGCTGAGTTTAACTTCTTCAATGCAGATTAAATTGACATCTGCAACGTTCGCATAGTCTAGTACCTCGACACATGATGAGTAAGATCTAGAACGGTTTTTTCTCGAGCTAATCCCCTTTAAATCAACGTCAAATGGGTAGGTAGGCGTGGATAACGTAAGCCCTTTACGAGAAATGGTGTATGCGTTGTCGACTCATGCACGGAGATGCTTATTGCAAACTTCACTATCGGCAACAATCGTCTTCAATCTGTGAAGGATATAATGTACCTCGAAGTCTCTGTTCGAGATAGCGATTGATACATTTTGTCTGACCATCAGTCTCAGGATCTTCAGAAGTAGACTAACCAGACGTGTTACGAGGTATTAAAGCACATATTGCCAAAACGCCGCCGTGGACGAAGGATCTATATCAGAGGATAGTTTAAGGGGTAGACCGTGAAGCCCGAATACCGTACAAATGATGACAAGGTCACAGTAATGTGCTGAGATTGACTCTTTAACTGCAGCAGGATGGTACATATTGCTGAATCTATCTACGAACACAAGAACATTATTGTACCTGTGAGCGCCTTCAGGGAAAGAGAAGAAGAAGTCCATTGATACGGACTACCAGGATTGATAGAGGCTGTAGTGGCGCACGGGATAAAGACTAGGCTTCACCCGTTGACGCAACTCGCAATCACTAACATACTTGCGCACGAACTTGTACTGGCATGTCCAGTACAAGTCGCAACTGAACGTGAGATAAATCTTCTCACGCCCACAATGCCCACTAGGTGGTGCATCATTACGACTCAAATAAGATGCGCATGCACATATAAATAAGAGTGGAAGCTATGACATGGATTGTGTCGCCTAACACGGATACCACAACCCGTTGCGTGTTGTGCATCGATCCGCCGAAGATCGATACAAAGTCGGCAAATATTCGAGAGGTTTTTGAGCTGGGTTCACTAGATGACCCATTAGTCGCAGAAGAGCCTTATCTTCTGCACAGGACTTTCTTATGTTGCCAAGTAGTTTTGACGACGAAACACTGGTAATTAGTATTGCAACAGTAATCTCAACTCCACTGTTGGACTGCGCAGTCGAATCGAAGTCGGGTTGTCGCGATAACGCGTCCGCGACTAAATTAAGTCGTTCGGGTTTGTAATCTCACGGAAGTGTTGTACTACAAGAAGAAGGAAATCCACCTCACCATCCTTTACGAAAGTTGTGGACTGTTTATGGCCGTGAATAATGACGCATGGTCCGTGTAGACTACAAGCGGCCTATCTCCTGTAAGATAGACGCGAAACTTTGCTAGTGTGCACTGCATGGCACTGAGTACCTTTTAATGCACTGGGTAATTGCTCTGAGCTGCTTGCAGCTGACGCGATTAATTACAGAGGACGCGCTCTACAGTGTCTGCATCGTACTGCTTGAACGCGTAGCCGATTGAGAAATCACTGGCGTCATAGAACACATAAAATGATCTATCTCGGTCTGCAATTGCTGACATTCAGCGTCCAATAATCACTTCTAATCATAATCAAAGACGACATAGTTGAATGGTCATCTCAGCTTAGTTGCGCGATTATTTGTGTGTGTACACCACTAGACCAAGGAAATTTAATTACATTCTAGTCAACTGGCACAAGCAAGTCATTTACCACCCATTTCTTTTCTAGATCAGGGCGTACTCCATGTTACCTACCATGGAATTAAGACGTGGTATTTCGATAGCAGCGAATGTGCACTTCTTGAGGTTGGCATACAGCTTATGATTCCGCATAAGTGTAAAAAACTGAAGAAAGTGTGTTCTGTGAACCTATGCTTCCGTCTTACCATCCTGCCCCAGATATGGACGATCACATCGCTAAAGCAACTCGGTGCAAAATCTCGCATCGGTCTCCACAGATTCGTGACACATGTTGATTCATTCTAGGGCGTAAATAAGCCCCTGTGGCATAACTAGCCACTCCCATAGCATAACGGTAGGGGCTCTGACTACTGTGTACGGGATGTCCCGTTTACACACAATGATCTCATAGAAACCATCAAATTCATGGACAGAAAGATGGTGCTATTTGAAATATCATCTATGACTACGTACATCCTCGGTATCAGCATCTGAGCCGGTACCGTTGCAGCATTCAGCTTGCTGAATGTGTGTGCAATTCGCCATCCTTTTGCTGTCTTGCGCGCACAAAAGGTTGAATATCTGCAAGGGAAATTTAACTGCCTCACATGACCCGATGCTAAGCGATCGGCAAACTGTATTTTCCATCCCAAGAACTTGTTCACGAGGCAGTGCCACTGCTTCTTGACACAGTACTTCGAACCCGAAATGATTTCGATTCCATGTTGAGTGCCTATATTCTAAGGCAACTCGCATGGTAGAATTCAGAAAACACTTTCTTGAATTCAATCAGATCCTTATAAATACAATTTTCCTGAAGAAACCCCTAAGATTACCTCGTATAGCTTAATCTGAGTCTTATCATCGAGGACTCTATCTTTCATCGATGAGCTGCTTAGAACTCGTTCGTTCTTGGCAAGTACTACTGCCGACCAAATTTCGATCACGTACTCGTCCTCTGTTGACGAGTACACAGATTCACTTAAAATTGCCGGTACGCAGATCTCGAAATGGCCATTTCGGTCCTTGCGTTGGCATCTGATTGATCTCCATATTCAAATTTGGATGAGCAATCAGATCAAGTAAGTAAGCGCCTACACTTGAACCGTAATCATTAAGACATTCAATGCATCAGTTTCTTTCTGTATACCATTTCCATAGGCTGCTATGAACTTGTTCTCTCCTATTGAAGAGGTTTTGTTACCCCATCAATGAAATCTTGAGGATTTTCTTTCTTAAGTACTTGGGACTTATTCCGTCGACCTCCTCTAGCTATAGTTGCGTTAACACAGCTAGGTTCTCTATGATCGGCTTTCCAGAAGATCTAGGATGATCATGTTGCCCTGAAAGATCAAATTGTTTGTTATTACTTGGATCTCTCCCGCTAGGCGAGCACCCACGTCCCAGTACACTTGACTTTTTCGAGTGGTTAGCTTTTGGCACAACCTGTGCATTCGAATAGACGCTGGTAGCTTCCTCCACAATGTTAATTGTTATCACAATGGGATCTTGCGCTGTCGTACTAACGATCGTACCGCCTGTGAGGCCATCGCACTCACTCGCAGTACATCCACACGCTTGCAGAAGCTCCAAGACGTTCATCAGATGGTCATATTAGAAACAAGCGGAAGGCATCTTAACGGTTCGATGCTGCCAGCCGAACATTGGCTCGATGCTGCCAGCCGAAACTTGGCTCGTACCTTCTGAGCCAAGGCAAACCTAGGATGACATTAAACTTGTTATCTGAATCAAGTAAGATGAAATCATGATTGTACTGCGGATTATCTAGCGTATAGTGAATTTATACTTCACGTTTCATCACTGCTATCGGTGCGCCTGTTGCAAGGCGTACCGTTATCCTCTTTGGAGGGATATCCGGATTAACAAACTTGGGCCTGCGACACATCAAAGACATCTACAAACAGTAACTTTTTACGTCCCACAGTCAACCAGGGCACAATTGACAATCATTTTGCAACTTCTACGCTCAAGGCGATGAGAGGTTTACTATCACAAAGTACAGAGACCTCTAAGAATGTGAGTCTACAGCAAATTTCATCTATAGGTTTGCAAATTCTGCTGAGGTTGCTGGGTCATTAGGGCGCTTTGCTCCTTACCTAGACTGTTTTTACGGTCCTCCACGCTGTTGTGAATTTGCAACAGTATCGGAATCGCTTCCGTTGCCCATCTTAACAGCAGGTCGATCGCTTCGCTCAGTGTTACGAGATACTGGTCGTGAAGCACCACACTTTTATGCGTAGTGACCCAAATACTGACAGCCATTGTACTTTTGCAATTGCGTACCCTAAAAAATAGCGAGGTGACTCACGCTCAACACTGAAGACGTCCATTGCTTCTGGAGCTCTTGACTCCACACGTCTCGAAGGACGATAGGGGTCAAGTTAGTGGTAGCGTGTCTCACAATATAGCACTCTTGAACAGCAGTTTTAACAGCCTCCTCAAGAGACTTCAGTGTGATGCGGAACCAGTAGTTCTATATGGGACCGTTTTTAAGGTCAGGTAAGTATATCGTGATCAACATGAATTCACTCACAGGGTTTGCTACCATGCAGCTTGCAAGGTAAATAATGTGCTGAACGTAAAAAATGAACGTCACGCTGACATCGTTTTATCTTCAGGAGCTTTAAAGAGTCCTGAACTCATCTCTTAGCCGCTCGAACGTTTGGCTGATCAGAGTAAATAAGACCGCCAACGATCCTAACACATTTGGATTCTGTAGTTAAAGATTTAGGATTCAAGTTCTGACAAGCCCTTACAGATAAAGCTGACAAATGTAACTGCAATATCTCATCGTCCATGTAGCGAGGTTTATTGGCATCGTTCACTTCGAGAAGCCATCTCAACATGGAGTCTTCCTCGACTTCCCGGTACTTGAAGACTTTTAACACTATAATTTTGCGGTCATGCGTGAGCTTGGACGCATCAGAAGCGGACAGAGACCGTTGATGTTCTAGGATCTAAGCCTACTGGTGACCTTGCTACATCAGCAAGGTCACTGCAGCTCGCGGCGTGTCAAGTTCTCGTTGCAAATAATTGGAGATTACGGAATGCTGCTGGTCCCTACCTCTTAAGGATAGCAGAGAGCAGATATATGCTTCGCCAACGTTCGAACTCATTCGTTCGATTGCATTTCAGTTGACATCACTCAAATAGGAGTAACTTTCACGGGTGCCGTGAAAGGTATAGTCGCTTTCGTCGTCCCACACGTTCATGTTGAACGGTTTTTGTGGTCCTTTAACGGACTACGAAAAGCTACCAGGTTAAAAGTGGCACCGGAGCAAGATACTGGATGACCAGTGTGGACCTCTTATCACCTACAGCTGTGTGAGTGGTGCCTCGCTACCTCTGTAAACTACGTCTGGAAAGGATAAAAGGTATCGTACCTTCACTCCCGGAAACCTTCAGATTGACATACTGAACATTTAATCCGTCTTACTCCCTACCAGCCCATTCAATTGTCCAGTCAATACCTCCCATTCCCTCACCATCACCCCAACAGCACAACCTCAACCGCAACCACTTGACATCGTGCAGACACGTGTCGCTGCCTGTCGCGTCAATCACGAGCCCCAGGTTCACTACAGACTCCGAGCGCGTGCCGACAATCGATTGCTACATCACCACCGATGGTGCGTGACACTTTCGACTGGATAATGGATCTCTTAGCTGCTAAGCAATAGCACAGAAAAAGAGACACACACGAGAGCGTAAGCACGGGCCACGCCGTAGACGGGACAGCATCTCACGTACATAGACGCTAGAGGGGCGCGCAGGTGTAAAAGCGGCGCGCCCTTTAGGCGCGTCGTGTACGACAGCGTGCGCTTGAACAGCTGCCAGCGCGCGGCTTCCAGCGTAGCAGCTTGCGGACGCCCAGGTGGCGTGCTTGCGCTTGGCTGCGCGCGTGGCTGCGTCTTCGCTGTTCATGCTTTGACTTAAACACAGTGAAAGAGAAAGTGATGGTGCCTTGTGGCTTCTTCCGCGCGCTACTTCTCGGTTTCTGGTCAGCGCGAGAGAAAAATACACCTCGTTTTTTAAAAAACGAGAGGGTACACAGAACGATTAGACGATTACACACACGGGGGGGGGGGTGGTGCGCGCAGTTATTAGGGGGTGTAAGCCTAGATAGCCCCTATGTTAATGAGCATCACCAAACTATATGATAGTGTTAACGAACATTATCAATCTTTTTGATAAAGTCCAATAGAAGTATAAATGACTAATTACATGTTACAGGCTCATCCTGTTACGTCGGTGGTAAGTACAATACATTATTTTGCGTATCCAGGTAAGCAGCAGATTGATAATAGTCGGTGATTCAGGATGCCGCCCTGTGAAGTCTGATCTATCTATGTGCTTCCTGCAAAGTCCTGTGATAGCTACAATAATAACTGGTGAGTTGCAAGTCCTTGTACAAACCTCAAAGGCTATAATTGCACCTTCGCGTGCTCTCAAGGCTAATTAATAGTGTCGAGTGGCGTTGGCTCAGGCGTGTGTTCAGTACGTAGGGGAATCTTTCCAGTGGGAAAAATGTAACATTTTTTTTAGTAAGTACTGAGTCTAGGCAAGAAACGCATAGCTTAATTATATGCTTTTATTATCTATTGTGATCAGCCACTATTTAATGCTACATTTCAAACGTTCCTTTTAGTTTTGTGACCACGTAATTCTAGTTTTGCATATCTCTAAAATACAAGTAAAGCATGAGATCACGAAGGAGGCTGTGCCAACTTAGGCGAGACCACAATAACTTTTATCCGAAGAACGTGAGGTGTTGTGAGGTGAGGAGAAGAGTGGAGTAAGGTCTTCCATTCTATATTACACTGTGATTGTCTCCTATTTTATCAGGTTATTCATAGGTATCAGCATGGTACGATAACACTTTATTATTTAATTTAGGGGCGTACGCGCACTTATAATAGTGACACGGTAATCTTAAGATAAGGATTTGTTTTTCTCCACGGGTTGTGCGCGTTATGTATAGTGCACAAAGTAAAAATGCTGAGATCATTTTACATTCTGCTAAATGAATTTATCGGATGGGTCATTCTTTTAGGCACAAGGTACAAAGTCGTCGTTTAAAACGCATGTAACTGATCATCATTGAATTGCCATTTTCTTAGTTTTTATTAGATTTTTGTTGACCTTCCCTGTAAAAGTAGTTGCTCGTGAATGCTCTTGCGTTTAAGTCACAATGTCCAATTTGTTAGTGTAGTGTTGGATAGTCGCTTCACACTGATTATGAACATGCTTAAAAGCATTCCAGTGCAACTAATGATAGCGGCTAACTAATTGGAGCTTGCACTTATATCAGCTTTGTCAAACTGCCGCTGCAAATATCGATTATTTGGACAAGCAATATAAGCTAAGACGGACTACTCAGGTGCACCAATAAATTGACAAAATTCTTTCATTCAGCGCTGTTTACTTCGTATCTTTGGCTAGTAAATAGCGCTGGATAAAATTATTTTGTCATTTGTTTGGTGCACCTGAGTAGTCCGCTATGTTTATATAAGTCACCATTGCCTTTAATTTGATAAAGGGTTGGCGTTCTAGCAAGTGCGCCCACTTTTGACACTAAGGGCGACCTTCGCGAGATCGAAAACACTAAAGTTTGCATATTTCCCACTCAAATACGATATTCTTAGCTCCGTATCCAGTTCAATCTGATAATTGCTGCTTGTAGAGACAACTGCAGCGTAAGATCTCGCTGATAACAATCTTCTTTAAAGGTTAATGAGAGCGCCACTAATAATAATATAACTAGGGCAAGATATACCGCACCACCATGAGCATTCGCGATAGCGCGGACGCATCATATTGTTTGGTAAACCTATTGACTATGTCGCTATGATTTAAAATCAATATTTTTTTGGAGGTTATAAAGCTATGTAACTTTCATCGTGAAATAAAATATTTGTAAAGTTTAAAAAAAGGAGTCGCTTAATACTCTCCTAGATAGTGTGCACATCTCCCCTTATCCTTGCAACACATGCTGGCGTGGACCCTGAGAATCGACCCCAGAACGGTGAGCTGGTCAACGCGGTAAGTCTCCTTTTTTATAATCAGTTTGCGTAGCTCCTTCAGTCGCGATACAACTATAGCTTTGGTGAGTTTTTTTTGCCTCCATAGTCTCCGTACACACGTACGCCGGTGCTATCATGTGCTTGCTCTGAAGGTAGCGCAAAAAAATTGACTTGTTGTGCACGTGCCAATCTCGTGCACTGCTGGTCTCTATTGCCACTTGATTGATGACCGCAATGGCCACGTTCGAAATCAACTTCACCATATAAATGATTTCCGAGCATACTGACGCATTTTTGTTGTCTCTTCCGCGACGGTATAAGCCACAATAAGCTTTAAATCGGACGCAAAATGAAGCGATGGGCACTTGTTTCTTTGTCTGGAAAGTTATGTCATCATGCCACTGAGGTTCGTGATCATTTCATTGACTGATTTACTGTCAGCCTCATCATCTGAGTAGTCGGCGTCCATTATACATTTTACTTGCAAATAGTTGTATATATACACAGCGGGTTTCATGCGCAATTGTAGCATGGACGTGCCGCCAAGGTAAAGCAGCTTTACAATAACAAATTTAAGAACGGATACCTCAAAGCATGCGCACACCTAGTATCATGATTTCCCAAAAATCTATGTCAAGTCGGATGCAGCGTGCGATCCACACTAAGCTCCCACTAGCAATCGATAAGACTTGATTTTGAGATGGGTCGGCTGTTCCTGTCCCCAAAGAGGTTTAAAGCACCTTTTCGTCCTCCTCGATCACGTATTCTCCACTTACGGGTACTCGCAAACTGTTGCCTGTTCATGATAATATGTTTTTAAGTGTTCCAAAATTGCAGGATCCTGCCCAAGCTTAATCCAAGTTCCTGAGGAAATTGAATGCTTAATCCCAAGATTTCCTTGCAAAGTTCAGACCTTTTAACTCCAAAGAAACTAATTTAGCCAAGAAATCTCCGATCAATGCAATTTCGGTGACCGTCCCAAGAAAAGCATTTAAATATATACCCAATAACACAATTTGCCTATTTTGTTGCTTTTGGTATATACACGAGCAGCCTGTCAAGCTTTGGTCGAATATGAGGCTGGTCAGTTAACTCTTTTAAATCCATGCCAATTCCTTCCGTCTTGCTTTATCCATTTAGACTCCGGTGCAATTTAGCAGCAACCTGTTTTTTTATTTGCACCTCTGAGGCCGCTAGTTTCTCGGAAGAGAAGAGTAATTTTTGAGGAGTACGAAGGTATATATTGTAATTTTTATTCTACTACACCCTTGATATAGGCCGATGGAACATCAAAGTGGTGCGCGGGAACTTCTCACATTGCAGCCAAGGCTATCACAAACTTGGCGCTAACCGTGTCCATCATTGAAGCATAAAAACGTCTAGTCGCGTCCGAGGACCTGCTCGTTTCTACATGCGACCATTCGCACCTTTTGCCTTTCAATCAAACCATCATCAGCCTTCCTTTTATTCTGGAAACATTTTGTTTGAAAACGTGTTATGTCTGCAATTGCTTAAACAACCTTCCAGGAGTCACTATCTTGAAGTTAAGAGAGTTCTTCGTTGTGGAATCGTTTTCACATGTCAGAATGTGCGCTCACATCACCGTGCCATAGCTAGTGGGATCAGGCATTACCGCGGATTTAAACGCCTCTTCTTTCATTACATTACCGGAAGCAGCCAACACTTGTGTAATGGGTGCCAGGCTTCTTCTGATCGCCATCTGCCCACAGCCAACACTAATATAATGGTGGCCAGACTTCTTCTGCTCGCTATCTGCCCAGAGCTGACACTAATGTAGTGTGTGCCAGGCTTCTTCTGCTCGTCATCTTCCTCTCTCTGCCGGGCAGATTTCTTTCGAGGAAGTCCTGACTTTCTTATTTTCCTCTGTAAGTGCTATTTTTAAGTCCGTGCTTCAAGGACCGGTCGTATTTAGTTCGAGCTCCGGATGATGGCCTTTCAGTACCTCGATTAGTATCTTAGTTCACTCGTTTTATTTGGCGCTGCAGGACTAGCTCCTCCAGATCAATTATTGTGTCATTTTCTAGTTGCTGGCGTGCTTTAGCAGAAAAAGTCTTAACGTTCCACACATGTCTGGTTGCCAACAAACAGTCACCTTTTTAGTAAGAACACTATGATTCCGTTTGATCCATCGTTTTTTCCCACAAAAATGCAGATCAACCAAATTTTTATAGGTTTTTATTCGGATCACGAAAAACAGTACACTTTGACCTAATTATGGAACGGTGCACCCTTTGTTCGGGGTGCCGCGAAACTTCACGTACACTAATACGTGCAGAGGAAGCTAAACTACTTGAACGACTCGATCAAGTAAGGTAAAAGGAGAACTGTGTTTAACACAGTTTAGCTATTAAAATAGCTTCAGTCTTTATCTAGCTATAATAATTTACATTTACGCATGACGACAACCTACTCACCACTCATTACGCGCAACCAGCAGCGATTGGTGGTAACCTTGTTTGATATGTCTTATATCAACCAATCTTGGAGCAGCGCATGAATTTTATCAAAGGAGGATAATGTTCCTTCAAAATTATCTATCTCGGATAATGTTGGTAGGGAATTTTCACGCTATACAATATTCCTATTGAGACCGTTTGGTGTCAAAATCATGTAGCGGTCTACCCCGTTACAAATTACCACTAAATTATTATCAGTCACCCGTTGATTGAATTTAACTGAATGGGACAGGGTGACCTCTGTCGGATCATTATAGGAAGGAAAGCACTTGTTAGTCAAACTTCAACTCATATTTGATTCATCGCATGGCGTCAAAGTCCGTGCGATGTGCTGCCGAAGCAGCAAGAAAGGAGGTTGCACGCATGCGTGCAGTAGAAGAGAGTTCCTCTCTTGCTTAAGCAGCAGGCGATCCTTTGCTTGCTG